AAATTACGAATTTAAAGGCAAGTTTTTTTAAAACCTGTCTATGTATAAGAAAAGATGACACTTTTTTCTTCAAGTTAACTTCAATGTTTCTGTCCTTTGCGGAGGTTCTCTTTACGCCATACCGAAATTATTCAAAATCTGTTCAATGGTTTACACGTAAAAGTGTTTGATGTCCGAAACGTTGTATCCATCGAAATACATACAGACTAAATGAAAATCCAGATCTAAGAAACAGCCCGTGATTGCAACCGTTAGGATGGCGAATTTTCGGCGGGAAAACGATCGATGCTCTGACGTCACGACGCAGATGCTGCGGGGGAGGGGTAGTGGAGGGGGAGGGGCGAAGGACGCACCGTGGGGATGACACGACTACGCCAGACCCGCTCTCTTGTTATTGCTAACTCTGAGGTTTAACCAGAATCGCAACAAAACCTTTTCGTAAAAAGTCTAAGCCAGGAGGCTTATTCTATTTCTACGAAAACCGAAATTCGATAGTTCGTTTGCCCGAAAATACATAGTTTGACAATTTGACATTTCATTTCTCCAACTACTTTAATTCATTGAAGTTTTGAACGTACAAGTTAATTTGACAGATTATTGTTTAAAATTTTAACCTCAAACTGATGAAATGAAATTTTCGTATCCTATACGTATTTTGTATTTAGACAACGGTCTCATTTGTCAAAATTAAGCCTTAAATTTCCTGCTATAGTATTTATTAAGGCTGCCTAGCGTGAGGAATATTTTGAGCATATACTTACTTATACAACAACATTTAAGGCACAATTTTGTTAATTATTGGATTTTGAATACTTTAAAGTATGCTAGAAAAAAAGTGGCTTATTACACGGTAAATTTTGGTTAACAAAATCAATTGTTAATATTATCGCAAGGTAGGTTATGTCAATTTTTGACGACATCTTCAAAAATTTTGTCGTAAATTAATAATGTTTGGATGTAAAAAAAGTAATCAAAGTAGACATTAAAAGAGCTCACAAAATATGACTATTTCCATTCGTTCACCAAAATTGTTTGTGATTTCGAACTTCACGTGCGTATTCGAAAATAAAATAGAGTCACTACGGAAACTTCGTTTAATTTTTTTTTACTTTATTTTATTTTTCTTTAATTCGTTACAATAGTTACCGAAATTTCATTTCCAGGTAAGGGTGTAGAGCTCCTGATTGTTGTCAAAGGAGAAAATAACAAATAAGAATAGAAAAAAGTTTTAATAAGTATTTTTGAATAATTTTGAACTTCACATATTTTATATCCCTTTCCTGAGTTAGGATGACAATGTAGGAGGATATAAAAAAATGCGATGAGGTAATGTATGCCAAATGTATTACTACTTTTGTCATTGCCACACTTCAATGACTGACGGATGCTACAATTATTATCATTTATTAGGATTCTCACCACAAACCATCCCCATTCACCTTGCCAACCTTGCTTGGGGATTGTGTTTAATTCCCTACCCCGTGGAGACAGATGTTGATTTAAAGACAAATTGAAAGTAATTGATGTGTGTAATATACAAAGTATGCGGTATTATCATAGGATTAATGTAAGCTGGATGTAGGTACTTTTACTACTTTTTTTGTATGGGGGATACTTGAAATAAAAAATTAATTATTTAACTAACGACTTTAACATTAACATGGCGTATAAGAAGCCAGAGAGTTTCGAAAATTATGTATCAGCAATTTGACACTTTTGATTTTGGACAAAACCTGCAGAGTCCAACATTAAAATTGGATATTTATAATTTTTCTGACCGAAAATGTTTCTGTTACTCACCAGTACAGTACCACTCCACACACTCGCTTATATAGTAATAGTCTACTGACGATTTGTCTCATAGTTTTGCACCGTATTATGTATAAATATTTATATGCACGGGAAAGCTACTGCAGCTGGAAAAGAGCTGGACACTGGAAAAGCTACTGCACGGGAAAGCTAAGCTGCAGTTGGCGACAACGATATTTTTTTAAATATCGTTGGTTGACTCTTTCATTCCAAGTGCAGAATGTGATAGACTTAAAATTTCTACTAAAGAAATCTTAATGCGGCCCAGGTATGTATAAGGCTGAATTCAAACTAAGTCATATCTGTTTCTTAGGTTTTCACGCATACCACTCATTAAGTAAAACAAGTTTCAACGGTATAGATGCACTGTTTTTATTTATTTATTGACATTATTCATAATTCAGACGACGCATCCTGAAAAGGATGTGGAACGTCAATAAATAAATAAATCCGTTCATATACCGTGAAACTTATTTTATTTAAGTTATATCTTATGCTATTCGGACGAATGCACTGATCTTATATTTTTGTATATATAAAATAAAATGCCCTGTAATTAACAACAAAAGATATTTTCCGAAGTTTAACAATGACATAGGTACTTTGTAAGGGCCTCTTTAAATCGTGAGACGCAATTGACAAATCAGGGACAATTTGTGGGCACTGATAATTATTCGATATTTCTTTTGAATGGACGACTTCAATATCAAAGGAAGTCGTCGCGAATTTTTTTTATTAAGAGTGGAATATAACGCTTTCTTGTTATGAACCATTGTTTTTCTTTCTCGTAAAACTTAAAAGGGCACTTTTCAATCATAGAATGCTTTTTAAACACTGATTATTTGGTCGATGTTTCATACAAATGTTATGGGCCAAGTGATTAATGCGGGCATTATTCATAATGCCAGGGCAGTATGAATAATGCCCAGTCATATCGGGCCAAGTGATTAATTACAATCTAAACTCACCTATTTATCACATTGCCCGGTCATTATTAATAATGCCGGACTTCTCGTGGTCCATGTAATAAGTCAGAGTTTGAGATCGCTTGGACCGGGCAGTATGAATAAATTCAAAAAGTTGGTACTATTGTCAACATGATTACATGACAGATGTCTCGCCATTTTATGTTTGTTTTGAGATCTTGGTAAATAAAAAATAGTATGGGCTCAACACTTAGAAAAAAAGGTAAATGTGGCTTTACAACAAACAGTTTTTAATTCAGAATCGACTTGGTCAACTTCGACACGCCGTGGTTTTTGTCTGCCCTACCCCTAGAGTGTTTTTTAAAGCCCGGAGGCGCGGAGGGAGAGCAGCCCCCGCCTGCTGTGACAAAGCCGCAAGAATCGTGCGACCCGTACGCTACGGCTGAGGCTGGTCGCCGCCGCAAGTGGCGAACAACAAGCCGAAGGTGTGAGGGGCGTGATGCATGTGACTTTGTCATGCAAAGGCGGAGGGGCTGCTATTCCCGCAGCGCCGGAGATAAGGCAGAAGTACTTGTTCTTACTTCCCTAGTCCTTACATCCTAAAAAATAGGGGACCATTAATTCTGAACATTTAACAGATTTAATGATTTTTTCAAAAAAAATGCATTGAAACTACTATAGACTATAGTTTCTAAGTGTCGCCCTTCGTAAATTGATCGAAGCAAATCCGAAGTCTGATTATTTAAATTTTAAAAATAAATACTAAACATGTTTTTATTATTAGTCTACCTGATAATTGATTTCATTACTTGTAATGCTCGGTCTATCTAACTAAGTATTCATTTGAAAGTATTAAATATGCTTTACATCACTCTGCCCAATAGGCACTTGGCATAATTCATAATGCCCAGGCAATGTGATAAATTGATTGGTTATAATCACATTGCCCGCTCTTATTGGGTATTATTAATATTGCCCGGGCATTATGTATAATGCCCGAATAATCACAGCCCATAACACAAATACATAGTTACCTTTCAACTTCACTAAGGTATCAAATAATATACTGTTCATTTGACACTAATCTGATGATATTTGGTTGGAAGTACCTGCCTGCGTCAAATGGAATGTAAGTTTTGCATTAGGCCAGCTAATATAAACATGAAGCTGGTTCCAACAAAACCCCATATTTAAAAAGTGCAATGCATGTCAAAACGGTTTTTAAAATTGGTAACTACTATTAGTATTGATTCCTTATTCTGTGTTTTGATTACTGAATAGACTTTTTACGCTTAGATTAAAACAAAAAGGGAAGATACGGTACGCTCATACCAGCATTAAATCAAATATGCTCCGACTCAACTACATAAGCAACTCTCACACACGCGCACTCTGTAAATAAACATTCAATCGAGTGAGCGAGACAGAACTGTACGCTTCAACGCAGCGCAAGCGAAACGGCGAGTCCGCGACCGAGTCCGCATGGCGGAGCTGTATTGTTGTCCTTTTCTTGATAACAAAATGGCGATTACGTAAATAACATTCACGATAAACCGTGATTTTTGAAAAACAAATGATTTAACAGTTTTACGAATGAAAAGTGTTGCCGAGGCATTTGTTATTTGATTTTGAACTATTTGTGTTCTTTATAAAAGCATCGAAGGCATTGTTTATCTTTATAACACAGAAGAATCGCATTATTGTTATATTGAGTGCACATGCAGCGTGTTTGAATGTCCAATTGTGAGTAAAGCGAATTATGGTCATGCGCCACAATTTAAGCGGATCACTCTTGGGCCGAGAGTGCCGTATCTTCCCTTTTTGTTTTAATCTAAGTTTTTTGGTTATAATTATTCCATTCCTCCTTATGTAACCGTTATTAACACACTGACAATTATAATGATTACTCACAAAATTAAATAAGCCTTAGCTCCTTGTTCTGTATAAGTTAGTTGACCCAGCAACACAACAACAGCAACAGAAGCCCTGGTTTTATTCACCGTCCAGAATTGGCGTTAAAGTCAACTGCCTCTATAGGTTGCGGGTGCCCGTGTTATTAATACGCTGAGACTTATGATGATAACTCACAAATAAACCTGCCGGTTCTGGATGAGTTGGTTGACCCAGCACTCCGGCTGTATTCACCATCTAGGGTTGGCGTTGATGTCAACTTCCTCTTTAGGTTGCGGATGCCCAAAACTCCTGGCTTCGTGATCGATACCAGTGTTATATATTATTACGCTGATAACAATGATGATAACTTACAAATAAAACGTAGCTCCCGGTTCTGGATGAGTTGGTTGACCCAGCACCCTGGCTGTATCCACCGTCCAGGGTTAGCGTAGAAGTCAACGTCCCCTAGAGGCTGCGGGAATCCCAAAACCCCTGGGTTCGTGTGGATCACGTCCACGAATATAGCGTCACCGCGGGACAAGTGGCCGTCGTTGTTGGTTAGGCTGTAACCGGGGTAGGCGGGGTCTAAGCCTGATGAAAAGAATGTAGTTATAAACAAAATAATTCCTGAAGAGCTCAATGGCGTAGTGGTTAATTCTTTCGCTTTTGTGGAAGCACTTTGGTCCTGGTTTTTCATGCAGTCGTAAGCACTTACCAATATGCACAGCATTGGGCCAGCCTAGTGGGTCACGGCCCTTCGTCCCTATTCCGTTCATAGGAAAGGACTGTGCTCCAGCAGTGGAGATATTAATGATGATTGTGACGAAGAATTGTCATATGTTTAAATATATGTATTATACAAAAAAATGTTATTAAATTAATACAGCCATGTTATGTGTAGATGATATGTGTTTTAATTCTAGAAGAAGCTTACATTATAGTTCTGAAAATACAACCCAACATCCAATTATTATTTCTCGAGTCATTCAAAATTGAATAACAACGATGATTCTAACTACCTATTCTTTGAAATCTTAGCAGACCCTCCAGAAACGCGAGAGGTCGAAGACCTAATGTACTCCATTTTCACTGAGCAATTTGTAAATAACCCTGCCTCAACATAATATGTGAAGCCTTTCAATCTTTTTCATGAAAAATTTCTTTACCTGCACCTCAAGTATATATACCTCTTTCGGCATTGATTTTGTTTCAATTATTTTTCATAAGCTGTAGTGTTTGCGAACAGTACTACTTAGCTGTTGTATTTTTATAATTAATAGTATGGGTCAAATTGGAATAAATTTATGAGTCCTTTAAAGATTAGCTTTATGATCTTTACCTCCGATTTAAAACAATTTATTTCAAACAACTATTATTTTTTAGTAAACCACAAAGTAGTGTCAAACAATGTTTGATCAAAAACTCTCACTGCTTTCTTTGCCGCAACATAAAAATTCAGCACTACAAAACTTGTTTCGGTGCAAAAGAAGTTTTAATATCACGGCCCCCTATCCCTATGATTTATGTTAGTGAGTACACGTTTGGATCAGAAAATTATAATAGATTTTCCACTCGAATTGGAGAGCACTTCACTGAAAGTATTTATCACCCAACCTTACAGACTCAGCATCCCAAAAACAATTTAAACGGGTGGATGGACTGTTCTGTAACTATGTATTACTTATTATCATTTTAAAAACAATCATTTCAATACGTCCATACTAAATAACTATAATTAACACCAACAAAACGAGGGACAGTTCCGATTTACGTTTATCTGACAAATATTTCCAAATTTCGGCAATAATTCCAAAGGAGACTTACAACTAGCAATAGCGCTAGAACTCGGTCGAACTCCCAATCGTTGCAGCGACTCATCGCATCGTTTCGCATCTACTAGCTGACCCAGTGAACTTCATACCGCCATAAAAATAGGGCCAGGTGGTAGAAGAGAAAATTAAGGGTTGTATCTATTTTTTAATACCACATTATAAAAAAAAAATGTCCAAAAAAAAATTTAGGGGTGTGTAACGTAGTCTACTATCAATTTCCTGGAATAACATTACTCCTAACCCATATGAGAACACTACGTTACAATACCCAATAGTTTGAATTTTGGCGCGAAGGCGCATTGTAGGTTTCGATGAGAAGCAACGACAATACATCCGCAATTAGCTGGTTAGCAAGGATTACCACACCCTAAAAATTTTAAATTAAACAATTGAGAACACACCGGTAATTCTGCCTAGCCGAACGCCCCTCGAGTTCAGCACCTTGCCCGCGAATCCCGCGGCCTCTGCGCCCAAGGAGAATCCGATGACGTGCAGCGAGGTGGAGGGCACGCCCACACTCTGCAGGTACTCCACGAACCGCGCCAGACGCCCGCCCATGTGACGTGTGTTGCGCACCGCCGTGATGTACCTAAACCGACAAATGTGACATTTGTGAATTTATAATTCCGTTAACGAGTCATGCAAGCGTTATGAACTAATTATAGCTGCTATCCATTTGTCAATTGTGGGGTGGGCAGGGCAGCTCAGGCAGTGACAGATTTATCTCACACTAAACAATCCTACTTCCAACTTATCCTACTAATATTATAAATGTGAAAGTTTGTTACACAATCACGCAAAAACTGCTAAACGGATTCGGATGATTGGTAAGCATTTATGACCTGGGTTGAGATATAGGATACCCCCTGCTACCGATGCTGGATATAGGATACCCCCTGCTACCGATGCTGGATATAGGATACCTGTGCTGTGTAAGTGGATGATTTCTGCCAGCGGTTGAGAAAATTATTTTCATATTTTCTTTTTTCCTATGTTACGTTTTATTTTATTTAGTAATGGTTTTTAATTTACACATCCAATAAATAGATAAGTTTGTAGAAGAACTATTCAGGATTTATTTAAGACATAAATGAAGCCTGGATTTCCAGCAGAATTCGAATAATAAGAGGAAAATCGGCCTTTTACTTTTTGATTTTCCGGCCGTGAAAAACAAAGTAGATGGCTACACAGCTGAGGGATATAGGGGATACTTTTTATCCCGGAAAATATTAGTTTGCTATGGACTTTGATTACAGAACAAAAGGCAGATGGAGGGCACCGTACATGCAAGTGTGGCCACCAAAACAAATACGAAGTCAAAAGTAAAGACTTCTTAGACATTGTAAACAGTTTTTACAATATTTGAACAAAACTTAATATTCACGGGACGTATTCACAACACGATGCGTTGTAGCGTACTGACACTTGTTGATATTAGCTTTTAACTTAATATTTGCTTTTGTGGCACGGAATCCGTGAACCGCACGCTTGATCTGCTTTTAGTTTTGTAATCCGAGGCTGTGGGATTCTCGAAAAACTAAAGTTAACGCTGACAAAGTATCGGGCGGCTAGCAATACTAGCAGTATTGATATAAATCACCCCTTTCATCTGTCGTATTTAACTTTTCTGTATTCTTTCCATTTTCTTGTCTATCAGTTTGGGTCATAGATTCATTATTAAGGCTCGTATTACAGTATGACAACTAAGTGTTGATCTTTACTTGAGTACAGTTAGAAAGGGATGTCGCTTTGTGCTATAGTCGTCATTCTGTGATACGAGCCTAAGTCTAAGTATTACAAGTTTATGGACATAGTGTTTCTTGTAATTTGTTATTTGATGGGTATTGGTCAGTTTTTGTAACAGTAATATGGTACCTATCTAATGCCGCTTCCTATATACTAAATATAAAATTATTATTGTAACTGTATATATCTATATCCTAAATGATGTAATGGAAGGTGACTTCAGAAGTATCTCTGAAGTCATTTTTCAACTTGACGACTCTGTATATATCAATACAGGGAGAAAAAAGCAGCCCTTGCTGAGTTTCTTGCCGGTTCTTCTCAGTACAACGTCTCCCGCCGTAGTTTTGCGAACCGTTAGCGTAGCTTCTGACCTTCACAAGTGCTTGTAACAGCCTAGACTGAATAAATGACTTTTCATTTCATTATTTTAAGTTTTCTTGCCATAAAAGGAAAATAGAGTCAGTCTTATTTTCCTTTTGTTTTTCCTCCCTCAAATACACTTGAATCAAGGCAGGGTTCAATCAAATTGATTTGCATACCTCCTGCCATGGTCTACCGATTACTAAGTGTTGGTCAAAATGATGATTACTTTCATAAACATAAAACTAAAGAAATATTATGAAGCATGTGTGTAGGAGCAAAGCATATATTTTCTGGTGCCTGAAAATACAAACGCCCTTGACTCTCCTCGCATCAAGCTTAAACGAAATAATTGTGGATATTTGTTGCCAATGTCGTGACTCGAGTCTCAACAGCACACAAATTAACGCTAAGGTCAAATGCATAGTTTTGCATAAAGCTGACTGAAAATATCCTTGAGGAGATTTCCTTTCAATAGCAGTTAACATCTCAGGCCTGATAATAAGACGAAAAAGGGACTTGTCACAGTAGGTGGTATTTTTTGACTTGCATCTATCTGATTTAGAAAATGTCGTGCGTATTTTTCAAAATTTTATGGACTTCCTCTTACATGTGTGGTATGTCGTTTGCGAGTTCACCCTATACGCTGATAGATTTGAACCTTTAACCCTTAAAAATAACACTAGATTATTAGAAAAGTGTCAATATTATAAGATTAGTCGTTAAATGTATTTTTCTTGCATTTCAAAGGAACCGTAGATATAAATATATGAATTAAAAATATGAGTATACCTCGGTCCAAGTTTCAGACAATATTCGAAACCGCATCTTTCACTGTCCGGATGGACGCACTAATCAATTAATTATGCTACCGAGTCTTTAATGGCCGTGTCGAATTTCCACTAGTATTTCTGAAGCCGCAATGCTAGGGTGCGAATCCCGTCTGGAACCGACTGAGTGAACATTATTCAAGATTATTTTTGTTTAAAGTTAAAAATCTAGCAGTTAAATGCTTAAAATAAAAATTTATTAAGAGGATTCCTGTTAAATAACAAAATCATTTATTTAAACCAAACATACATAATGTGACGACCTCTGTGGCCGGGTGGGATACACACCTGGTTTCATGGCGTCGCCGCCTACTCAGAGGGGCCCCCCCGGTTCGATTCCCGCCGGGGGCAAATTTTAGTATGATGGATATGAGCATTTGTACCTTACTCATGATGTTTATATATATTTATACATAAAAATACAAATATAACTACCTGCTACCCACCATAGCACAAGCCCTTAATTTATGGCTAGGCTAATTGTTGTGTTAAAAAAAATGTATTCAACGTGAAGTAACAATATCACTGTTATTTGTAAGCAATAAGTTGCTATATCAATGCTTCTTATCCTACAATCACGACTGTACCTCGACGCTTAATGGCATTTTACGGTCCTGCTAAAAGCTCATCCATCAAACACCCATCTATCTCACACACATTATATTTTTCTTGGGACTTTTTTGCGGAAATAAGCTGAGGTGGATGGATTCTGTCTTGAGTTCCCTCCTTACCCTATTACCATTTTTAAACATTCTGTAAATAACAGTTTATACAAATCTAAAGTAAAATATATATATATATATATATATACTTATTAGAAAATATTTAAAGAACAGGAACCGAAGGGCAAGTTTATATAACGTCGTAGGATGAAATGATGATAAATAGAATAAAACACTGATAATTAGACAGTGCCGCTGAATTGCTCGATCTTACTGATAACAAAACATTTTTCTGGCGCTTCGCCGCCCGCTGCAGCGGCACGCTCGCTGCGCTCGCTCGCACTGTAAACCCCAAGAATATTTATAATAAGCCAACGACTCCTTTCGCAAAAATCGCGTTATCGCAAAACTCTATTTTTTTCAGAAAGATTGAGAAAACGTCATCGCCATTGTCTTATTATCCGCGTTTCAAATCAATTTATCAAAATCATCCTAGGACATGTATAATCCCTTCTTATAAGTATTTACCCTACACCTGTATTAAATAAATTCGCCTTAGAGGCCATAATGTAAAAGACTTCACAGTCCGTGTAACCTTGGGTGAAATTATTTCATGAGCGACGTGCATAATAAATCAGTACTACTTATGTAGGAAACGGACCCGCATATTTTCACATAGGCACGTGTAAAGATAACTCCCCTATAACACGAAATATGTACGAGTCCGCATCGTGCATAACCAAATGTTCTCCGCATAAATCAGTGAGTGTAGTTGGCTAACTTCCATTTGCCATAAATTAGGTTTTCTTCTCAAGATATGTATAAGCAGCTTGGCCGTACGAAATTATAAGGATTTTTTTTTATCAAAAAAACATACGAGTAAATTTAACTTATTTTTTTTGGCTTCTCATTGTTTAAGATCAAATCAAAGTTTAATTCATAATATTTAAATATATATATGTTTATGCTGATTTGGACATTACGTTTTTCCGCTCGAATTGGAGCACTTTCTGAGACAGTAACAGCTTACAAAAAATCAAATAAGCCTTGTTAAAAATACGCTAAATGAGAGCATCCCTATATTTTGAATATACTGTGTGAAAAAAAGCATTAAACATTGAAGAATAAATAAAATGTATTTAATGCTTACCAAGGAAATGCAATCAGTCGCGACCAATCCACCGCTATGAAGTTGTATGACCCAGAAGATAAGTATGCTGGAAATAACAACATCAAACATCACATTAAAATATTAAAAGCCTGCGCTGCCTTATGCGGGGCACGGAGCAGGAGTCCGCTCGGCATGCAGTTTTTATGTTATTTCATATAGACCCGCGGCGCGGGAGACCCGCCTCACGCAATTCTGATCTATAAAATAACATGAAACAAACACGCCGAGCTGACACCCGCTCCGTGTCCCGCTTAACGCAGCGTACGCACTTAAACGTGTATGTTCATTGCAAAAAAAATAAACCAGCCTCATTATCATCATCAGCCTATTAATGACCCCACTGCTGGGAAACATGCCTTCCATCATAACATCATCCATAGGGATGGAATAGAAAGATTATTCATATTCATATGAATAGAAAGATTAGGCTATACCATGACCTACCACGCGGGCCTAATGTGGATTGGTGGGTTCTAACAACTGCAGCTGCAGCCATAACCAACTACTTAACGTGCCTTCCTAAGCACGGAAGAATTCGAGATAGTAAAAATTTGGCTACCCATCCAATGCCCGACCACTGCGAAATTTGCTTAACTTCAACGATCACAGCCAAACGTGCTAACCACTTACACAATCGAACTCCTTACAAACTATCTTTATACAATATAAAAAGTTCGTTTCCTGTGATGATGAGGACAAGGTCGAGACCGGTGCACTAGTATCTCGGCTGCGAAGGTTTTTTAATTAATCAAGCACTCTAACAATGATAATATAATTAAATTAATTGCGACTTAACAATTATGGTCATCAAAAAGAGAATAATTTACTTTTGATTGTTTAATTTTAGTCAAGTAGGTAGAATCATCATTAGCCTATAAATGTCCCCACTGCTGAGGCACAGGTTTTCCCTACGGATGGAATAGGTAGATTGGGCCTTTGAAGCTAGCCATTGCAGATTGATAGGTGTATTAACAACTGCAGTTGCAGGCGGGACCAACGTCTTAACAAGCCTTCCGAAGCAGTAGACAGAATAATTTAAAAACTGCTTTGGTTTTATGGTATTATTATTATATTGAAGGATATTTTCATGCTTCTGGATTGGAACGGACGAGGCATCGACATTAATGGCGAGTACCTTTCGCACCTTCGTTTCGCCGATGATGTAGTCCTTATGGCTGAGACTTGGATGATTTTAACACGATACTAGTAGACTTTATAAGTACTCCCCAAGTAGAGGATCTTAAGATAAACATGGATAAGACGAAAATTATGTCGAATACCCACTCCAGTTAAAATTGGGAACACTAAGTTGTCCACCATGACGTTTACCTAGGACAGACAGTCCAGTTAGGTAAGTCCAACTTCAAGAAAGGGATCTCTCGTCGTATCCAACTCGGATGTGCAACGTTCGGGCAGCTACGGAAAATCTTTGCGCTCAATTTACCTCAGTGTCTCAAGACAAAAGTCTTTGATCATTGTGTGTTGCCAGTGATGACCTACGGAAGTGAGATGTGGTCCTTTACTGCGGGTCTCATAAGAAGGCTCAAAGTCACACAGCGAGCAATGGAAACAGCGATGCTCGGTAATCCCTACGCGATAGAATCAGAAATGAGGAAATCCGTAAGAGAACCAAAGTAACCGATTTCGCTCGAAGGATTGCTGTGCTGAAATGGCAGTCGTCGGGACACGTAGAAAGAAGAACCGATGGCCGTTAGGGCGGAAAGGTTCTTGAATGGCGACCGAGCACCGGACGACGCCCAGTGGGCAAGACCCCAACGAAGTGGACCGATGATCTTGTGAAGGTCGCGAGAAGCCGATGGATGCGGGGGGCGCAGGACCGATTGGTCTGGAGTTCCTTAGGGGAGGTCTATGCTCAGCAGTGGCCGTCGTACGGCTGACATGATGATGTTGATGTGGTTTTATTAAACCATTATGCTAGAGAAACTTTTGTTTAAAAGATTTTTCATCGCCTTAAATTTTAAGAAATCTAAAAACAGATAATGCAGGCTAGGTATACTTAGTTGATGTTATTCTGGCATATAAGAAAGATGGAAAATAAAAAAGTGTTTCTTCGTCTGGGAATCGAACTCGGGCCTCCCGCGTGGCAGGCGAGCTTGTTACCACTGAACCAATGATGCATTTTGATAAGGTTTGTTTTTTTTAATAACAATTTAAAAAGTAATCCGACATGCTAAAGAGAACAAAATTCCCTCCCTCCTATAACCCGCGATAGCGTGAAGAAGCAACTTGCAGGCCGGCAAAGTGAGAATTACTGGTTTGGTAAAATTACCGTACCAGCTATCTTGGCGTCTGAACTCCACCATCACTTAAAATCAGGTCGGGTGGAGTCATTTGTAGGGTCCAGTAATAAAATATTATGACGTTGTAATTAAAGGAAAACATTACCATCCTTCAAGGTGGTAGTGCTAGGCCCCGTTGAAGCCTCCGAAAACCCCATTAGATATATGATAGTTGGAACAGAGCTATCGAAGGAGGTGCGACGGAAAGCTCTGGTGTTACCCAACGGTATCAATTGGAAATTCCTTGGATTAGACCTGAAAACAAAATCTACAATATCAGTCTATTCTACTACTATCGTCACAGAGGTGGCTCTAGCCCTTGTAGCACTCGTGTGCAATCATTAACCTAGCTCCTTATAGGTAGCCCGCAGTCAAAAAGTAATGGTGGCGAGACCGTTGTGCACGTGTGCAATGCAGACCCTACACCGGTAAAGCCGCCTCTGTATCCTCAGAATCACATAAAGAGCTAGGGCCTAGATCAACATGTAGCTGTGATTTGTGCTTATGACAGCAGATGCATTCTTAACTAATACATGTTCCGCACTGGGGAAAATATAGTTTTGGTTGTACTTATCCTCACCCTAGTCATTGCGAAAGTTACTTTACTTATCACCAGCGTATTCATGTCCTCACTGCTGGGGTACAGGTCTTCCCTATGGATGGAATAGGAAGATTGGGCTGCGGGAGAGTGGAGCAGGAGGAAGAGGAGGAGAGTGATGGTTGGTGGGTGCTAACGACTACAGATGCAGCCGGGACTAACGGCTCAACGTGTCTTCTGAAGCACGGAGGAGCTCGAGATAATAAGTTCTTGGCTACCCATCCAATGACCAACCGTTGCGAAAGTTACTTAACTTCCACGATCGCAGGCTTAACGCGCTAACCACCTGCGCAATCGAGAAAATCGTCACTAATTCACCTCTGCAATTATTATTTAATAGAGCTACCTTATCTCGTCCTAAAAGCCTGTGCTGCGTCAAGCGGGAGCACGGAGCGGGCGTCAGCTCGGCGTGTTTGTTTCATGTTATTTCATAGAGCAGCGCTGCGTGAAGCGGGTCTCCCGCACAGCATATGCGGTCGTTAACACCCACCAATCCGCACTGGGCCCGCATGGTAGGTCACGGCAAAGTCTCCTTACTCCATCCATAGAGAAGGCCTGTGCTCCAGTAGTGGGGACATACGAGTAAATAGGCTGATGATGAATTTGTTTTTTTTCGCTCCTAATCAGGAGAGATACTCTGGTACTAACATACCTTTGTATTATAAATTAATCATTCTTTAGGTACCTGCTTATTGTATGAAGAAACACAAGAAATTCGCATCAGAATCATGGTTTTGAAATTAATGAAATTTTTACTAGCAACCAGGTAAACGAATTGTATCACAGCCACGTGATTCTTACTGGGTAGTACCCAACCCCACCGAACTAGCTTGAAAATTGCCCCCTCTCCCTTTTACGATAGCTTTGCTTTCGCGACCAACAAATTACGCGAACGATGGTACGACACGCAAAGCTACTAGGACGTTGACTCTAATATAAGTTTATAACACCCGATTTCATGAAAACCTGAAACACCACGCCATGTAAGCATAATTCTTTTAAGAAAGTTCTGTCAAGTCGGATGACGGGGCTTCCTTAGCTCATACATAGAGCCATATCCGATAGCTAGCCAGCGTCAAAGATGAGATTTCCAACTTAGAACGGTAACTTTGAAATTTAAAAACAAGCAATAAAGTAAATACCATTTAAAACAAAACAAATTAGATACCCTGTCGTACAATAGGAAAAGGAGTTATTTTTCGTAATGTGCTAACAAACTTATCAATTCCGTACAATAAATCAAACGTTGGATCCATATACCTACAGCTTACTACACTCAATTTTTGTTATTGCTTCTTATAATATTATATAACGGTTTATATAATAGGTCTGCCTATGAAATTGCCGTTCTGCCGTACTGACTATTTCAAGTCCTCTTTTTCTATTTTTGCTAAACTATTTTCATTTTCAAAACATGGAATTCTTTTTTGAAAATTAGTCATTTGTTTAATGGTTAGCGTTGTCTTTTTAGTGCATTTGTACGACTTTCGTCATCGTGGATACGTTAAAAATAAGAGTAATTATGGAGTATGAGTACGGTCGTGGCAGCAAAGCGGCAGAAGCGGCACGCAACAGCAAGTACGTAGTATGGAGCGAACAGTCGTTATTGGTTATCGCACCACCCGTAATTGGTTTGCCTGCTTCCGTTCTGGGAACTTCGACCTATGAAATGAACACCGTGATAGACCTAAACTGTAGCCGACAATGACTAATTAAAGGCTATTGTGGAAGCTGATGATTCTTAATCTACTGCTGAATTAGTATTGGTCGATTTGTGTCAAATTGGCAAGGTCGAAAAACTTTGACAAATCGGTGCCCCACGAATTGAAAGATCGCCAGCGTGAATTACGCGTCGAGTCGACCCTTGCACTGCTCAACAGGCACAAAAACGGAGGCATATTGAATCGCATTGTTATTTCCAACGAAAGATGGATTCTGTTCGAGAATCGCAAGTGCTCAGTAAGTTGGTTAAATCCTGGTTCAGCACCTAAACAATGCCCTAAACGAAAACTTACCCCTAAATAAGTGATGGTCACTGTTTAGTGGTTGAAGTCGAAGTCGGGGTCATTCATCACAGCTTTTTATCAAACGGGATGAGCATTACTATAGATGTGTACTGTGCAAAAACTGAACACAAAGATGGAGAAGCTTGAACATCTCCAACCAGCTTTGGTCAATCGTTAGGCTCCGCTACTCCTGCACGACAACGCGCGACCTCATACTGCATAGCAGAGGGTCTTCAAGTTACACTAGCTGGGGTTGGAAGTTCTTCGTCTTCCACCGTAATTACCAGGCCTTGTCCCTAAAGACTTCAACTTTTTCCAGAATTTGGATTACTTCTTAGTGGAGAAAAAATTCAATAACCGGGAGGTAGTTCAAAATACCTTTGAAGAATTTGTTGCCTCCCGTCCTGCGGGCTTTTTCAAAAAGGGCATCAATAAGCTACCACTACATTGGCAAAAATGAATTGATTGTATGGGAAATTAGTAGTTACTTTGATTAATAAAAAATAAAGAAAAAAGGGCGTTCACTTATTTCATGAAAAACTGCAATTTCATAGGTCAAGACCCAATAATAACCTCAATTTTTCAAGTTGGCATTATCGTTAAAAAGTAAGGATGCCACTTGTGCAGCCTCAGAAGTTAATGTTCTGAAGTCTGTTGTTATTTTTCCCATAGCGCTCCAAGGAAACCACCCCGTGTTTACTTTGAGTTGAGTGTAGTTAAGAACTTTGCGCAGACAAAGATCCCGCAGAGGAGAGACTAGTGTATATGAACCGCGAGAGTCAAAACGAGAAAGAGAATTCTATTCCGTTTTATATCATAGAGATAGAGAATACATGATATTTTGGATCAAGCAGAAATCTTAGCAACTGACTTTGCTCTGACCTTTCATTATTATACTCTATCTAAGACTGTATCTTGTATGTGACACTCCAATTAGATAACACTGATTTAATAATTAATGAAAATATGGTACGTAGTTATTTCGCACCATGTAAGTTTATAAAAGACTTTCTCTCCACAAAATTACACGTGAAAAAATGCTTGTTTTACTTTACTCGCCTGGTGAACAGCTTATACTGGATGTCGATGTTGTCATCTCTGTGGCAGCAGTAACTGCACTGGCCCACTGGTGCGGTCATGAAGCACACCTCTGTCACACCTGTGAAACCATACGAGTGACTGTGTTTAGAACTTATGTTTCTGTAATTAACTATAATACAATTTATTTACCCACGTTAACGGCTAACTAGAGCCGGAGACGCTCTCTAGTTGAGCCGACCCCCTCAGGTTCGAGTGGTCTAAAGGCTCCAGACGGAGAGGAGACTCCCTCCGTGGGGAGATGCCATCCGCCTGGAATACCTCTAGAGGCACTCGCCAATTCCCGGCTTGAAGGAGCTCCCCTTAGGATCTCGCCGTCCCCAAACCCGGTGACGCTGTAAAGGTCATCTGCGACCAACAGCTTAAACACTCAATAAAACAATTTATTTATTTCCTCCCAAAATTAAACAAAAATACAGACGCTATAAAATTATGAGAGAATAAAGTCCGAAATATGTAGGTAACCCTGTGCTAAGGAATCTGCTGGCCCTTACGTCTCGGAACATTTTATATGTTGCAATTAAAATATTAATTTAAAGGGTGGTTATGTTAATACAATATAGTTAGGGTCAAGTAGATATTATCAATACTCCTGATTTCAAGTGGGAATCACACTTCATGTAAGGAGTCCTCGTTACATTGATTTTTCGACGATTTTCCTTGATATAGTGATAAAAAAGTAACTTCCTGTGAGGGTTTAGCAATCAAATGTTTAGTTGAAAATTAAATCATAAGTTGATATATTTACACAGATTTCAACTCGATAACTTACAAAACCATGACGTAATTTACCACGTTTAGTGGACCCTACTTAAAGTTAAGTACCTAAATCTAAAAATCTTCGAGTGATGTTTGAGTAGTCGGGCCTACGATATTGTTTGTATAGTAATCGAATTATTTTGAGGTTGCTTCTTTACTTAATTGTATATGTAATAATATGTTGTATTTCCTAATGACTGCTTAAAAATTCAGTTTATAATTAAATATATGATGGCATGAACGTGAAAACATGTTACGTCTTTTATGAGCAAACGAAATACTCAAGTGGATATGTAGGTGGATCTTATAACTCGAGCAAAATATCGTATCATAATGATTTAAACAATGTTAAATACTTAAAAAAAAACTTGTTAAATTAATAAGTGAGTAAGTACAAAAATCTTCGCACCGCATGTCAATTCTCGGTTAAACTAATAAAACTTTGCAGGCAGAAAAACCGGCCAAGTGCGTGTCGTACCACGCGCGTGTAGGGTTCCGTAGTTGCTCTTCGTCACCGCAATATATTTTGGAAAGAGTCTATATTTTAAGTAATTACTTCATCTAAGTCAGTTTAAATTATTGACTTTTTAAATATACTTATCATTAGTATTTTTTATGCTCTTCCAAGGGCGAAACATATGGAACTTTTTATATTGTTTTCCAGCTGTAACAAACTATGTTTCATGCAAATAAACCTTCATTTCATTTCAAAATATTGCCCCGGCAGCATTAAAAAATATACCCCTATTGGAATATTTTCTTCTATGGATTTTTTATTAGGTCTGAAATTTTCTAATAGATAAGTTGCACGACTATTACTCTTAAACTAGCAAATTTATTCTAACCGTTATAATTTTCCTTAAAACTTCATGAAAAGCACTATTATCACGATTTTTTCCAGGTTTTCAAGTCAATAGTTTAGCTTCGAGAAGGGGGGACGCCCTACACGTACAAAAATTTGCACTTAAGTTGCACCAAATTTCTTTAAATTTAACTGTTCGGTTAGAGTACTGGTTAGGTAAAAAATGAGTTGCACCATTTGACTTTATTAAAAATGAGGTAATAATTTGACAGTGACAAGCAAATGTTCAAGCGACCAGTTAAAGTAACAGTCAAATTTAACTTTAACTAGCTCGTGGTAAATGAAATGAAATGAAACCTTTATTGGCCATCATAACAAAAGAAAAACTTAGCAATAAAACATTAAAAAAAAATACAAAAAAACTTAACCTAAAGAACAAAAAGAGAATATAATAATAATTAAGACGGTATATCACGAATTCAGGACCCTGCTTCAGATTATGCTGTCACAGTGTGAAGGTACTTTCTCTCTGTGTGGTACTTTAACTGAATTGTTAAAGTAAGTTGGTGTAACTCACGCCGAGTGTGGATTACCTTATAGATACTCAGAAAAAATGTTACAACATGGACCAAATACATGGATATCGATTACTTACAACTTAATCATTACAACTTAGTGTTATATTCAAAGCGATAAATATCATTGATGTTTGTTGTTGCAATTTCTATAATTTATTTTTAATTTTTTTATTAATAGGTTCGACAAATGACACCGCCCCACCTGATGTTAAGTGACGGTGAAGTCCAGACGTGAAGATAGCTGGTACAGCAGTTCTACCTGCCACACCAGCCATCCTCACCCTGCCGGCCTGCATGTAGCTTCTTCACGCCTCTTTTAAAGGATCCCAGGTTGTAAGAAGGCGGGAACACGTGAGCGGGCAGAGCATTCCATTTATGGATAGTGCGACAAACAAATGAGTCACCAAATTTTTTTGTACGCATTGGAATTGTAGCCACAGTTAGACGGTGACGACCTAAGCCAGCGCGCGTGGTCTTCTAAGGGAAAGGCGAAGGTAGAATAAGAGAGAATACCTCCTCAGAACACATAGTAGTATATAATCGTGGAAGCAAACGTGTGAAATTTATATGACGTAGATCTGATAAAGCGTATGGATATTTTTGAAATCCTAAAAATATAAATGCGTCGTATGCAGTTAATGAGATAAACAAAAAATACCTAGTTGTAATTCCGATACTTTCGTGTCGATTTTGTAATATCGATCTAAATATACTTTTAGTTCGAAAATTTTGATCAGAAATGAAGTTATATAAATTATATGACCAAAGTTGCGAGTGATAAAAGTACTACTTAAACACCATTAAAGTTATTGCGTCCAAATTGGTCAAGCGCAACTGCTAAGTACTGTTATGTAACGAAACCTTACCACACTAGAGGAAAAAAATATTAAGTCTGAAAAAGGTTTATAATCCCCAATCTCGCTGTCACATTTATATCACTATTATATAAATAAATAGTTCCATCACTCACACCGATAAGCAAAGTAAGCACTATATGCTTGTGTTATAGGATACTAGGGTAACGGATAGAATACAAATATACTTGTATATGTATCAGATATACTGATACATATATAAGTACATTTAAATAGAAATACATATTAAAAATCCATGACTTGAGTACAAATGCTAGTATTCATCACGCAAACATCTGCTCCCACCGATATTCGAACACGGGACCTCTCGAGTAGGCGACACCTTGAAATCCGACGTACAAACCACTCGGCTTCGGAGGTCATCCAAAACAATATAAAAAGATTAAAATAATTGCATAAATGCTATAGGGACAGCATATGTTAAATAAATGTTACCCATAGAATAATAAGTAGTTATACTATGCCTCTTTGTATCCTTTTTTTTGTAAATGCTTATTAAATCTCCACTCTAGACGGTCTTTATTGGTACTAAAAATTTGTTTATTTTTGGCATTTTTTCTTCTAGTTTCTTTGAAACACAGTTTTTCGAAAAAACGGAAGACATAGGAGCATAGATGAGTAAAATAATATTTTTTGTATAAATATCAATTCTTTAGTGACGAGAACGTTTGTATGGAGAAAACATTGCCCGCCCCCTCTCTTAAACCGAGCCACAACTCACACTTGGAGTATATGATACATAGTTGCTCTTTTCGAGTATCTAAAGCTAACCAGAGATATCCCTTTGAAAATTGTAAAAAGTGAAAAATATTCGAAACAAGATGAAGCCGGCACGGCTTCATCTTGTTTCGTGCGGTAAAACATTTTACCGCACGCTCCCATACAGGGCGCCGTGCGTATTCTTTACAGTTTTTTTTTATTTCGGCCTAATCGCACTAATCTAATCAGCGCTGCTGGTTAGAATGAGAGAGGAGGAGTATCTACATCAGAAAGTTATTAAACTAAATGAACACAAGAGATTGGTAGGTGAAAAGGGGGATTGGGGGGGTAAAATGGATTCTAGGGTGATAGTGAGGATTGATGGGTGATAATAGGGGATTGGTCGGTGATAGTGGTGATTGGAGGGTAAAAGGGGATTAAAGGGTAAAATGAGGATTGGAGGGTAAAAAAGGGTTAGAGGATTAAAAGAGGATTGGAGGTTGTAATGGGGATTCGAGGGTGAAAAGGGGGATTGGCGGCTGAAAGGGATTATTTAATGAATAAATTATCATACATCTTCTATTATGTAACAAGAAAATAATTAGGTAACTGAGTACAAGTAAAAAGATTTGTTTGATGGGGAAAGTTGTAATTTCATAAATATCTTGTAAATAAAATTTTGAAGGGCCTTATCCGGCAAGAAACTCAGCAAGGGCTTTTTTCTGTTTCGTTTCATACAGTACGGTCAATATTATTAAAATATAAAAAGGCATACTTAATAACATCAGTACCCCTAGCACTAGCTACAAAAACTACGAATAAACCAGATGGCGTCGCTTATGCTATATTGAAATCTAAAAACATCTTTTTTTATTTAGATACATTTAGGTATATTATTTAATTTAATATGTTATGTACATTACTATATTTCTATTTTAAGCATTTAACTGCTAGATGTTTAATTATGTTGTGTACAATTCACATCAGGTTACCGCAAAGTCGCAAATCATTTAATCGAATTATTTAATTAATTTGGCCTAACAACTAACAGACAGATAGAATCGATGTCATAAATTTGCGTATCTAAAGCTTATAAATGGATCAGCACAAAACTAAATGCAGTTGAAGTTTGATGGGTTTGGATAATAAAAACTAAGTACGTCACTGAAGTTACACTAATCACTTATTTTATTCTGATGACTGAATTTCAAAATCAACAACAGCAAAGCTAAATCTTCCCATAAATGTTTTACTTCCGCGAGCTACTGAAAAACTTACCTATGAAAAATGTCATCAGCTGACATGACGCCGGATTCGCCAACATTCTGTATGCAGAACGCGGGACCGCACTCATTCACAAAAATCTCGGAAATCCTCATTACACTGCGGCATTTCAGTGCAAACTCGGACCGTCCGACTCAACAATGCCACTCTCGCAATGTCCGTAACTCGTTATAACTGCTCCCGTAGTATTCGCAGCCTTATTAGTTCACCGGCAAGTGTATGTACTCGCGGAATTTCACATGTATGTATTATGTCCATCTACATATTATATAAAAGATTAACGCATGCTTTTCTCGAAGGCTATCTCGGCAGTGACCTTTTCAAGTTGCTCTAACAATTAGCATATTCGACCTAACACCAATGTTTTTTATCCCACTTAACACTTCAAAGTAATCAGCATTGTTTTGCTGTTATCAGTTCGCGATTCCACAGACGACTAATTTGTTAACTTAAAGTATAGCAGTGGCAAGCTGATGGTGGTTATGCAACAGATTGCAACGAGACAATACGACACGAAACTATTTCGCCGTAGAATTGATTTTTGCGCCGAGAAAATTGCCGATGTTTTTATTATCCTTGACGTTACGATCATACTTTAACTTAAAGACACGCAATTTATACTTAATGTAAATTATACAACCCAATTTGGAGAAGGCCAACGGTTGAATCCGATGTCTAGTCACTTTCAAGATATAAATCTTAGCCATTGTCTGTTACTTACTGTAATTGCCTACGGCATGTAAACTAACTATTGTATTTAAGTAATAAGTTAGTTCTAAAATCTATACCGACCGGATGAGAATAACAATTATGATAATACACCAACTCAAGCCCCCTAACTTTTTTATGTCAAAGGTGGCACAAGCACATGGCCCGGCTGATGGTAAGCGGCCATCATAGCTTTAGACGCTTACGATACAAAAAATATCAATCACGCCGTTGCCTATCCTTTTTTTTATCGTCAGGAAAATGCGTTACGCATACCTCACCGCCTTGGGAGTGCGGCAAGGTTATGTGGGACTCCTCCCCTCATCTCGTTCACCCGTTCAGCCAGTCCGAGGGCTGACTCAACGGCTGCTCAAGAGGAAGGGGGCCCTACCCACCAAAACCTGACGATACCCCTCATCTCACCGCTGGGCCGTGGCCACGTCGGGCAGGAGAACCGTCATCTGGCGGCACCCTGCCCGGCGAGGTAACAGCACTGGACGAGGCCACGGGAACCCTTACGGATGCTTCCACAACCCCGCCAGTGAGTGTCCGGTTCAAACGGACCCGTCCATCTTGGGGATGCCCCGGGGCATAAGGGGCATCCCCATTTAACGACAAAGGCCTATGCAATGCAGGGCCCAGACCTCCCACGTCTGGACCCCGCTGGCCTCCGTCGGGTAAAACTAAAAGAAGGTCAATACGCCCTCTCCTACCCCTTACCCTTCTTCGTCGGAGAGAGCCCGCGTGGGATTGTTCCTCACGGACCCTCTCAGCAGCCTCCTTCTGCGACATGACTTCCTCGCAGAAGGAAACCACCGCCTGCCAGGACCTGTCACTACCAAGCATGGCTCTCACTATGCTTGGCAGCGAGAGGTCCCCTCCCACTATGCCATTGCCTATCCTGACCCAACCCCTTATAGGGATCCCCCGTGGAGCCCAGGAATCTTACACACCAGAAACACAACACCACCAAAAAGTAGTGTTATTTTACTGAAGTCTTCTTGAAGGTGGAGGTTACTTCCCGAGACGGTCGCTCCAATTCGAGCTGTAAATCTGCTATGCCCTAACTCGCTTAATATAAAAATCCAATGACAGGGAAATATTAATCAAGAAAACTGTTGCACGTCATAAATTATAGGAAAGAAATATGTTCTGTGGCAGGAATAATTAAACGTGCATCACGATTTTCAAACACTTTAATGTAAAATATGCCAACTCAAATACGTGCAATTCTTGAAACGACTCCAAAAACTGGTCCACGCACATACAAGCCTGCGCCATTTACACGATGCAAGTTTCTTGCCTGTTGCATACAATTAAATTGAAGCAATAAATGACTTGCATGGTGTATAACATTCCTCATGTGCTATACAAGTTTCGCTTCAAAACTTTTCTTAGTGTAAATAGCACATACAATAGATTCTTGTATCATTTGCAAGCATGAATGCAGTAAGTGATGGTGTGTTAATCGTTGCTGGTCTTCTGGGCCAAGAAATATTGAGAAAACGTCGTAATTCGTATTAAATTATGCCAAAAAAGTTTGGACTTGCAAACGTTATCAGTACCGGAACGATGCCCATTCCGCACTGGACCCAATGCGGATTGGGAGTAGGATACCTTTTTTTATGAAATAGAGAGCCATGACTCGCCACGCGGGCCCAGTGCAGATTGGTGGGTTAAATATTTTTTTTATCACATCTATTCGAAGAGCTAGTTGGTTCTCTATTTACAGAGACCAACAGCGTATTAATCCATAGGGACCAAAATAGCTTTTTAATTTCTAGGGACCAAAAAAGCGTTTTGATTCCTAGATACCAAAATAGCTTGTTAACGCCTAGGGACAAAGATAGCGTTTTAATTCCAAAAAAGTAAGAAAAAACAAACGCGGGAAATATATTTCGCTTCGTTCATTCAAAATAATGTCTTTCGTCGTGAATCTCACTAGAGATTGAAATTATGCTAAAAATGTGATACAGTCTTTTATCTACAAAATCCTACACTAGATTCAAAAAACGAAACTAAAAAACGAATTGAGCAGGAATGTAGATTGAATATCCGCCATCTTCAATATGCCTGTTGAATTCGTTCGATTCTGGCGTAAAAGTGCTTATTTTTTATAAAGTATAAATATATCAATCGCTGTTAATTATGATTACATACGAACAAAAAAAAAATTAATACCTACAAAAATACTCGAGGTCATCTCGAGCTGAAGAAAACCTTATTTCAAAGTTGATACTTCGCTGAAATCTTACAGTAATTTTGCTATAATTAATTATACCATATAAACAAAGTTCTTCTTATATGTTGTGAATAGCGGACTTATTAAACAGTTACCCCCTTCTTAATAAACGAGGAATAAGCTTAGACTAGTTACACCGCGTTTTGTTCATATCACTCAAATGCCATTTGTCATTCGTTAGACAGAGACAAAACATGAAGTAACTAATCCAAGCATTCTTCGTTAATGCATAAAATAAAATTATTGAATATTTGACGGTTGATTTCCCGTTTCCACACTTTATAGCGTACCTATTATATAAGATGTTTTATCCGGTAATAGCAACTTTAAACCCAATTAAAACACTCACTGGAGCAAGGTTGCGTCTCGACGTAGGTAGGTTAGCTCCGAACATAGGTGTTCCACGGCCCAGATATTCGCTAAGGCGATATTAAACTATCGCCACCCTGTTATTGAGGTAGCGACGATGGAAACTGTTCTAATTAAAACTCAGCGGTGCGTGGAATCCGCAGAACAGGTTTAGCGACAGAGGAGAAACTTTATTGAACCTATGGTACCTAATTTTTAAAAGAAGTAGTGTTGAAGAGAAAGATTTTGTTTGAGAACACACACACACACAACTTTACTATTTACCGAAGCGAAGCAAGGGCGGGTCACTAAGCCTACTATCTATACATTTATACCAATAATATTATAAAAAGGAAATATTTGATTGTTTGTTTGTTTGTATTGAATAGGCTCCGAAACGACTGGACCGATTTGAAACATTCTTTCACTTTTAGAATCCTACATTATCTCTGATGAAAATAGGCTATTAAGTATGATCAAAAATGTTAGGGTTCGGTATGAAAATTTCGAAAACGTAACTCAGGGTGTGAAAAATATACATAACCTTATATCGCTTACGCTGCGCAAGTCATTGACAGTAGAGCAAAGTGATGTACTAATGTTTTAAAGAGAACATCAGTATCTCCAAAAAAGTCCGCGACACCATGTCTAATTATTACAGTTATGTCACAACTAAAGGTCCCCTGCGGTTTTCCCTGCGTTAATTTGAGAAAAAGGTTATAGTGAGCCAAACATAAAAGATGGGCAACCAGTCTTTTATAATTTGGTTTTGAGTGGAACAAAGTAGAATGCCGACTCTATACATATAATAAAATGGTAGGAAAGTCAAAACTGTACATTGAATATTTTTTTAAATGAATACATGGGGTGTGATCTACAATCGATACCGATACAAAAATATAGTTTTTAGAAAAGCCTATAGTTCAGAATTTACAGAGGGGAACGCCCTATTCAAACAAAAATTTGCACTTTAAAGTTCAATATTTCGCAAACGGATCCCTGAATCGAAAAATAGTCTGAGAAACCCCTAAGTAATTTTAAAGGACCTATTCAACTTTATCCCACACGATGGGGTAGATGATGAAAAAAATCATCCCCAGGTTACATGTACAGCTACCCTGAAAAATATTTTTTCAAATTTTTATTCTACCATTTTGTTGGCGTGATTGATATACATATCTCCACAAAGTAACAGCTCTCTAGTGCTATCAGTCTCCAAGCGAACGGGGACGGACAGACAGACGGGCACGACGAAACTATAAGGGTTCCTTGCCAGGACTACCGGACCCTAAAAATATAAGTACCTACTGATGGCGGAAACCAAATGAGTAAAAAAATGTTCCACCTTTCTTCTAGTACGGCATTGACACTGGCTACTTATGGTCATTGATGAAACTATCGTATATTTTTTTGTTTGCTCTGTATGCATTGAATGGTTAAATACTTCGGTTAAATACTTAAAACTTTTTACAGTCATGTTCAATTAACGTGTTTTGAGTACCGATAGATCTGACTATCGACTACGTACCTACAAGTTGATAATCTATGGATTTAATGTAATTTGTAAACTTATTTGAAACCAACCCTTTTGAAGTGAAACTTTTTTACGCACGCTTGATTTGGGGGGTAAGCTGGCGAATGTGTTACGCATTACGAAAAGTGTGTTCGGGCGAGGCGAACGGGAGTTGAGGGGGGATATAAGCAAGAGAAAGCAGTGCGCGCGCACATTTTCTTTCTCTCTTTCTCTTATAGCTAGTAAATGAAATATGTATGAATGTATGATGGAGCTAAAGAAGTTTCACTTCAGTCGTGTGGTCATAAGCACACTCGTTTTTTTAGGATTCCGTACCCAAAAGGTAAAAGTGGACCCCGTTTTACCCTTTACTAAGACTCCAATGTCCGACTGTCTGTTTGTCACCAGGCTGTATCTCATCTCACCGACTGTCTGTCTGTCACCAGGCTGTATCTCATCTCATGAACCGTAATAGCTAGACAGTTGACGAAATTTTCACAGATCATGTATTTCTGTTGACGCAACAGTAAACAGTAAACGTACTACACCCCTATACAAAAATATTGATCCATATCTTTTACCAAATATCCTTAAAAGGAGAAAATTTGTAAATAACATACTTACTTATTACGGAATTATTGCCCGTTTAAAGTACGTAATTTCTAAAAGTAGATTTATTTAAATCAATTTATAACAATAAAAATTGTTAAGGTTTCATAATTACACAAATAGTGAAATGGCTGGTATTTTTGTAGTATTTCGTTTAGTATGCTTAGGTCTGGGAATAGGTATTTGGTGAGCTGTCCTGTGTGCTACCTATTAAAGGTGGACACATTATTGGAAAAAAAATGTTGGTCTATTTTGCGGAAATATAACCTAAATCGTTGTCTGAATCTAGTAAATCTCAGGTAACTCAAAGTTACATAGTAGACCGTCTGGTATACACTGATACTGAAAGTTAAGCCGTTGGTCTCGACTGTATATGCAGTACTTAGCTCCCGCCAATCCCCACTGGGCCTGCTTGGTCGTGGTCTTTTCTCCCTATCCCATCCATAGGGAAGGCCTGTGCCCCAGCAGTGGGGGCATTGACAGGCTGATAATTATTTGATGACTACTTGAGACAAAGATGTTACCTAGGTATGTCAAGTCCCTTAAACACTTTTGTACAACGACAAGAGACATAATTAATCTATTGACTCAGGTTTACTAGTCCAAGTGCAATTTTTACTTTTGTGAAATCATTTTACTTATTGCGAATCCAATTATATTCATTTGCCAAGTTACCTAAGACTTTTGTAATCAGACTCTTGGTCATAGCTGCTCCGCAAAGATTATAATCTATTTAGAACAACATTTAAACAAAATGTGAACGTTAAATAAGATGTTAGAGATTAGCTTATTAGAAGAGCTTGACGATGGAAGAAAAATAGGTTACATCATAAATTGTCACCAAAACAGTTTTAATGGTTCCGTATTTCATTGGGGAAGAACGGGACTCTTTAAGCCTCCGCTGTCTGCTACCTGTAATTTCAACGGATGTTTAAGTAGATATTAATTATAAAATAAAGATCTCAATACATGAAACATGATTTTTCGATTTGTTATGCTCGATCCAGTTTCAAATAACGAAACGCTTCCTTTGCGAGTCCGACTCGCATTAGGTCAGATCTGTTGTAATAAAGTTTTAACAATTTAATTTTTTATTCGCCTTTTATTCGCCAAGAAATTAGTATACTTATTTTATAAATTTTACGAGCAAGTCAATGATTAAAATATTATCATTATAAAATACTACAATGTTTTTCTGAATTTCATACCAATATACACTGGCAGCAAAAAATCGGGTCATTGACTAACTCGGAAGTGATTTGATTTTCTCAAAAAGTATAAAACTTGCAACTGTCAAAGTTATACCTAAAGAAAGTGCGTTCCATTATCGTTAAAATAAACGGGGGGAAAAACTTACAACTTTCAGAGTTATACCACAGAGTGTCATGATGATTAAAATGAATGGAAGTGCAGAATTACAATTTTGTGTTAAAAACTAGGTACTTAGAATAATTTTATATTTGTATCATTTATATAACTATTGGTGGTCTTTGGAAACATGGACTCGACTCCGTAAATAATACAGGGAGAAAAAAACAGCACTTGCTGAGTTTCTTGTCGGCACTTCTCAATACAGAGTCTCCCATCGTAGATTTGCGAACCGATGGCGTAGTATTTTCCACATTCACAGGAGCTTGTAACAGCGTAGACCGAATAAACCATATAGAATTTTGAATTTTTGGGAAATAGGGATGATGACTATTTTTTTTTTCTTTCTTTATCATATGCATTTATCGAAATGTATTGGACACGTATTTTTCCTTTATCACATAATCAAATCATTACAGAGATAGAGAACAAAAGAAAAAAATAAGTATCTATTATTTTATGAAAATCTAACTGGCGTACTAAATAGAATTTCGGTTCCTTTTACCCTGTCATCATCCCTATTTGCATTAGCTTAATTTAACACTTTTGGCATTTACTTTATCTTTGAAGGAGACAGCGGAAAATTTTATGTTATTCAATCAGCCCATAGAAAAATATTTTTTGTTTCTACAGCATATACTTAAATACTTTGTTTGGTATACTTAATTAATTATACTTTCAAGATGAAATTTTATTTTCATGTAAAACTTTGAATTATTTATATGTACACGTTTTATTATATGACATGAAATGTAAATAAACGTAATTTAAATTGATTTAAAAAAAGTTCTTCTGCATCGTCCTTATTATTAGTTTTCTTATCACCTGTTCAGAAAAACAGGCGAAAAAAATTCTCAGCTTTTTATGAAGAAGCGACATTTACATAAAAATATATGGTTACCACTACATTATTGTAATTACATTCTATATGTAAAATTACAAAAGATTCCGCATTAGCACATTTTACCTGAGTATGTGTTTGGAAATTAGAAGGGACAAAGATACACACACCCAGATCAAGACTATTTTTTTTCTACGATTACGAATGGAACCATGAACTCTACGTCGAGCTTTCATAAATCTGAGGACTTAGTTTTAAAATCGTAATCGTTAGTTAAAACTCGGTGCTGGTTTTTTGACGGCCAATACAGTCCTTTTCATAATTAAACGCGAAGACTTCCCTAAACTTACATGACGTTACTTTTCGAAAGATATGTTATTGTTTCTTTTGTTGTAATTAAAGTTTAAATTCAAATCCCTCTGAAAACATCTGAAAACGAACTCACAGGAGACTTAAATTTTTTTTTTTGGTTCTTATTTATGGAGATTCTCCCAATATGCCAGCCTCATCATACCCTAGCCATTTACACAGAACTGATTAATCTAGATTAGAGAGGGCCAGCTATTCTTACTAGCGAAAACCATATCAATCATCGACTTTGCTGCGTCTGAGTTAGGTTGAGCTAATGTTTCCATGTCGTAAAAAAGCATCCTAGGTTAAATTAAAATGTCAATAGACTTCTTTTATCTATGTATGCCGCTTTCAATGTCCTCTGTCTTGTTACAGGACAAATTGCTCAATAAACTGGAGGAGAATGAGCCCGAACTGGCCACTTCGCCCGAGGAAGAGGTAAGTTAATGCATATTGTATCACACGATCCATCCACCCTCACCTTCATTCCGATACAGGTATTGCCACTTAAATATAGGCTTACTCTTTAAATCTACATTTCATAATTATAATTTATCTCTTAGAAACTTGAAAGATAAATAAGTTTAAGAAAATGAGAATATATTTTAAATGTGACTACCGGGTCCATCTCTTTAATGGCCAGCGCAGACGACTGAATTTTGTCCGTAGAGGACAAAAGCCCCTGAATCGAGAAAAAAAATCTCCGCCAAGGACTGTCACGGACTCAACGTACACGGTGTTTGGACATTCGTTGCCCGGTTTAGAGAAGAGAAACGCACGTTATGGAAGAAAATAAGTAAGAAGTAATAAGAAAAATAAAAAACGTTTTAACGTTTTAAAAAAGAGAATACTGGGTCCTCTCCTTTATATCTGATCGAGCGCGGAACGCACACTAAAGTTATCTGTATGCGTTGCTGCGACTAGTCAGATGAGTTCTATTTTTTTCAGGGAATTCCGGATACTTTTCTCCTGTCCTCGGTTGTTCGGGAGACTTTTTTTACGCGGTACTTTTAGTCCGCCGTGTACGTTACTCCATATCATCTCCATATAAGCGATCTAGTTTGGTGGACAAAAAAGTACGCGAACAATAGCTCCTCGTCTACGCAGGCTATTAATGTTCGAAATGCAAGTTTGTAATATTTTATGACTTTCCGCTATAGGCAGAAGAATATAGACTTTAAAAAATAAATCAAATTTTGATGATTTTGATTTTATATCGTAATTCTGAATGCCCTGTTAGTAATATAGCAGGCACGGAGCGCGAGGGAGTTAGGGACCACTACGTTAAGCCGACTATGCATTTCATTTGCTTGCTTCAAATGCGTTAAATTAACTAACATTGATTTGATACCATAAATATATTTACGCAATTTTTCACGGAACTCTGACTCATAGTGACTTTTTAAAGGTCCGTGCGTGATTGTGAATCAAGAAGTTGCTTGAGTGTAGTTTAAGCACTTCTTGATTTGGACACATTGAAGCGCCCCGGTAAAAACGAGCTATTCTTACCAGCAAACAATATCAAACATCAACTTTCCTATTTCCGATAAAATTGAGAACAGCGTTTCTAACAATATTAAAACAAAATAAAATAAATGTTAATATTGATCTTAAACTTTTTTTGTGTCGTGCCCTACTCTACGGTATTTTTTGTTTCCCTCCCAGGCGGGGGAGTAAGACGTAGTCGCTACCAACTAACAATAGGCATTGTTATTATTTATTTCATGCCAGTTTTCAGGTTTTATTGAACATAGTTTTTGCTGTGTCGTTAGAAATCCCCAGGATTTGAGTATTAACAAAGATAGCTATCTTCGTGACATAAACAAAACTAAGCTAACGGTGGGAGCTTACTGTTAAGTTCGTGAGCTGAAAACCTTGAAGAAATGACAACCTTGAAAAAAAAATCATACATTCATTCAATATATAGGGCTTCTTACAAATGTCTAGCGTGGGTGCGATTTGCCCCGTCGGTTTACGAGTACACTATAACTTTACGACACTTTAACGGAGTGCTCTGTAAATGATACGATTTATTTGACTTGCCCCGTAGTATTTAGTGGCACATTTACAGCGCAGTCTGTAAATCAGGCCTCCAGTCCCGGCCAGAAATATTACGGTCTTGCTGTGAAATGTGGTAAGTGCGAGAACGTTATGTCCGTACAATTTTTGCCAAATGATGTCACCATATAATATTTTGTGTAAAACCTACTGGATTTGCAAATACTAAGTACAATGCATACTTATTAATGCAGGATTTAGTTTTTTTCTGATATGGATAATCTATGTAGACAGCCTGCGTGAAATATTCTCATAGTACTTGTTTTTTATCAATATTATAATATTATTGATTTAGGTACTGCGTTGCATTGTAAACGAGCCAACTATTATATAAATACCTACCAATAAAGGAAAAGCATTCTTCCCTGTGATTATTTCTTCAAATTTGACCTTTCTTTAGTACTACTTTCAAATGTAACTTTTTTATTATAATTTTTAGTACACGTTGCGTCGATGCAGTTTGCGCGGTTACCTATCCATTTTATTCAAAGAATCATAGGGATGTCGTGGTCAAATAGCTCGTTCGCGAAATTTTCACTAAGATTATGAACCGCACTGAATTTATAGTTTACGTCATAATAAGTTTTATTACAGAACACAGCAAAACTGACATAGTGTATTCAGACAAAAACTACAATGAAACCAGAGAACTTACTCCCAGTTAATAGAACATTAGCCTTTTGTTAGCATTACATATTCTAATACATTATGTTCCTAAATTTTCCACCGGTATTATGCAATATCGTTGGCCATATCATATTCTCACAATTGCTTGTCACCGTCCATCGTGTTTGCTATGCCCTGGATGGCACAACAAACTTCGAAATACTTCCTTAACATTTATAAAATGCATTAGGCGTTATCATTGTTTCACTAAAATCTAAGACATGACCTTGCCTTAGTTCAAGGTTGCAATAATCTTGCGATGAAAACAACCGAAGCCGAATCATTGCAGCAAACAAATCCAGCAATATTACAAAATCCTGCGCGGTGCACCGCCGGCTTTCTCGGACCTCTCGAAACGTCTAAGATAGGACCTTGAATTGTTCTACTTTGATAAGATCAAATTATGCAAATAGATTAAGTAGATTTTTACCAAATTATGCAAATAGATTAAGTAAATTTTTACCGGTCATCACTGTTCCGAAGTGGTTCTACGTAAATCTTGATGCTAAGATAGCAGGGAACAAAAGGAATAGTGTATCCTGCCTGAATATGTTACAAATCAAGGAGTTTATATAAAGATCGAATACTGTTTAAAATATACTTCAAGCAAGAAGTTTTTTTATGGTAAAATAGTCGTAAACAAGCGTATGGCCTGCAACGCTTGTTTACGAGCCACGAGCTAGTAAGCGGCGACCATAGCTTATAATATCAATAAAAATAATAATAAAAATAACAAATATCACTCGCACCGTTGCCTGCCCTGAGCCTACCTTTCATGCTATGACAGCATGATTTTCACAAATGCTAGTTGCGTACAGCACACATAAACACTCACTATCACACTAAGGCCCGTATTATAGAAAGATTCTCGGTAATGAATCTAGTCTTGAGCATAGTTAGATAGGGATGTCGCTATGTGCTATACAGACTTTTTAACTGTACATCCCTTTCTAACTATACTCAAGACTAGATCAATCACTGAGAATCTTTCTATAATACGGCCCTTAGTTGTTATTTTGTAATACGGGCCTTAAACACGCAGCTTTTGGTTATTATTTTTAGAAACTGGGTATTTTTTATTTGTCTTTTAGCTACCTATTAGATAGAATAGCTTTTCATTTGCTTATTGTTATTTTTTTTCCTCTATTCCATGCTGTTGAAACAACAATATACATTTCAACTGTCCGAAGGTATTGTACCATCCGTGGAAGTCTTGCTAGCTGTGACTGGGCCTGGTGACCTGTAGCACAGGTTTCTATTGCTGAAATCTATTTCAGGCACCAGTTCATCACAAATAGAGGAAAGGAACCACAACATTGTGATTGCAAATTAAGACAAACTATGTTGTGATGAAAAATAAATATATTTTAGTTTTTTTTTTATTGAATTGTAGCATTCCTATTAGGGTGCGATCATGGAAGTTACTTTAGGAGGACATGCTGTCACAGTCACTCATTCCCTCCGTAATTTTTATGTTTAAATCATGGCATACAAGCATATGACCAACCTGATGGTAACCTATAGACACATACGATACAAAAAATATTACTCGTACTGTCGCCTACCCTGACCAAATCCCCCGTGGAGCGCTGGACCTAGGGTTACCATCCGTCCGGTTTGTCCGGATATGTCCGGACGTTGTCAGGCTTTTTAATTTGTCCGAATTTTTTAATTAGATGGATTATGAGTAAAACTACGTATTAAGTTATATCAAATAAGTCAAATTATCTTTGTTTAGTTCTCATTAATTTAAAAACAAAATATAAATTATCTTTAAAAATCAGCAAATCGCGATGCGAGCGGCTGCTACCACGCGTATAATATCACTTTTACTAAGTGGGTGATGTTTGCATTTTGAGACTAAAATGTCAGGACTTTTGTCGAAATGTCCAGCTTTTTGTCAGGACTTTTCAAATTTTTAAAAAGTAACCCTATCTGGAACCTAATTCACTGATAGAAACGCAACACCATCAAAAGGTAGTGTTATTTTACTGCGGAGGTTTTTTCTCCAGACGGCCGCTCCAATTCGAGCTGAAAGTCTGCTATGTCTACCTCTCATTTTTACTTTAAAACAAAAACTCAATTTTATTTTCAGTGTGTAATATGCGTGAACGCCAAGGCCACGATGCAGACTTCGCCGTGCGGGCACCGCGTGGTCTGCCGGCGGTGCTTCGTGAAGACCATCCAGATGGCTGTGAGCCAACGACTGCTGCCGCTGCGCTGCGTGATCTGCCGCGCCAAGATCCTACGGCTGCGACAGGCGCCGCGGCTGGTCACCAGCAAGAGTTGGCAGGTCAGTAACATAAGAAGTACCTAATGTAAGATGTAGGTAACATTGAACAGCAACTAAATTGCCAGCTTGCAGGTTCAAAGGGCGGATCCAGCTTTGGTACCAGGGGGGGTCATTTAGTCGTATTCAAGTCATAGTGGGTACAGATTGTGAAGTACAGATTGTGAAGTGGGTACAGATGGACCCAGCCCAGGGGAAGGTTATAACCCCCATGACCCCCCCTGGATCCGCCCTTGGGTTCAGTCACGGGAGTACCCATCTCCTTTTTTGTGCGTAATGGATGTATATGTAAGTATGCTGCCGCTGTGCTGCGTCAGCGGTCGCGCCGTCAACAATCGGTAAAAAAATCCAAAACTGTCATAATTATTTCTCCAACTGACTTTGAATTTCAGCCTGCTTGTTAAATAGAAGTTTAAGTGTAAGTAAGTGGTATTTTACACTGATGAGACTACCTGGTGTGACGAAGTTTCAGGAACACTCCCAAACTATCAAGTTACACAACTGATAGTTTTAAATATTTATTTTTTATATTAAAAGGGTGACAAACATGCCCGCCTAATGGTAAGTGGATACCATAGCCCAAAGACGCTTGCGATACAAAAATTACCTATCAATCGCGCCGTTGCCTACCCTGACCCAATCCCCAACCTCTTGGAGCACTGGAATAAGGTTCCGCACAGACAGAAACACAACACCATCAAAACGTAGTATTATTTTACTGTGGTCTTCTGTATGATGGAGGTTACTTCCCCAGACGGGTGCTCGCTATGCCCTACCTCTCTTCTTACTTCAGGAAACAACCATACAAAGGTACTTATTTGTTTGGCTAGAGAACATATGTTACATGCTTAAAAAATCTTATATATAAAATTCTCGTGTCACAATGTTAGTTACCATACTCCTTCGAAACAGCTTTACTGATTTTTATGAAACTTTATATGCATATTCAGTAGGTCTGAGAATCGGCTACTATCTATTTTTCATACCCCTAAGTGATAAGGGTTGTCCACCCCTAACATTTTTTTAGATTTTGGTTTTTTTTTATATTGTGGCATTAAATATACATACATCTCTAAATTTTCACCCTTCTACCACCCATATTTTTATGACGATACTAAGTTCGCTGGGTCAGCTAGTAATAAATATAACTTTCACATTTCCGGGCTACAACTTAGTACTTACAATAATTATTGTGGTCATTGTCAATTCCGCAGAATGGATAATGACATAGTTTCACGATGCATACCTTTGCTATGCAACAAATTAACACTGTCTGAAAAACAATACATAGGTAGGTATACGCGCTGATTAATTAATCACGATGTAACTCAAATCGTTGACGTACTTTTTTGACTCGTGACGTGACTTTCTACGCTGTATGTACCATAATTGCATAACAATGGCCGGGACCTTGGCCGCCCGTGTCCTATCCGTGTGGATAATTCACGGCTGCGATTATGAGGGGTAGGGTTGCCAACCCTACTATATAATTCTTTGTATGTAGGTACTACCTACCTAACATGATTAGACTAGACTGTGAGCTATTGTTAGTAATAACAATTCAATACATACTTCAATATATTGATGACCTCCGTAGCCGAGTGGTTTGTACGCGTACGTTTTCATGGTGTCGCCGACTCGAGACGTCCCGGGTTCGAATCCCGGTGGGGACAGATGTTTTTGTAATGAATACGAGCATTTGTACTCCAGTTATGAATGTTTAATATGTATTTCTATATAAATATGTATTCTATTCGTTACCCTAGTTTCCCATAACACAAGCCTTACAGTGCTTACTTTGGGGCTAGGCTAATTGGCGAGTGAGTGTTGGAAATATTTAATATATTGCACCTAATGGCCGGTTCACATTATTCCAGGAACTGTTCGTTTCCAGAGATCCAGGGAGATCTTTTATTCCGCGTACAATAAAATTATGGAATGAGCTTCCCTTTACGGTGTTCCCTCAGTACTATAACATGGTCTGCGTCAAGAGAGGCTTAAATAAGAGTGTTCCACGAAAAACAGTGGTATTACTGTGTCACTGGCATTGCATATGTCCATGGGTGATGGTGATCAACCACTATAAATCAGCAGTGTTATTCTGTGAAATTTTCACGCGCGGATCCGATGCAGCTTCGCGCGTTCCCCATACAGATTCGCGCGGATCCACGTCGGGTCCGCGCATAGCCCGTCCGCTCATCTGTCTTTGAAGGCAATAACGATAAACTACCCACTATATTTTAATAAAATCAAAATTAATGGTGTTTTTCAACTTTATTTTGGACCACAATCAAGCAAATTATTGCTTTATTAAAATTAATTCAGGCGCAGAGCAGAAAAAAATATTCATTAAAAAATAAAGTAAATATATTAATCAGGTAGGTACCTACTTAATTTTTTTTAGCCATCACTATATTTAGAAGTTAGTAAGGAGAGGAGGAAATTACTATAGGTATTTTATAGAAAAGAAGTTGGTAACCCTAATGAGGGGAGAGCGGGCGACCTTTGACAATCAATGGCGCATGCAACATTTCCCAACTCATATCAAACTCATTGAGGATAATTTCGACAAAGTTGTTATAGTTGTTTACAACAAACCTCATTAATTCCTGATTGTACTTCCTTATTTTATTTAGTTATGCTTGTGAAGAAAATAATGTAAGGTAAATAATGTTTTTGTTTCACGTGGAGACTAAAGACAAAAAACATAGATAGCTATATATATTCTTAAGTGGATGGCAAAATCTAACGTTATGTTCGCGTGGAAAAAAATGTTTCCCATACTAATTCCCACACCCCTGTTCAAATAAAAGGTGATTTCTGGAATAAAAACTATGTTATGTCCTTTCCCGGGACTCCAACTATCTATATACCAGCATAATCGGTTCAGCGCTTTAAGCGTGAAGAGATTTACATTTATAATATTAGATATGATTGCATGACTCAGAAAGTCAGAACATGTATATTTATAACTCTAGCAGCATGAGTAGGTAAAGTAAAAATTGGTCCTAATAATTTATTGAACTTCTCAAATAAAATCCAACAAGCATCTATCTATAATTAACTCGGTTTCGTATGTGTATTTGAATGTGGCCATTCAAATAAACATACGAAACCGACTTAATTGAGATTTAAGTTGTTAAGTTTGAGTTAGTAGCCAAATAACTGCACCGGTTGGTGGGTCGACATTCATCACATCAAATTGAAATTATTTGTCATTTGAATCCTGTAAGAATTTGTTGCGATTACCTCTATTGCGATACACCGCTATGTTAATACGAGCTTACAAATCAAATTTTACACAAGTTTTATCTCGAAAAAGTAATCCCTTAAGTAAGTCCAGTCAATGAAAGCTTAACTTTGCCATTTTGAGTTGATCACCTGCAACCAACGCGAAAATTTCCGTAAGGGTTCGTAGATTAATATACTAAAATTGCAGGGTGCTGCATTGACGGCAAAGAGTGCAAAAACATTGCGAAATGGTGCAAAAACGGGTTATTCGTCAATATCTCGCGAATGGCTGGGAAAATAGAAAAAGTTCCTAGTACAAAATTTTATTTCCTACAAAAAAGGTATCAACATATTTTCGCGTATCACCCATAGTTTTTGCACAAAATGCAAAAAGTTGCAAAATAATAAAAGAATAATAATATATTGATACTCGTTTTTTTCCATTTTAAAACGAGCCTACGGGTTAAATTCAACAATCATCACTTACTGTAATATTAAAGGACAAGTTTTCGGGAGTCCACTTAAATGAAAAGTGTCTACCGAAATGGTAAAAAAATTACCACCGAAATGATACAGCCAAGAACATCGCCTTTGTAATAGAAGGGTTCCCTACTTTGAATCTAATTAAATTCCTTTATTCTTAGAGTAAATATCCTGTGAGATTATTCCGCTAAAATTAGGTCTTCTTCTTTGTTGGCATCACTCTTGACAGAGTGGTCGTGGTCATCAATTCAGGTGTTGGTGGCAAGCTTCACAACACGCCGCCACTCATCTCTGATGGCCGCCTTCCTTGTGCATTCGTGTAATGATGATGAGCCATATACTGCAGCTTTTATTTGGTCAGTCGACCTCATAGGAGATCTTCCTCTTGACCTGGTACCCTCAACGTTTCCCTGGACCACAAGTCGCTCAATAGCCACCTCCCCTCGGCGGCATACGTGACCAAAAAAAGTGAGGATACGAGACTGCACCACAGACGATAAACGCTGCTTGATGCCGAGTTCTCGAAGTATAGACTAGTTGGTACGGAATTCAGTCCACGATACTACGAGCATTCTCCTCCAGCACCACATCTCTAGGGCGTCTATCTTCTTCTTCTCTACTTCGCGCAGGGTCCACGTTTCTGAGGCGTACAAGAATATGGGGAATACAAATGTCCGAACCAACTGGATTTTCGTGGCTCTGTATATGCTGCGATGTCTCCATATTTTCCTTAACTTGTCCATCGCAGACCTAGATATTGAAATACGCCTCTTCACTTCGTCGATACATCCCCCGTACCTAAAATTAGGTATCCCACGGTAATTGGCTTTGACTGTTTGAATTTTACCAGATATTTTAATTTCACTAGATGTAGTAAAAACTAACAAATGTAAGTCGCTTTTTGCAAAAAAATGTATATATTGTATATTTGCGTTATATTTGAGGCAAGTAAAAGAAGATACCGAGTTTCAATTTGTTTTTACTGAATAACTTTTTTTTTTTGCTTGGGGAGTTCACCCCTACATGCTTCATTGGGATTTAATTAGTATGTTTCGGGCATATTTTTAAAATTAAATTATCATATTTTTTTTTTATTTATCAAGTTTATTTTTCGTCATCTTTCTTAGCAGTTATCATTTTAAACCAAATACGCAGAATAGTTCTCCCAGTAATGTTTATTCGTATTAATTGAACATAAGAATAACAGTATTGCCCAGCGCGCGATTCAACAATGAAAAGTGAGCAACTCTCTCGCTAGCGCGTGATCTGTGTACGGAAGAGACGGTTAACATGGATAGCTGGTTTTAGCTGAAGCATTAATTTTAAAGTAACGATGACTAACGCTAATAAATTACAGTGGAAGAAAAGAGTAAGCACCGATAATCGATTTTAGCTGAAGTAATTCATAAAGCGTCGAATAAAAGAAAAAACAAATTGAAATTCGGTATCTTCTTTTACTTGCCTCAAATATAACGCAAATATACAATATATACATTTTTTTGCAAAAAGCGACTTACATTTGTTAGTTTTTAATACATCTAGTAAAATTAAAATATCTGGTAAAATTCAAATGTTTTTGCACTCTTTGCCGTCAATGCAGCACCCTGCAATTTAAGTATATTAATCTACGAACCCTTCCAGAAATTTTCGCGTTGGTTGTATTTTGGTGATCAACTCAAAATGGTAAAGTTAAGCTTTCATTGACTGGACTATTACTTCTATTTATATGACTATTAATTACAGCTTGATAATTGAAAGAAATAAAAAAAATGTGAAATAACACGTATTAATGAATTTTTTCCATATCCGTAGAGATCTGTATAATTATAAGCTGCTCCCGCAGCCTAGGTACTTTACATCACCGGGTGTGCTTAAACATGCGGGTTGTCGCGTTGACCCAAGGGCTGTTTGATTAATTTAAACACTTTATCACAAATGGTACTCATTAAATTAAAATTTTAAAGATTGTAATCACAGCGCTAGTTCATTAAAAAATATATTAGATTATTACATATTGCTGTATTGATATTACGGATGGATTTTTGTACAGAAATGAAAAAAAAAATCATAAATATTGCACTGGTAAACTTCATTTCAACAGTGAAGTTAATCAATTATCCCCGTTATACCCTTCCCCTTAACACGTGGTGCTCTTGATAATAAATACAGGTGCTTTTCTTTAACCAAACCTAAATTGTAAAACTTCAAATTTCTCCGCAGGTGTCGAGCGGCAGTGGCAAGTCGTGGGGCGTCCCGGGTTCAGTGTCCAGCTACTCCGTGGGCGCTCGCTCCGTGCCCGCGTCCGCCTCTCTCTACTCCGTCACCAGCGGCGAATCGTCCCTCTCAGGTGAAAACGTGTTGTCTAATGTCTAGTAAGTACTCGACGGGGTGTCGACTAACAGTCGCAAGTCATTCCGGTCTCTGCCTCCAACTACTCTGTGGCTGCTTGCACTGTGTCCGCCTTCACCGCTCTATTACTCCGTCAACAGCGGCGATTCAGGCGTGCCTTGTAGATGTCAACCAGCAATGGCAAATCATCCCGGGCAACTTCGTGGGCGCGCACTCCATGCCTTTCTCCGCCTTTACTCCGTCACCAAAAGCGAGTAATCCCTCTCAGGACCTAGTCACTTGACACCTGCAAGTGACTGGCAGTGGCAAGTTGTCTCGGGTACAGTCGCCAAATACCCTGCAGCTGCATATGCTGTGACCACCTTCATTGCTCTTATTACTCCGTCACGAGCGGCGAGTCGTCCCACTCAGGTGAATGTCCGATGTCTTATAGTTGTCAAGCATCAGCAAGTCGTCTCGGGCTTAATCTCCAGCTTCTCCATGGGCGCGTGCTTTGTTCCGTCTCCGCCTCTCAAGTCTCAGTCACCAGCCTTCACCGCTCTCTTCTCCTCGAATGCTCGGACAATTGCAAGTGTCAAGCGGTAGAGGCAAGTCGTCCTGGGCTCAGTCTCCAACTACTCTGTATTGCTCCTTCTCCGCTCTTTCTACTCCATTACCAGTAGCGAGTCATCCCTCTCATATGAATGCACGGGCACTCGGTAGTATCGACCTGCAGTAACAAGTCCTCAAGGGCTTACAGATGTCGGGAGGTAGTGACAAGTCGTCTTGACCTCACACTCGAGCTAATTCACGTCCCCTATTTCTCTCTGCTCTGACGCCTGCCGCGAGTTGTCCCTTTCAGTTGAAACCATAGTAATTTGCAGTCAAGACAAATTCCTGAGCTTGCAGCTGCCGAGCGACAGGGGCAAGTTGTGGGGCTTACCGTAATATCCAGTTAAATTAGTAGGATTTCAGATAAAACATAAGCAATGTGGTAATAATTTTATGACAATGTATTAATTTCATATTCCGCGGTCATACGGGGGTGCGTAGACATAGAAATATTCTCCCTCAAATTAATAACTAAGGCATGTAAAATAAAAACAAGACCTACTCCTTAATAAATCGTAACGACAACGATTCCAGGAGTGTCTTCCGTATCGTCGAACAGCGGCGGTAACGTAATCAACGGGTGCTCGACTAAGTTGTGTGGGGGCGCAAAGTGTGGGGGCGCGTGCTTGGGGGCGGTACCGCGGCCCCCCTCCTCCTCGGCGCCCCCTAGAGCTCGCCAGCCCGCCTCCAACTCGCTGCGACGGTCGCAGCATCATAGTATGAAGGTATTACTTTATCATTATTACATAGAGACAAGATAACCCCATTTGCAGTTTCACAGCATCAATCTCTTATGACTGCTGGCATCATCATAGCATAAATGCAGTCAGTGTTTTCTTTACATTGCCCCAAACCGCGCCAACAGAACACTCAATCTTCTGTTTGTCTTTCCTTCAGCTCGTGCTCAGAGCGCCATATCATATAGCACGAAGGAACTCGCAGGAATAGCCCTAACCTAGCTACATCATCATAGCCTGGACCACATCAATATCGTAAATATGAGCAAAGATAGGTGCAAAATTGCGGGGTGATATTATAAGAAGCTGTACCTCGGCCGGGTAGGCGCAGTTTACATTGTCAGTACACGAAGCTTTCATGCTGTCTTTTAAATGTATTTCTTCTTACATCTCAGTGTAATCTAAAAGAGATATGAAGAAGCAACTTACAGACCGCAAGGTGAAGACTAGTATGGTAGATGAATTTGCTGATATTTCGCTTTTGGACTCTACCACTTGATTGCTCCAACCAACATATTTCGCAGCACACACTTATTAGAGTTTAATTACCACCTAACTCACATCATATTGAAATTTTGTCCACGAACTAAACATAGTAACTCCTCTTTCCAGGCTAGGCTACAAGAGTACCAAGTGCACAGCTACACAGGAGGGCCAACAACAGGGGAGACGTCGGGCCGCCTACCGCCTATCAGGGAGTTCCAGAGGGAATTCCGGGAAGGCAGGCGGGAGAGCGCCGCCGCTGCCTCAGCCTCTACTAGGATAAGGTTAATGTCTTACCATTAACTAGTAAAATATGGTAATAGAAGAGCTCAATGGCGCAAGTGGATGGGCCAAAAATTTATTACCTCAAACTTCCCCTTGCTTTGGAAGGCACGTGAAGCTGTTGGTCACGGCTGCATCTGGAGTCGTTAGCTTTGCACCCGCCGCGCTGGACCCGCGTGATGGGTCGTGGCACAATCTTCCTATTCTATCCTTAGGGAAGGCAGTTGGGACATTAATAGGCTGATGATTATGGTGACCAATACATATAAATATTTCGCCTACGTCGTCGAAGGACTAAACATATGTCATCATCACGCCCGTCGCCTCTGAGCCTCTGACATTTCCGGTTCGATCCCCTGTGTGGTCGATGTCCTAGAGTACCTGCCGATGAAACAGGTACAGTGCCCCTTGAAACGCACCCGTGCTGTAAGTACTCTAGGACTCGTTATTAAGAAATAATAACTATATAGATCATTTGTAGGACCGCTGCATTCCACATCTGAAGGAACAAATAGTGATATTGGTCAATGTGTAACAAATGTACTATTGAGTACTATTGATAAACTCAGAACATTTATATATTTTCAGGTGCGCCCAGAAAATAGTTACGCAATTAGAAACTTCACCGCAAAAGAACAAACACTTTTTCCGGCCTCTAAAACCTTCAAACAAGGACGAATCTCCTAAATCCAGAGATCAAAGCAATGAGACTGAAAGGAAAAAAGATAACCCCAAAACTAAACCCAAGAAAGAGGATAAGAAAAAGAAAGATGATGAAAACACGAAACAGGAAGACAAAAGCAAAAAGGATGAAAGTAGCGATAACAAAAAGAACGAATTGGCTGAAAAAAAGAAAGAGGAAAAGTTAAGACTCAAAGCTGAAAAAGAAGCCAAGAAAGAAGCTAAAATTCAAGCTAAGGAAGAAGAGAGACAAGCCAAACTTTTAGCAAAGGAAGAGGAACGGCAAGCCAAACTACTAGCTAAAGAAGAGAAGAAAAAGGCTAAGAAAGAGGCAAAGCTGGCCGCGCAGGCTGAAAAGGATAAAAATAAGTAAAATTTAAATTTTTACATTATTATAGTAACTCGTAGCCGTCTTATATTAGATTCGAAAGTTGTTATTATTGATAAATAGTAAAAACAATTTTGAATAGCATGTATTCTAATGTACCGAATCTATTGTAGTCCATATTATAATTAACAATTATGACTTAAGATAAAATACTTTGATAATTTATTTTTTTACTTACTTGAATTGTTAAAAATTATTTGTGTTATCTGCTTTGAAACTTATTATTGTTCTAAGGATGAAGAAAAATGAGCGTAAATTTTTAAATTGGGAGGAGTCGCGTCGCGTTGTTTCGGTCGCAGAAATTCTGCCCAGTTCTTTTGGGCTGCAAGATAGGCGCATTTTATTCAGTTGCTATTATATGCTCTAAGGTTGCAATACACCGTTTACAGCGGGTGTTTATCTCGTGACCAACCTTCAACTAAAAAAATTGAATTACGCGACTTACAAAAGAAATTACGCTTGTTTGGCTTCACACAAAATGACCATAGTTTGCTGATTTTAATTTGAAATGTTGTTTAAAGTAGGGTTGTTGTATATAGTTTTATTATCAAAATGTTACTATGAAAAGCAATCTAAATACATAGTTGTTGGGTCATAGTTGGAACTCTACAAACTGCGAAGACTGAAAGAATGGGATAATGAAATCATATCGTTTTGTAATTTAATTGTTTAACACTAAAGTTAAGAGCTTTGTGCATTCCAGCACCGCCAAAGAATTTATTTATTACGTAGGTACTAATTTTTGTCGTACTTAGTTGATTTGTAGAAAAAGCTTTGATTAGTATAAGTTACAGTTTTCAATGTTAACCAAAAAAGTTGATATTTTGTCATAAAAACTGCTTATTCACATAACCATACTTGAATACAATAGTATTATACATAGATCTTGAGTATCTTACCTTTTCATTCCAGACATTGTTTCAATACCGATATTAATCTCACATAATCAGAACTTTTGGCATTGTTATTGTTTAAACACTCAATACAACCATATATATAAAAACGAAATTCAAATTATACAGAAAAATAAGAGTGAAGGTACATAAATTAACATGAAGCTAGAAATGAGCAAAATTGGTCAAAAAGTAATTGAAACTAGCATTTCAAAATTCCCCGTCGTTCCGGTACTTCAAAAAATTTACTCGAGGTCAAAGGTAAAAAAAGTGGGGTTTACGAGATTTTCATCAAAACGGTAAGTTTTATCGTAAAATTACTTCAGAAAAAAAAATTGCATCATAAAATTATCTATAAAAAGGTATCAATATTATTTCCCGAGATATAGCGATTTAAACTTCCTACATAGATAAGTATCAATATCGATATGCATGTTTTGTTAAAATCACTCAAAATAAATATCAAGTGCAATTTAGCTCGTCTTCCTCTAACCTCAGTTGCTATCCAAAATCTTTTTCGGGTATATTACCAAGTTCAAGTGTGGCTTGGTTATCAGCTAGACAATACATTAGAACCAATTCAGATTTTACTCCGTTGGACTGTTTTGTTCTCTGGCATATAGGAATTGTCAAGACCAGTCGTGTTCTAATGTTGAATCACCAACTGTAGAGGATTCGTTTGCTGCCAACGAAGAGACATGCGGTGCATAGCTACTCACGCAATTCACTTACAGCCATGATGAAGAAGAAGAAGATCAAAAAGAAGAACAACAAGAAGAAATAATACAAGATTATGAATCGGACGAACATAGTTTTCTACTGTTTTTTAATTTCCATCGCTTTTATCAATTCCAACCCTTGCTAATATTTGTCATTATGCAATAGTTTCCAATTAAACAAAATCACAACAGACTTGTGGTATAGGCCCAAAGGGGGAACCACGTTAAAAACCGGCCAAGTGCGAGTCGGACTGGCGCACCGAGGGTTCCGTACAATCCCAATTTAATACCTCTACGCGTTCATGAGAAAAGAGGTAGCAACTTTAAAATTTTTAAAAAATATTTTTAATATATGATGTAACTAAAAAATTACGGTTACCGCAATGTTTCCTCCATCTGTACTATAAGACGTTACTTCGTACCAAATTTCAAGATTTGAAGTTCACGGGAAGTACCCTGTAGGTTTTGATTCCCGTGCTTGTTTCGAAAATTTGCGCCATAAACGGCTGTATCTTTTGATTGCTTCGGCTTAGAAGTTTGTTTTTTCACAGCTCTAAGGGACAGTAGACATGAGTATTAGATATGAATTTCAGTTTGATACCTCCACGCGTTCCTGAGAAAAACGACCTTGACAGACGGACGGACGGGCGGACGGACAACAAAGTGATCCTATAAGGGTTCCGTTTTTTCCTTTCGATGTACGGAAACCTAAGGACCCTAGGAACCCTAAAAACGCGCTAAGTACACCTCAGAGGTGGCGTGAAAACGTGTACATATTATGACGCTTAAAACTCTTTGAATCATTATACCTATCTCAGGAACAGTGGCTCTTAGAAAAAAAATGGGTGCGTGTACTTATGTAGGCGCGTGAGAAGTTATCCTTCTTTGGCATCGTTTAAAATTAGTTTTTAATTGCATGCAAATAATTAATTACAATAAATTAATAAAAAGGCTGGAAAAGGACACAGTCAATAAAGTTCAGTTTTAATTTGAAAAAATAAATAAATAATCAAAATATTCAATTAAAATCGCTACTGAATATAATTTATTAGAACATGTGATTTGCACTTGTATGAAACTCAAACACGTAATCCGAATATACAAACTAGAAACATGTGGATAAATATTATAAATATGAATACCTATAACTGTTACTTTATTACAAAAAATAAAGATGTGGTTTTTGGTTCTACTACACCTATGGTCAAGAGATGGCGCTGTAGTCTCCTGAATCGCGCTTTGGTTCCGTTGTTCCAGATTAATAAATACTTTTGATAGGCCTTCACAATGCAGTCGTTAGCACCCACTAAATAGAGATTCTATTTCTATTTTGTTGGTAGATTTTCTTAATGTGCGGTAAACACAAAAGTAACAGCACGAAGTTGGTAGCTAAAGCGACTGCAAAAATCATCTGCAAAAATCATGCTGTTAAAATTTTGTGTTACAGTGATGCGCGCGCATCTTAAAACACTCTCATCATTTTTTCATAACGCGCCTAAAGAAGTATAACTTCAAAAAAATATGGATACAAAATTCAAAACTGGTTTAACAATGTTTAGGAATGCCATGTCCTACTGTTTAGGCAAAAAAATGAACGATTAAAGTTTAGTACAACGATTAATAGTACCCAATGAAGCAAGAGGAGACTCATCTGCGCTGGCAGCACCCGCTCACGAGCATGACGCATGAACCAGCGTTTTTTAGGGAACGCAACGACCCGCCTCAAACGACACCTCACACATACCTGTTTTATAAATAATTTTATGATCTACAATTATTGTCTGAGGTAATTTTTAATAGTTAATTCGATAAAACTAACTGTTTTGATGAAAATCAAGAAAAAACCTCTTTTTTACCTTTTACCTCAAGTAAATATTTTTCCAAGTACCAGAACGATAGGGAATTTTGAAATATTATTTTTAATTATGTCTCGAACAATTTTACTCACTTTCAACTTGATGTAAATTTATGTACCTCTGAATATCTAGATTGACTGAACTAAATCTATATGCAAATATATATAAAAATGTCATAGTTATTGTTATCGAACTCCTCCCAAACGGTTTTATGATTTTTTTGTATTTGGTAGGTCTGGTAATAAAAGTTGGCATCAAAAATTCTTATAACCCAACATTTTCACCCATCTACCACCACCGGACAATTGTTAATACGAAGTGGTTACTTTCTCTATGAATTGGGTATAAAAGAAAATTTCGCAATAGCTGGACATTGAATGTGTCACCATTCTTCGGAAAGCATGTTATGCTGTAAGTTCCAAGTGCATCCACTGTCGTTAGTACCCACCAAACCGCACTGGTGGGTCTTGGCTTGGCCCGATCTCTCCACTACATCACTGGGGAAGGCCTGTGCCCTAGCAGTGGGGACATTAATAGGCTGATAATTATGAAGCAACCATTGCTCTGAAACACAAGTGTTCATCCCATGAACACTGCCTCTAAAGGGAATTGTAATTTCCAACACAGGCTCTTTGGATTTGATTTGGAGCAGGGCACTTATCACGACCCATTCCCCATCCCAAAAATATCGAATTTAACTATTCAAATTCGATATTTTTTATACGTCAAATGTGTACTGATTTTAAGTTTTTGTTATGTCCGTTGTGGCGCTGCTGTTCAAGTTTCCATACAAAATTTGACAATGAATTCGATATTGGTTAGTGCTAAAGGTACTGCAGTTATGAATACTGTATAACGATAATTTGTACTATTTAAAAAAACATACCCTCGCCCCTATTCATCCCCTCCATTACGCGAACTTTTTGACCCTCCCTTGTAGGTTCTCACTGTCTGCACACATTTTCTTTTTATTAAAGTAAAATTTTTATTACATCATCACAATTTTCTTCAAGTATCTTTAGACGTCGCATTACATTGTTAATTTTTATTAAAAAAATCAGAAGAGCATCAGTGATTCAGTGATAGAAAAAGCTCCCCTGCTACATGTCAATTCCCAGCCGAGCAAGGGTTTTTTTTTATTAATGATCTTAAAAGTTTCACTTGTGTCATGGTATATTCCTATTATTTCTACTTTTCCCCTGTCCAGGATGAAAGATGATGATCAACACTACCAATATTAAATATCTTGGGTGTTTAGAGAATAACTGTGCTTATTAATACTGACTATACTTTAATACTATTATTGTGACCCATTGTAAAATATAAAAATGTAGCCATATCAGGTCGCATTTAGAATATGCTAGATAAGTGTTGACATTAATTTTGTAAGAGTTCCCACATGTCGGAATTTATTATTATTGTCAATCGTTAGAAATCTCCTGTAAAAATAAATAACAATGTTACCATAAGAACTATTTTTATTTCACCCAAACTTCATCTTTTTTCAATTTTCTATGACTATAAAATTAACATCATGGCCAATTTTTGATCAGAGCATGCAAGTTACAATAAATGAATACAAAACATAATGTAGAATAATTTTATTTTCCTGTTGCATTTATCAGGGTATGATTACATGAAATACTTCAAATAAATCTATTTTCAAGCAACAATCAAAAGATTATTTATCCACATTGAATTAATGTAACAATATGCTTGATTACTAAAAATATACTAACAGTGTTTATAAAAACGCAATAATTTTTTTTATTCATCTAAATTCTCACCAAGGCGATTATAAAGTTCATCGCCGGCCTTCTTATCCAAACGGAGGTATTTGTTAACCATTGGTCGATAATAATATGCTTGATAGTCGCTGCGTTCTCCCATCTTTTCTATAATTGCCTTCTCCAGAGCTCTTAGTTTACCCCTTTGGGCTTCTTCATCAATGAAGTGCATGAATTTTTCATACTCCTAAAATAAATACAAATTTGATAAAATAACATTTAAGCTCTGGTTTGCAATTTTATCAGTTTTATGGTTAGTTTTTTTGAGAATCCCATGATAATCCAAGATTTCTCCTTAATATAGCAGGAACCTTGATCTCAATCAAGATATTAAATTATATGAATACCAATTTTTATCCTAATCTGTTCAGTTGATTTTGCATGATGCAATTAGAAATTTATGCACTTCCAGCAGCACTTGTTGGAGTCCATTGAAATTTGAAATAATAATTTTCAAACTTTCAAAGTGCCATGCTATTTTATTCTATTGCTATTGCAATGAAAGTGACAGTATACTCTGAATGATGGCGTTTAACTTCACAAGTAAGCTCGGTGGTCAAGTTTTCTAAATATGTGCGCAATTTATTAATTTTGTATCTTTATAAACACAACTCCATTATGGACTTATTTTTTAAACTGTAGGTAAAATATAATTGAAATTTAGAAAATGTCTTATTTATTTATGAGTGAGACACTTAAAAAATATTATATTATTCTTAAAGTTGAGTTTAACAATCAACTTGCTTTTGGTGGTTAAACAATTGAATTCTTTGTACATTGGATATTTTTCGCAATATTCCTTCACACAATCATCACATTTTTATATATTTGCTTTTCGAGTATTGTGGATAAGATTTTGCGATTAGCTAACTATATAGCTGGAATCAGGCTTTAGGGAGATAAATACTTATATAATTACTAGCTGACCCAGCAAACTTTGTACCACCATAAAAATAGGGGCAGGTGGTAGAAGAGAAAATTTAGGGTTGTATGTATTTATAATACAATATTATAAAAAAATAAATATTGTTGGGGTGTGTAACGCAGTGTTCTATCAATTTCCTGGGATAACATTCTTCCTAACCTATATGAGAACACCACGTTACAAAACCTAATAGTTTGAATTTTGACGCGAAGGCGCATTTTAGGTTTCAGAACACTATGTTAAAGGTGGACAACCGTAATCACTTAAGGATATTAAAAATAGATAGTTTCAGAGAGGAGTATGGTTACTAACATTGTGACATGAGAATTTTATATATAAGATTACCTGCTGTGGATTGGTATGAATATAGCGGGCGATAAAACGAGTTATTGGATGGCGATGATACTCCCAGTGCTTCGGGTTGTAGTCCTCTGGAATTGGGGCCAGTTGAGCAGGCCCAATGAACACGTTGGTGTAGAATATAATAAGCCCCACTGGGATTAAGCCTACCATGGCGTAGTAATGGAACATATCCTTGAATTTGTGCCATTGCCATCTGTAATACAAAAGTATTCCTTTTTAGGTTACGCGAAACAAAAACAATAATTTTATAATTATAGCAACAAACTAAAACTACAATATAATAGTTTACGAAAAATTAAAGGAATATAATGTTTACGCGTTAGTTGTTTTCAAAATGATTAAATTTTATTACAAATAGTGATTAGGTAACCATTCTTCTCAAGTTTACCTGGAGGGTTGTAAAGCCATTGTTTTGTGTCCATGGCCGGCGCTCATGGCCTTGCTAGTAGAAAAAGTCACATTGTGTATAGAATTAGGTAATTTGATATTAGTTTTTAATAAATTAATGCCGAAAGATCGGCCCAAAGCACTCCAAGAAACCATTCCTGTTTTGACTTTTCTGACAGTGACAGTTTTATTCTAAATCTTTTTTCGTTCTTTTTGTAATCTGTGGTTCTTATCAATTCAATGACACCAACATAATAGAAATAGTTTTATGTCCGAACTTTATATGTACGTGTGTCAATAAAAACACATTGAATAAAAATATATTCAATAACTACTTAGTATTTGTTAGTTTACAATACTCAGAATATTACTGAGTAAGCAGGCATATTTTCAACGACATCAATACTAAGAAAAATCACTTTATCGTTTAATTACACAAGAACGTTCATCTTGCTATTGCACATGTTTCGGACAAAGAGTTCAGGCTAAACAGTTTTGCCAACAATGACACAATAATTTTCGCGAAAATGACAATAATTGACAATAAGCAAAATTCCGCGAAATTTGAATAATTACATAGATCATTTACCTGCAGTTTTTGGAGCAGAGATATACAATTGTTATAAAGTTAAACACGAAATCTTTAATTTTCGTGTGCAGGTTGTCGGTCACTGTTTTTTATGAATGAGATCTTTTATTATCATTTTAAAACAAACAATATGATGATGAAAATTCATTCTGGAAATAGATTATGCACCCCAAAAAATCTTAGATCCCTAAACATAGTAGGAAATATTCATCCGTTTACCATATAACCTGTTGCGCCCATAAAAAAAAATACAATGATGATTCACAGTATTGATTTTTATACTGAGCATGCCCTATGGACACAACGCGACTACGTCAACTGGTGATAAGCCAACACAACTCTACACCCACTCGAATATCATTAAAACTCATGCTGTAATACGTTTACCGTAAAATCGTAACCTACTATCAAGTTATTGTTTTATTTATTGTTTTTGAGAATGCCTCCTTTTTGTGAAAGTGAATAGTAAGTTTTTGTGATGGAGGAACTACTTCAGGACGTGTTCAAGGAAGCTACTGGGCCCAAGTTAGCCACCTTGAGGAAGGCTTGCCAGGATGCTTTAGGTAATTTATTATTTAATATAAATTAACTATCTTAAGATTCAGCTTACTTACCTAAATCGTATAAGTAAGTAGGTAGCCTATACTATAAATTATGCTGTGGAAAAAAACCTGAATTTATTTTCATTTAAAATATAAATCTAAAAAATATTCACAACAAATAAGTATATGTATAATAATATTATTGGCGGATCCTTACATCTTACACCAACAGCAACATCCAACTAATGGTAAATGTAGGCATGCGGTAAGAATAGCACTGCTATAAATCCTCGTACACATCGTTCAAAGTTTGCTTAATTTTGCTTCTTTCTGTCTCGTGTTTTATTTTTTTATTGATTGTTAATTTTTCAAACAAAGTATCTACTTGCCGCTGCAGCCTTCTTGACTACCCGAGCCAGATTTCCTTGTTCGCTTATTCCTTGGAGCACTACTCTGTAAGCTTTACCTTAGTTAGGGCCTGTTTCACATTCGCTGCGTAAACTTCTAATTAAGTTAATCTGCTCAGTAAAAATAGGGATGTTGATGTTTTTGGAAAAGCGTTTAAAAGCAAGCGTAAGTGCTCTGTCAACGTCAGTCTGTCAACATCAACATCCCTATTTGTCTACTGAGCAGATAAGGTCTAGCTTATTCGGAACCTTACTCAGAAGGCTTGTATTGTATATTCAAGATATAGGTTAAGATATGTTGGGCGCATTGGATTTTCCTCTCTTCGCAGTCCGTTGTGGAAAGCAATTCCAATCTTTGGGAGGTGTTGTGGTTTTGTCTATGAGTAAGGTTGCGTGGCTCCGAGGTTCAAGCACGAAGAACTTTTATTTATTTATCATTATAGACAGTCGTTACATCTTTTTTTTACAGCATTAGAAAAATCACAGAGGTTTGTAGCAATGCTTTTTACACGTCAGGGACAAGCTTAAAATTTTAATTAAATACAAAGTACTGTTTAAATAGAATAAAGTTATATGCATTCCAAGGTCTTAACTAGCGAACTAGCGAGAAAGTATCTGGTATTGTCATTATCAAAGTTTCTTTGGAAGGACCTACTTCCACCGGGAATGAAAACAAACTAGATTTTAAAGAAAATGTTTATTAGTAATCATGTAGTTAACCATAATATGGATGTATCCTTGTCCGAAATAAATGCTTATTTTTATTAAAAAATCCACACCGACCAGGCAACAGACAGTAAAAAAATTCTTTACTTTTAAACATCTAGCAGTTATATGATTAAAAAATTAAATAACAACTAGCTTTTTTCATAGAAACTTTGTCATGGTGATACAAATACTTTCTCTCTAGTTGTTCGTGCTTGGGTAGTACGAATACATTATCGAATTCTAATATGTAGTTTAATTCCATATTTTATACGTCAAATCGTCGTTGCGACTTTAAGATCTCCCATGTGTAAAATTCTTCAATGCGAGATATTCAATAAAAACTGTCTACTGAAAAAAATATAAGGAAACTAAATATAACAAAAAATACAAGTGATAACTAGAGGTGTTTTATGATTTTTATTTTGCTCTTGTCATTTTAAATAATAAACGAAATTGTAGTAAAAAAAACAAAAAACAATTCAATGTGACACATAAGAGGTTTTGGTTGCGCGTTTTGTTTCACATTAGAGAATATAAGTATGTAAAAGGGATTGAGATTCAGAACACATGACTTTCAATTATACAATTTATTTGTTTTTAAAATTTATAATTGCAATGACAATAGTATATAATAGTGGTTTTATGTATTGCTCAATAGTGGAGTGAACACTGTCCACCTCCATCATGGTGTGCCCTTTTTTTATGTTTAATAGGCAAGGCGTTTGACCAAAATCTTGCCTGATGGAAAGCGATGATGAGGCTTAGGATGGTACACGCCTGCCTAGAAGATGCCTGTTCACTCTGGCCTTGAAGATGTCCAGATTATATTGGTTCGGGAAAACAGACCTCGGTAAGGAGTTTCACTCCCTAGCCGTTCGCATAATGAAAGCTGAATTAAATCGCTTCGTGCGAATGGGAGGAACTTGGACAACATAGGGGTGAAAGCCCTCGCCGCGCCTGGTCGTCCGGTGGTGGAAAGGGGAAGGGAGAATCAAATTATGTAATACCTCTGCACACTCTCCGAAATGTAACCGATAAAACAGCGAGAGGCAAGCTACACGTTTTCGGTGGTCAAGGCTCTGGAGATTAGCCTCAACGAGAGCGTCATCGCCTATGATTCTCTTCGCACTTTTCTGTGTTCCACCGAGTCCAGTGTATCCAGGTGATACCGAGCAGATCTATTCCAAAGGTGACAACAGTACTCCAAGCAGGAGCGAACTTGGTCTCGGTAAAGGTTAAGGAGCTGCTCAGATGTAAAATACCGCCTGACCTTAGAAAGTATTCCAAGTTTATTGGCAGCGGTTTTAGCAATGGATTCGATGTAGCGACCGAAATTGAGGCTGAATGAGATGTCGAGACCTAAGAGCTCGAGATGGTCTGTAACCGGCACGGAGATGTTTCGGAAAATCGGAGTCAGATGGAATGGACTTCGTTTCGCCGAGAAGAGACAGGCCTGTGTTTTAGAGGGATTGAATCTAACCAAGTTGGCTTCACCCCAGAGGGAAACAGCTTCCAGGGTTGCATCACTCCCTCCACCATCGCCTCCCTTAATGATCGGACGTCTGCATCAGACTTCACATCAGGCAGGTATCTCTCCGAGACTGTGCTGTCGTCTGCATACCCAAAGATACCGGGAGTAAGGAGCGGATCATTGATGCCCTTTCTCTAAATAGAGTTGTTCGATATTCAATTGCCTTCGTTGTGCCAAAACACTCAGGTTAGTAGACGAAATTCGGTTTCTGTTCTACAAACATAAAAATAATAATACACTCAATCGTAGTTGGTAAATTTTGACAATGGTCAATGGTGCCAGCAGTAAATTGTTACATTTTAAGATAAAACATCATAAACAGTGAAATGATGACATTGTAACTTCAATTTATAGAACAGGGCACTTGCCAATAACCACAGAGCGAGTACCCGTCGATGCTAACGTAATTTTTATATTACTACCCCCATCTAACACCTACAATCGGAAAATAATCACGCAATCTATGCATCCCTCTCATTCTAGTGCTTCTATTGGTTAGTTATTTTGAAAATTTGACTAATAACAATTTTTACCTATCTTGCGCTTTTACACATAAGATATTTTAAATGCCAACTTTACTGGAGCAAGCACTTAGGATATATTGAATAAAGTAAATAAATAGAAATTGAAAAGACTTATTCACACGAGAGTTTTTGCTTTCGATGTAGCGCCAAAATTTGAAATAAACCCGTATAAAAAAGGTATTTCGACAAAAATGACACATAGGAGGTCTTGAAGTCGCAACGACGAAATGTGTACTGATTTTTGTTCTCGTTGCGTCCGTTTTCGCGCTGCTGTTTACTTTTCCATACAAAATTTGACAATGACATTTCGCACTCGCAAACTATTCGAATTCGATATTGGTTCGTGCTAAGGATACAGGATTTGTCAAAGTTCGTGTTTCGAGTAATGCAGTCCACAGTAATGGTGAGGTGAGGATGTCTGGAGTCATACATACTTCTTACATTTATCATCAGGTAGAGAGAGTGGTGATTAGCTGCGGGATATTTAAAAATATTAAATGGTTTTTTCTACAGAGGCGCTGTGTTTACAAGAGAGCAACGCTCGCCGGCCATGTTACGAGTTACGGCGCATCTGCCTGCTGCCGCTCCAGATAGCGCTGGAGAGCAAGAGACCGCGGCTGGTTACTTTCGCCTTACAGGGCTTCCATGTAAGGTCTATTTATGACAATATTAGTAATGTAACTTAACTCACTCCCTTTTCTCTCTGGACAAGACTTGATGCCTTCCTTCGCCAGCGGAAGCGTGCGACGATGATATCTGTGGACTACTCCCTACCCATGTTACCCAGCTCGAGAGCACGATGAAATGTAATAACCAAAAAATACTCCTGAACCGCGTTGTGTTGAAACCGCGGGAACGAAGTACTTTACGGCTTCGCCGGTGATTGTTCATTGCCCGACCGCTGGCATCAGCATCAGGGGAACCGCACATCACAGAAAAGGTGCAATGCAGACTGGCGCTCCCACACCAGCCCGGTGGCTCCCGAAGGAGCGGAAGGGGGAACGTAGTTCTTCCCGTCCTATCGAGCTCCTCAGGTAAATTCTATCTATTACTATATGTGGGTTTTAGTAGCTGACTTGACCTTTAAGACTACTGTGGCTACTGCTGCCTACGGGCGTGTATTTTACCGTTTTCTCTGTACCTAGTGTATTAAATTCTTCCAATCCTACGAAAAATATGTATGGAATAATATGAGGTATATTTAAGATATTTGAATGTTTTCATTTATTATTTTGCAGAAAATGCTGCGCGACGATAGATTCCACAGAGGAATCGAACCCGAAGATGACTCGCTCTGGATGCCTTCTCAACTGCTTTGCGCCACTGCTTCCGTGATGTACCATTTGCCTGATACACAGGTAATAAGTTCTTTCGATACATAGTATTTAATTACTTTATAATTGCAGTTTTGTTGGAAAAAAATCTTCTGTTGCTCCGGGCCAGGCATGAACTTTGACAGCTCGCTCGCATCGTCAAAGTTTCTATGAAAACCAAGTAGAACAAACTGACTTTCCATACAATATCATACGGTAAGATTATGAATAAATCAAAGCTCGAGCTTTGGTCTCAGTTAAAAAGAGTAAAACATGTTCAGGAATGTATGTGAGATCTATCTAGTTTTTCAAAAAAAAGTACAGGTATGGGAACATTCTGTTTTAGACATCAACTACCCAAATTCTAAGCTAAATAGTTCTCTCCCCGAAGATTTCTACTAGACGGCCCGACACACCTGGCACACAACATGGGGCATTCAGACATCAGACATCCTTCTGATATAGAGCGATTCAATCTTAAAAACGGCTGTGAAGTAAGCACTTTTTGCTACCAGGCACGACTCGAGCATTCTTGGCGCCCCAGGCGAAAAACCGACAAGGTCTACAAGTGAGCGGGCAAAGCATTCCATTTGCGGATAGTGTAACAAAGAAAGATGACCATATCTCTTTCTTCGCGTTGAAATTGTGGCCACCGTGAATTGGTGACAATATAGAGCAGTGCAGGGGTTCTCTGAAGGAAGGGGGAAGGTGCGATAAGATAGAATACTGGCCGAGAGGTATAGACGAAAGAAAGCACTTATATAATGGCTCCGTATCACGGCGTAATTAAAGAGGCTCGGAGCGAGGTGTTTAGTCACCTCCTCATCGCCAATGATAAAGGTCGCTGTAACGTCCAGTTAACTTCCATGCGCCAGTGTTGTGCCCTGAAGAGAAGGAAAGGAAAATCGCAGGCCTGAGTTTTCTTAGAATTGAACTTAACAAAATTCTTGATACCTGTCCCCATTCGGAAATGTAGTCCAAAGTCTAATTTAGCTCAATGACAAGATTCTCTCGTTTCTCCTTTGTTTCTTCCCTTTAAACAATCTGTAATAGGTAGATACTTACTAAAATATTTTTCACGTCCAGCCGTTTTGATGCGATGCAAATCATTGATATGCAGAACAAAACGTGTAGGAGATAAGCCGGAACTCTGAGGCATTTACTAGCATGAACCGCGAATTGTGTTCACACGAAAGGACATGCATTCTATGCAGGAAGCGGAAGAAGTGGGAAGAGGGAAAAGAGTTGAGCAAGCAATTGTAGCCTCAGATGTAATGTAAACCAAGTCCTTAGTATAAACACATCATTTGACTAGCTTGCCTGACTAAAAACTGATGCATGCGTTATAAAATATTACTCTTTCTTCACACTTCGCATTTTCTTCTACTGGACGTTATAATATTTCCGATCCTATCCTATCTCATAATTATTTTATCTTCCTACTCTCCTTAATCCTGCTTTTTCGCAATCCTTTTCTTTCAACCTTGCATCTCCCTACCTACACTCCCCTTTCGCTCTGTCCCTGTCGCCCCGGCGCACTCTGGACGGCCGTTTGTGCGTATGGCAGCCGCCGCCATGCAAACGCTGAGGGCTTTATTAGTTCCTCACGTATTGCCAGAAACGAATAGTTTATTATCCTATCCATTTAGTAGAATTTCAGCAATCAGCCAACTAAGCCATCTAGTACTAATATCCATAGGTGCAAATATTCCGTATGTATCTCTCGCTGGCGCTGTCGCCGCGTCGCACGCTGAACGGGCGGTTGTGTGTATGGGCCTGCGGGAGGTGCGGGGAAGCGGCCGCCGCTGCAGCGCCCGTGGCCGCCGCCGCCCGTGCCGCCGCCGCGCAAGCGCTGAGGGCATACTGCGCACAACTGGGTGAGAACTGTACTCTTTTCTCTCTATTTTAATCATAATCATCAGCCTATAATGTCCTTACTGCTGGTGCACAGACTTTCCCTATGGATGGAATAGGCAGATTAGGCCATGACCCACCAAGCGGGCCCAGTGCGGATTGGTGAGTATTAACAACTGCAGATGCAGCCGGGATTAACGGCTTAACGTGCCTTCCGAAGCATGGAGGAGCTCGAGATAGTACATTTTTGGTCACCCATCCAATGATCGCCCACTGCGAAAATTACTTTGCTTCAACGATTGCAGCCGAAAGCGCTAACGTACCACTTGCGCCATCGAGCTCCTCAACCCTCTCCTCACTCTTTTTACTATTACCAGTCTAACTTTAGTTAGTGTACCTGTACTTGTAGATTGTGTGGCAGTAGGATTTATGGGGCAAAAAGGCCATGAGGGCGGCCGCGGCCTTAGCATGAACTAATATCCAATTTGAATAGTTAAAGTCGATCTCGATACGCGTCATGTCACGAAGTTTTGTATGGAAGATTTTGAATTCTCGTTACGACCGTTGTGTCTCATAAAATTGCGAGATGGTTGGGAATTGTCGGGAGATTTCATCATTTGTCGGGAGTCAGGACATCACATGATCTATGCCGGGAACATCTAGGCTATTCCCATCCATCTGGCAACCTGATGTGGCAGTGTAATGAACCGTTTACTTTTTAACCGCTAAATATGCAAATACCCTCTACGCTGTTAAGTGCGGAACCGCAAGATCCCCGTTGAATGACTTCATCGCGTCTCCACATCCAACAGGCTCCCAGCCTTGCTGGGGCTCCACGGCAGAGATCACCCGGGGTATCTCGGGTGATCTCTCGCGTGCGAGAGATTTCCGCGATTAGCTCGCGGCGCTGTTGTTGCCAGGGCGGGCATTCCAACAAGCAAGCGGAAGAGCCTGGACGATGTGTTTTTTTTCTATTAATATTTTCTTCAGATTCTAGGTTAATATTAATTCCGGACAAGTTAGCCGCACAGGCACAACTTACAGCTTAACCAAACACAATTTACAACTTAAATTATGTACTAATCTAGTGCATAATTTAATCGGCGGTCGACGCATTAGAGAAATCCTTTTACCAGTCAGTATAGGTACTTGTTGCTAATAAGATTAATTGATCATCTTTTGTTCTTAGTACCTAGTTATGTCTGGTACTATATATTTTTTAACTATCCTTATATAGATGAGGAATATCAAGAATTGTTCTCGGAAGGCTCGCCTCTGGGCAGGAATCACATAGTGGCGGTCAGCTGTTACAGCGAAGTCATACCAGTCATACAATACCTGTGCAGTAGACTGTCGGAGACACAAATGTAAGTTCATCTTTATGTTGTATTATAGATACAATAAATATCCCTACTGCTGAGGCACAGGCCTTCCTTTCCACACTATTTTGGATTGGTGGGTGGTGAGCAGATGCAGTAGTGACCTATGGCTTAACATGCATTCCGAAGCATGGAGGAGCTCGAGATAGGTTTAGTCACCCATCCGATGACCGACTATTGGGAAAGTTACCTAACTTCCACGATCACAGACCAACAGCGACATCGAGCTCCTCGAACGTAAGTTACTTTACAGAAAAAAGTTCTCAAGTTAAGTGCAGATTCTGAAAATAACTCATCTATGAGTATTTAACTAATTCTACTATTTTTTTTCTCAGGGTGCCAAAACAGAATCCCTTAGCTTTGTTTTTCCTGGACTGCCTGCTCACTCTAATGTCAAGCCTCTCTGAGCGCGTCAGCGGCAACTCACACTTTACCACATTCTTGTGGCAAAAATTCTGTCCTTCCCTTATATCATTCCTGGGCACTCCAAGAGTTGACAAAAACATAAAATCAAGGTAAATATTCTCATGAGACAAGAATTAGCAATTTTCTGATATGGTCAGTTCTTTTAAAGTAGCTACTTGACTCAATGTTCTTTTAAATTGCAGAGAACATGAAGGCCACTTAGTAGATGATTCTGGAAGGGGATCTGGAGCATTAAACAGTGCACCAAGCTTTAACAGTCGACAAGCTAAGGCAATTTATAGGTAAGGATCTTATAACATCAAAAAGTAAATGATGATAAGTTGTCACAGTACATAGTCCTACGGTGATTAGGTGTTCTTACAGTAGACATTTTTTAAAGGCTCATTATATTATCAATATAAATTGATATAGTATTACATTATTATTATTACAACATTACAATGTAATATTATCAAATTCAGCACCTATGCTTCGAAAAATATTATCATTTCGTTCGTAATTTGTTTTTCTAGCATAGCCAGTCAACTCGTCCGTTTGGTGGGCTCCACTTCGAATCTCCGACCAGTATTGGAAGCTTTATACCATCGGATGTTGTTATACCCACCAGTAGCTCATAGAGTAGAACCACTGAGAAGTGTACGAGAACTGCTGCACAATCCCAAACGACTCGTGCAACTGGTTCTTTTGAAAAAGACAGACCATCCAGAAAGGCACAGTGATGATATGGCAATCGTTAGGTTGTAAGTATACACCTTTAACTTGCTTCTTTAGCTATTTATCAAATTGAGAACGACACAATAATAAGAAGAGGTTTATGCATTTCTAAAACCACTCTCGATTCTCTACTTCTTCTCCATATACTTACGGGGCATTATAATCTTCAGCAAACCAATTTTACTGGCCTGCATGGTGTCAAACTGTCATTGACACACGCTTTGAATTATCTTCCCAATAAACGTGAAAGATTTTTGACTAGGTACTATCCTAACTTGTAATATATATGTGGCAAAAAGAGTTTATTTGTGATGTTTTTAGCCTAAACCACTGAACCGTCGAAGGAAATGTTTTGTCAAGAAAACAAAACTTGAACAGGGTAAAATGGGGGGTGAAATTAATTTTGTTTAGGAAACCAATCTAACGCAGACAAAGCCGCATGCACCTCCTAATATTATTTACAAATTTATTCCAGGTCTTTGAGTAGATATATATTATTATGATTTAACAGATATTGTATTGCTTCTGTTGGTAACGAATGATTTTTAAAAAGTCTATTATTCTTTCCTTCTTTAGAATAATGGATGGCATTGAAGATTGCGGTCGCAGTGGAAACCCAGAAGTGATAGCTGCAGCCGTAGAATGCGTTGTATCTCTTCTTGACGCTTTAGAGAAACTATGTGCGACTTCCGGCGAATATATGGCGGCTGATATTGCGGCTTTGATACTACAACATTGGCCGAAGCTACAAGATGCGGATTACACGGGGCCTTTGACTTATCAAACCCTGGCAAGATTGCCGAGTCCATATCGGTAAGTATTAATTTTCTATATTCCCTTTCTATATTTATTTTATAAATACGTCTACTTTTAGAAATAATTCTAAGTAAAGTATGCTTTTCTTTCTTATCAAAAGATAGACATTTTGCTTGTTGTTCTAACTGCTCCCTAAAACTAATATTCATGTAGCATCATTTAAAAATAATCATAGCTATACCTCCCGGCATTTTATATATTTGAAGTTAATTATTAAAACATATTTACTTCTTTAACATAATTCGTTATAACATTACCTACCTTCTGTATTTCAGTGACGTCGTAGCTGTTCTTCAGAACAATGAAGAAAAAGGCCATGAATCTTCAGGTTAACCAACAATTTTAATAATTAAAGATTGAAGTAAAGTCTGGACTGTATTCATATATTATTTTCAATCAAGATTAAATGAATTTATAAAAATAAATTTTCACTGAACAGACACATCGGGGCCAGAAAACGTGACCTCTGGTAGTGATGGCGAAGCAGATTCGGATGCAGACAATGTATTCCTTCCAAGTCGAGCAAATAATCCTTCATCACCCGAAGAATCTGAGAAAGAAAATGTATCAAGAGTCAAGTCAGTACCAAAAACACTGAATTTGGGAAGGTGAGACAATCTATACAGAAAAACGGAAATAGACTGCAGTTCTTCATACGAACACAAAAATTTCGACCATATTTTCTAAACACATTAAGGTCTGAAATATGGACACTAGGATACAGATTTTGACACGACTAGCATTTTTCTTATGTACCTTCTAATTTTCCCACAGATTTCATATCTTTTGATTTTCCTGTCATGATTCCAACTGAGAACGATTTTTGTTTCTAAATTTATCAGTACTTTCCCCAATACTAAATGATATTTTCAGCACGATTTTTAGTATATTTTTCTGTTTCCCATCAGATTTTAAATTATAACAACAAAGTTATTTATAGCATACTTTTTATTTTATCACAAATAATAAAAATGAAAGATTCTTCAATTCTTAATTCTTGTTTACAGGTGCACAGTTACTGAATGTAACGTCGACTTGGAACGCCATAACGCAAGACAATTCGTGAAAACATTGCAAAACTCATTGCTGCCCAAACTTATAAATCTTCGAACTTGTATAGAGGTGCGTACCCTACATTTATAGTTTTCTGCTTTTGGTATTTGATTTGATTTGATATAGTTACGTACAAGTTCCTGAAATACTGGACCGGCTAGGGTACTCTCTGAGAACATTTTCTTTTGGAGGGAATTCTTCCGCTTTTCCTAACCAGTTATAAATATTGTTAATGTATGTTACTGTCTGGAACTCGAAGGTGTAGTGATTGGCACGTTCAGTCTGCGAACATGGAAGTCAAGCAATTGTTTACAAAGGCGGACAATAGGATCGCCGATCAATTAATTATTATCTCAAGCTCCTCCGTGTTCCGAAGAACACGTCAAATCATTGGTCTCAGCTGCATCTGCAGTCGCTAGCACCTACCAATCCGCACTAGGCCCACGTGGCTCCTTTTGGACATTTATGCCAATGATGATAATGATGAAATGTTTTACTCTCTTTGGATATTCTTTGAACGTAACGAACAAAAAAAAACGAGCGAGCCTTACAGTAGTCGCGTATGATGTGTAACATTTAAAACCTCACCTTAAATTAGTAAAAAAAAGAAATAAAACCTACTACAAAAGGGATAAGCCATTTGAACATTATGTTCTAAAATCAAATCAAATAGCGCGCGCTTTCGCGACTTCCTGTTATACATTTTCGTCCCATTTCACGAAATCACTCCCACAAATTGCAGGAAAGCGAGAGGAAAGATGTTACACGTCAATAATATTTTTTGATTGTTCGTTTTGATTGGAATATTTGTTGATTGTTATTTATAAACAGGTGGATGAAGCTATGCAAGAGTTCGCATCAAAATGCTGCCAACACAACGCGGCTCAGCCTCCAGCCACCGCTTGCATTATGAACGCCGATGGAGTGTATCTGGCTACTTACGCTGCCTTACTTCTGAATCTACGGCAACGGCGCACTGATTATTACACAGGAAACAACGTGAGTATTGGCAATTGTTCAGTAATAGGTGGATAAAGCAATGCATGTGTTTGCAGCAAAATGCCTTTAGCCCCTTACATTATGAACGCTCTGGCGGCGTCTGTCTGTGAGACACTTAATATTGAATGTATTTCGTCAATGGCTGTATTTCATGCTGTTGTTAAATCTATTCCCTTACACTCTTACTCCCATCCTTTAAACCTTTTATTTATTTTCTATTTCCTTTCCTTTCCTCTCCTCTTCCTTTCGCCTCTCACTATTATTAAACCGTCCTCTCCTCTCCCTGTCTTTCCCACCCATTCGACCTGGCTGCATCTCGACGCGGCCTCGGATTCTGATGGGCCTACTCTATCAACTATCGAACCCTCTACATCACAATTATGGTCTGTTCATCAACTTAAAATGTAATAAATAAATGTTATAAAAAAAAATAGAGTAGTAGTTACCTCGCTAGTTACACTGCCTTGCTTCTGAATCTACTGTGACGACGCACGGATTCGTATACAGAGAATAACGTGAGTATTGACAATGTTTCATTAATAGGTAGATAAAGCAATGCAAAGAGTTCGCACCAAAATGCCTCCAGCCACCGCTTGTATTATAGACGCCGCTGGACTGTACCTCGCTTTTTACGCTGCCTTACTTCTGCTTCTGAATCTACTAACGACGTAAGTTTTGACACGTGTTCATGTAAGGCTAGTATTTAAAAATGGCAAGCTAACCATTGAGGAGCAAGATACTTGCCAGAGTTCCATAGTAAGGGAGGTTTGTAAGCATCCAAGATCTTGAATTACGCAGAGGGGAGAAGTTGACAAATATGAGTCAACGTAAAAATGAGTTGATTTTTCAAGGTAAATAAAACTAAAAGAACACATGTTTTTTATTTTGCTGGGCTTAGTAAATTTCATCGGATTAACTATTTACTCCTTGAAAAGTTCTATGATAAAAATATCGAAGTCCTACAATAAACCGTGTCCTTACAAGACAAAATTTTGGACCTAGGATGGTTTTGGGGATGTCCCTATCTGAAAGGCGAGATAGGGACATCCCCAAAATCCCATAGATTCGCGACTGGAGGCACCTTACTTAACGCTGTCGCAACTGTATTCCTATCACAATCAAAGTAGAGGATAGTGGTAAATGCACAAGAAATTGATGAAGCAGACGCAGAAGAAGAGTAACCATAGCACTGCTATTCTTTGTGAACAAACAATGGTGGAACTTTTGATTTCGAAAAAATTAAGTAATCGTGTACTATCATCAGATCTATCCATTCTGATGATATTACACGACTATTTTTTTTTTTTGAGTATTTACTCTTTAAAGAAAAGATTTTGCATTTTAGAAACTTCAAGTGTCCATGACGGAAGACGAATTCGTGGAAGAGGTCCAAGGCAGCGGAGTGCTTGTGTATTTGTCAGCAACTTGGCTTCGGGAAGTTTACCAACAAGTTTTATCCAACGATCTGCTTCGAGAAGTGCCTAGTGCTGACCATCCACTACTGCATCTTTTGTCAGGTAATTCATCATCAGTCTATTAATGTCCGCACTGCTGAGGCACAGGCTTTCCTATGGGTGGAATAAGGAGATTGGGGCATGACCCACCACGCGGTCCCAGTGCGGATGGGTGAGTGCTAACGGTTGCAAATGCAGCCGGGACCAACGGTTCAATGTATATTCCAAAGCACGGAGGAGCTCGAGGTAGCAAATTTTTGGTCACCCATCCAATGACCGACCACTGCGAAAGTTACTTAGCTTCAACTATCGCAGCCGAACGCGCTTACCACTTGCACCATCGAGCTCTTAACCTTTGTCAGGAAATAAGAGATCATTTTAAGAACTTAATTTGCTTCCCTAAGTCCCATTTGCTGTTCCGAAATCAGCGTCTTCAAAGTTAAAGTTAACAAAACAAAGTGTTTCATAACTTGCAGTATCACAATTTTATTCGGGTACAGCATTATAACTGGGCCTGTCCATTTCAGATCTCGGTGGCTTAGACCAAAGTCCAGTGATGTCGGATTGGCAGAAACTGAAAGAAGTGTCCATGCTATACAATAATACTGATGAATCGCCGCAGCATCAAGCCAGCCTGCGTTGGGCTAGGAGGTAAGGTAACTTAATGTCATTTTGTCAATAACAAGACTAAAGAAACAGTTTCTATTAATTTCTATTTTTACTGATCAGTGGCACGGGTGTGTTTATGTAATCATGATATTTTTAATTGCTGGGCCGTTAGAAGACAAAAGAGTAGTAGGTAAATAGTTACTTTAAAGAATATTATTAACAGCTGTTAATATACTACATGAATAGCTGTTCTATATGTATGCTGACTGTTTAACTCCAGAGAGTCCAGATAATCAAATAAAAAGAGAATCTTATATTTTTATGATCTCGTGTTACCTTTCTTAGAATCTCTAAAGAAGATTACAGACGAATCATGAGGGATATGAAATTTGCCACAAATTTAAATAATTTATCCCCTATATTTCAGAATACTGACTTGCATCTGGGAATCTATGGTGACGGTATTAAGTGTACCTCTGACATGTCACAAAAACCGCAAACAAAAATTACAGGGAATTCTGTCCAAGAAGATAAACTCCTTTGGACGGAGAAAGCGCATTGCCTGGGAGGCCTTGACTATACAATGCCTCGAAGGTTTACATAAGGTATTGTTAATCCAAATAAAAAAAAAATGTTAATACCTAGTCAATTTTATGAAAACTGATGAACGATTTGGAGAATTCCACAGAAATCAAACTTTTTCCGGAATAAAGAATTGTACATACATACATAAACTTGACATAAACCCTAAATAACTCTCTATTTTTTGGGCAGTGTAATAAAAAAGGTACTTACCCAATGTTTCAATCCAGGTTATAATATGCTTTTCAAATTCTTCCCAATTCGTTCAGCCATTTTTCTTTATTGAAACATATAATAATATTAAGAGGATTATGATTCCCAAAGTATCTCGTTGTTAACATCATTTGATCTCCCTTAGATATTTTAGATGAGTTACCTAGTAAAAAATCGACATTTTTATCTAACAAAATTGGATAAAACCTGAGTGAAGAATATAAAAATCTTCATTTCAGGCAGCCAGAGTGAGCAACACGCTGAGTCTGCAAAATCGTTGCAGCAGTATTTTAGCGCTTCTTGCAAATTCAGCCATATCGCAGCCTCCTAACGGCAAGATATTGTCGACTCACGCACTTTCCCTGGACATATTGATTACAGGTCAGCATTAACGCTATCGGAGGAGCCCGATAGCGCAGGTGGTTAGCGCGTTCGGCTGCGATCGTTGAAGTTAAGCAACTTTCGCAGTGGTCGGTCATTGGATGGGTGACCAAAAATCTTCCATCTCGAGTTCCTCCATGCTTCGGAAGGCACGTTAAGCCGTTGGTCAAGGCTGCCTCTGCAGTTGTTAGCACCCACCAATCCGCACTGGGCCCTTGTGGTGGGTCATGGCCCAATCTCCCTATTCGGTCCCTAGGTTACGCCTGTGCCCCAGCAGTAGGGACATTAATAGGCTGATGATGATGATAATTAATGCTCAGCTAAATATAGATGAGCGGAAATAGATAGATGGGTGGAACGGACTCAAACTTTTTGCTTTTCTCTAAGACTGCGTTGTTTCACCGATAGTATTTTTTTTACTATAGTTAGCTCCTATAGAAAAAATTACCATTTGAAAAAAAATGTATATTTAGTATTTGGCGTGGCATTAAATATAATCAAATTTTTTGGAGGTTTTCCACTCCGAGCGGAGCGAGCCCACTAACCACTAATGACTCTGTTTACCTCGCAATACAAAAAATGCATACATCTGTTTCCACCAACAGAGTCTAGCGAAAATGACAAAGAGGGAAAAAAGAGTAAAAATGAGCTCGCTCATTTCAAGAGAACGGAGCGAACTCTCTAATGAGTCCTTTCAACTCACAATCGAATTTTATGCTTCCAAGATCTTTCTGCATGTGAGTGACAATTCAGGGAGGGCGTCACTGTCTACGTAAATGACATACAAAAATGACGTTTACAAAGACGATGGCGTTAGTTACAAAGTCCGCTACATTCATAAAGCTCTTGATCGCACTGTAGTCGTGTTTCCACATAGAAAGAGGTGAGTGAAAATGACGAAAGTCTAAAATTATGTCCGCTGTGTCGCAGTCTCGCCAACATGTTTGAAAATCAAAATTCATTTTGAGTTCATCTCCCTCAGCTCTTTTCTTTTACTCATTCCTCATAAGCTCTGAAAATCATAACTCCTGAACTCTTTCTCGGTGGAAAACGGGCTTTACTATCGATGAAACAACGCGCCCTAAGACAGGGTTTTGCTTGCAGGTCTTCGAAAGGAATATTTTACCGGGCTTACTCTGCTTGCTTTAAATATTCAATTGAAGCATTTACTTTATTATTAACTTATTCGTTCAGATTTGAGCGAAGTCCGTGACTGGTCCGCTACGCTTACAGTAGTACAAGACAAGCCTTAAACAGAACAATTCGGATGGTTACAATTGTACCTTGCTACACGTAGGGCGCCATTTCTTATTACATTTTTCGATGTGTCAACATCTTTCCTCTCGCTTTCCTGAATCTTGTGGGAGTGATTTCGTGAAATGGGATGGAAGTTTTAAATGTTACACATCATACGCGACTACTGTAAGGCTCGCTCATTTTTTTAATAAGAAAACGATGTATTATTCATTATAATTTTATCACAATGAGAGTGAAAATATTAGCACGAGAAAAACTTAAAAATCAATTGACATCACTGATTGCGGCAGTAATGATACTTGTAAATAAAAACAAATTATTACGTAATTAAACCTGTATAACATCAAACTCGAAATTAGCCAAAATTGCGCAATCCGTAATTGAAGCGTCTATAAAGTTTTTACAATTATTACTTATCAGACTAAGGCCCGTATTACAGAATGACAACTAAGTGTTGATCTCAACTTGAGTACAGTTAGAAAGGGATATCGCTATGTGCAATATATAGCGACATCCCTTTCTAACTATGCTCAAGACTAGATCAATCACTGATAATCTTTCTATACTACGGGCCTTAGGGTCCTAATTATATTCAAGATACTTCGGATAATTTAGAGTTCATAACACAGGAATTTTAAGGTAGCTCGTATGCTTTGTTTGTTACCCTCAAAACAAGTGTCCAATGAGTACTATTTGATAACTAAACCCATGTTTGATAACCAGGTGGCCTAGAGCTTGGTTCTAAAGCACCAGAATGCTGGGAGCACATATTCGCCGCGTGTCAATACGTGTCAAGCTTCGAGCACACCTTGTTCGGACAACAAGGGAACAATGCTACACCAGTGGTGACAGTTCATGCCGCCAGGAATAAAACTGTGTCCGTCTTACAGACAGACGCGAAGCTTTCACTGGACGGCAGAGACGATGAGACTTGGTGAGTACCGTTCTACATAAGGATACAAATTTAGTGCCAGTGTTTTGCTTCGAGTATAAGTTGTTCAGGTCCGTCGCCACCATTCTTGCCACGAACAACAATACGGTGTTCATCCTATAGACAAATGCCTAGCTCTCAATAAATAGTGGCAACGATAAAGCTTTGGTGAATATTTTATTTAAGACGTAGTACCGGGTATAGGGCAAGCTTCGAGCACGCACTGTTTCCACAGTAGGGGAACAATTCGACGCCCGTCGTTAGGAACAAAACAGCCTTCGTTTAGCAGACTGAAGCAACGAAACTTCGTGAGTACATTCATACCCAGTACCAGGTGATGTCTAGTTTCACTTCGCCAGGAATAAAACTATGTCCGTCCTACAGACTGATGCGAAGCTTTCGGTGGACGGGAGAGACGATGAGACTTGGTGAGTAATACATACTTAATCGTAAATAATTTATCCAGCATCGAGCTTAAGCAGAATACAGAAGATCTTCGTTCTACAGAGTAATGTCAAACCCTCACTAGAAGGTACGATGAACATTTGTGAGACCTATACTATACGTAGTTACAGTATATTAAATATACAATATATATATAATACGTGTGCATTTATATAAAATATTTTCTTTGATTTTCAAATCCCGCAGAGAACTAATGAATGTTAATAATATCCTCAGTGTGGACGTGTTCAACTTTCTGCAGCCGGTTCTCGAAACAAACATGAACAACGAAATGTCCGTTTCTAAGATTGTAGAAGCTTGCAGACAGGAGGTAAGCTATTACAAAATCATCACTATTCAAATAGTTTGCAGCATCATCAAAGTAATTTCATTATTATTATCTCCACTGCTGGACCTAGCAGTGTCCTATCCACAGAACACAAAAAGAGGTTAGAAGGACCTTGAGGCCTGAGCCTTGAGAGCGTCATCAAACTTGACCAAAACTTGATTCTGATTGCATCGTTGCTCTCGGATGTGAGCACTGATTAGTTCTATTGTTTGATTGGCTAATATCTATTAGGTGGATGTGTAGTGAAGGCGAACCGGTGACATCGGTAACCGTACAAACGGTCTATGATTGATCACCCTTCTAACCTCTTTCTTTGTTCTGTGATCCTATCCCAACTGAAGCGAGGATCAATTACACGCCACGGTGCTCGTATCGGCAGTGCGTTGGTGCCACCATAACATAGCATTTTATCTGCTTTAATATTACATCTTCATGCACATCATCCCATACATCGTTCAATCACATACTCGATGTCGATTCTGTTATGTTATAGTTACATATAGTCATGTTTTGATTTTATTATATGTGGGAATCGGAATTTAGCGAGTGTGTGAGCGAGACGTATGCATGAGGAAGAAGGACGGAAGAGCGGTAGCGCCATTTTGTAAAACAAACATATTAAGATTCGGGATTAGGACGTAAGGAAAGTTGTATTTAAAAATTAAAATAAAACGAAGTAATTTGAAAGGGGATTTTCATTTACTATCCGATCTACATATAGTTATTATTGAAGAGAAACTTCTTTTCGGACGGGATGTAAATGGAAATATCCTATGGAAAAGAGAGAAGAGAAGAGAGAAGATGAAGCGGAAATGCGTCACACATACATTTAAATGAGTGATGCGTGCGCTGCTCGATTCTCCTATGTCTTAAGCACCTAATCTTAGATTATATTACAGTTTTTTTGTCTTTAAAATACAAAATAACAAATGTAAACTTTCTCATTTTTTTTTCCTTTGGCAGTTACCTATAGTAGTTAGGAACAAGAACTCTGCTAAAATGCGCTATAGAGACACGATTTTTACTTTAGCTTAGCAGAATCGACACCCTTGTCAGACGCTGAAAGTTTTTGAATAAATCTGAATTGAAACAGTTTAAATTCAGATTCTGTACAGCAGGGTGGCGCGGTAATATCGGGCGCCGGAGCAGCCCGCGTTTGCTGCGCTTTATCCGCTGCAGCCGACGCTTTATTCACTCGTTTGGCCGCCACCACTACGCTGCCCGCGCTTAAGGCAGCGCTGCAGCGACTCGTGGCGCACCAACACCGTCTGGTCAGTACCATATCGCTCTCCGGATGCAGAGAATCTACTCTAACATTCACTATACTGAATTAAAACACTGTATCTTCGATACTTTATAGAGGAGCTGGCGAACAAAACGCTATAATTACGCATCTGGTCAAACTACTTTTTTTTACAGACCGGAGGCTTCGGGCCCGTTGAATTTGAATCTCAAATAATTTACTATTAAAACCACCTAAAACAGTGTTAAAATTACTAAATTTATACATTAAAAACCATGACAAAAGCTAACTCACTCACACAAGCCACATTCAGTTATATATAGCTAATGTAAAATTTAATTTTACTTAATTATACCGTCTTGTTCGCTAACTCCTTTGTTATATTTTTTTCTTTTATCAACTACAACAAAGGCACGTATTCTGTTCTACCCCCGTTTCTAGAATGCCCATTGAAAAAGCTTCTTCTGGTTCACTATACGGTGTTCCGTTTTGTTGCAAAGTATTGGCACGGTAATATTATCTATACAGTATTGTGACTCGGCCCTGTCCTTAAAATAACTGCCTACGGCCGAGCGGGGCGTATCCACGCTGTAGGGCTGCCCGCCTACAGTATTTTAATTTCATCTACGTAATTGAGTTGCTTTCTAGTTTTGTGATTGTATATAATTTGTTCCTAAGTAAAAAAAAATGTTGTAAATGAATTAGGAAGTGTTACATAAAATACATGTTATTTTACGTGTAATATTTAATAATAAAATAAATATAGATTTGAGACAGAAAAATATTTACGCTTCGACTGAGACGTACGAAAAGCTTTATTATTAAATTTAATAGTATATTAAATACGCATTCGTATAAAAAGTTTCATTATTGAAGAGTTCAAGCAACCAAAACCAGCACAATATCGACTATTGCTCTTTGCCATATTAGATTATGTAGGTATCTACTTAATTCAATCAAATAGTCACAATACAAACGTTTAAACACGGCTATCTGCTTAAAAACAATTCACACCGTTCGGTCGTCGCTGCAGCGCATTCGCGACTGGATGCCCACCGGGTGCCGCGCGAACTCGAGTGCGTAGGTATGACACGCTTTCCGACCGTTTGTATGAAGATAGAATACTGTATTCTTAGGGATCAGAAGAGGAAATTATTAAAAAAAAAACAGTTACACAAACCACCCTTTATTTCACCTTCATACAATTATTTTTTCTTTAAGATAATTAACTAATTGCGAACGTTACAGAAATATTTCTATTTTATGAAAATAAGGCAATCCGACCGACAAACGGGTAGAGCTTCCGCTTAGCACGAACTCTCAACAGTAACTGACGCCGAACTGCGCGCGCTCTCGCTTATATAGAACGACCCCTTCCACTTCACAACGTAACACTGTCTTCTGCTAACAGTATAGATAATATTACCGTGGTATTGGACTGCACAAGCGAGACGGAGCGAGTAGTCGGGTCATTAGGGTCACCAATTGTCGAGTATAGTTCTCTTTACTCAAAAGCCAACTCTGCGCTATGAATAACCGGGCAAGTAGATAATGTCGTCTGTCCAGCTCAATCTCGTCATAATTCTGACTGATCAGTAAATGACACGATCTTTCAACTGAAAAGCTCATTTTCAAACCAAATTTTCTCACATTTCTAGATCGTAACCGATAACAGCACTTGGTGGGCTCACACCGGTCACACGGTCGGTCTTTCAACTTAAAATGAGACATTTTAAAGTTACAAACGATTCTCTTATCTGCAAGCTGTTCTTGTCTTGGGACCAAGACATAACTAACAATAGTACTTGGTGGCTTCGAAGCGGTCACGTGAACTGTCTTTCAACAAACGTCTACATTTCAAATTCTCTATTGTAAGAAGCCCAAATCTTCCTCCGAGCTGGGTGATGGTAGCTCGGGGGACGCGGCCCGACTGATCTTGGTCGGGCATCGTATATATGGAGTGTTAGCATCCGAATTTCACTTGCGCGATGTAGGCTTCCATATTATTGTGATCGCAGCGCAGGTAGCGCCATCTCTTGAGGTGGCGAGTGATTATTTCCTCCATGTTAGTTATATGTGGGGCATATAGATGTCGCCGCCACACTATTAATTATCTCATTTGCAGTTGTTCTCGTGTTGGGACCAAGACGTATCCAACAATAACACTTGGTGGCGTCGCAGCGGTCACGTTGGCGGCGCGGGGGAAGCATTACGAGCGTTGTGTAGAGGCGGAGATGTGGCACTGCGGTGTCTAAGGGCAGCAAGACCATTAGCACATCGAATGGCTATTTGGAGCTGCTATGGACCGCATTTGATGCAGGTAAAAATGAAAACCAATAAGAATTGAGGAGCTCGATGGCGCAGGTGGTTAGCGCGTTCGGCTGCGATCGTTGAAGTTAAGCAACTTTCGCAGTGGTCGGTCATTGGATGGGTGACCAAAATTCTTGTATCTCGAGTTCCTCCGTGCTTCGGAAGGCACGTTAAGCCGTTGGTCCCGGCTAGATCTGCAGTCGTTAGCACCCATTAATCCGCACTGGGCCCGCGTGGTGAGTCATGGCCCAATCTATCTATTCCATCCATATAGAAGACCTGTGCCCCAGCAGTGGGGACATTAATTGGCTGATGATGATGATGAATAAGAAATCATCAGATGCATATATTATGAGAAACAATTTAGGAAGCAATATAAAGGATTCCTGTCCTTGCCAATGAATCTCCCGCTACTATTCCGTTTAGGGGGGAAATCACTATACTTCTCCCAAGCCGATTACGAGCGCGACCGTTTGGTGCATCGAATGGCCATCTGAAGCTGCTACAGACCGCATCTTATGTAGATACAGTCGCAAGACTCAGACCACCTTTCAGATATGTAATTTACTTGTCAAACTGCCAGTTTTATATTGTTATTCATCATTTTTGCAGGCGGCATGCCATAAAGACATCCAGATAAGCTCGATGGCGATCCAATGCCTGCACGACTGCGCCACTGCGTTGCTCAGCCAACAAGTGGAACTTCCGCATTTCCATTTCAACGAGGCTTTACTCAAACCATTTGAGAACCTTCTCTGTTTGGAACTCTGTGACGACGATATTCAGGTAACATACCAAATTTTAACCGAAAATCTAGCAATGAAATATCTATCTTCAATCATCAACTGAGTAGTATATTAATAAAGTTTAAAAACTTTCAGGAACAAATAATATCATGCATCTGCGAATTCGTAGAGACGAGCAGAATGGAAATCAGATCCGGTTGGCGACCGCTATTCAACACCCTCAGAGCAGCCAACAACTCCAACCAATACTCCGCTATACTGGAAATATTCAAAGTCTTCCTCAGTACTGATAATACCCTCGTGTTTGCTAATGCTGCCCTAGACTGTATCCTATGTCTTCTAAGCCACATCAAGGGGCTACATTACGAAGAAGTACAAACGACCGAAGTCAAACCCAAGAAACCTCCTCCACAACCAAAGCCTAGCCTTAGCCTCAAGTTTTCAAAGAACAGCAAATTTATACCGCTTAGTGAAGAAAAGTCTGAAAAAGTTATCGTAGATATGTGTAGAGAAGCACTATATCACTTGGAGAGTTGTGCCGATATATTAACAATGATGTACAATATGCCCAAATGTCCCATATTTAATACAGGAAACAGAATCAAGGGCGATCTACCCTTATCTGTAGTCGATCCGATAATACCAAGTGCATCTCTTGATATAACCAAATACATCATAAATGTGCCATGTGAAGAAGAACCAATTTCATATAAAAAATTATCAACCAGTCTGCCTCTGTCAAACACAACAAATAACTGTTTATTGAAATTGGACAGACCCAGTAATATTCTCAAGGTGTGGTATGTCCTGATAGAAGGACTAATTTCTGCTACGGTAGTGTGCTCCAAGAAAAATCAACCAGCAGCCATGGAGACACTTTTCAAACTTCTCAAGAATATCATTGACGTACCTGGTACACATTTTGGACTTCATTGCATTAATCACCTGCTACTGCCCACAGTGCAAAATTGGCTTCGTCAAATAGCAAATGTAAATACACATTGGGATAGCGTGATGCCAAACTTTAAGCAATGTTGCGGAATGACTACAGATACTGTAGTAATATATCTTCATCATTTACAACAAATAAATATTGAAAGATCAACAGGCGATGATAATCCTGATGGAGACGATATACAGCCATTCGAGAGCGTTGAAGTGACATTTGCATTAAAACAAATAATGTTAATACTTGTGGAATGTATAGCTCAACCTCAAGAACCAATAGCGAGATTAGGGGCCTCGTGTATAAGACACATTATTTTAACATCGGGGCATTTGTTAACTGACAATCAATGGGAAGTTGTTTGCACGAGTCTCCATAGGGCATGCAATGTTAGTCTGACTCCATTGAAACAATTAACTTATGCTTTTAAGGAAAACTCCAATAGCTTCTATGGAGATCTGGCAATTGTAAAAGTAGCAGCAAGACGCGATTGCTCTGTCAATGATAACGTGAGACTGCATGCAATGGCCCAGCAAGTGTTTCTCACTGAATATTTAAAAAGCGACAGTCAAGTGAAACTAACACCAAAAAATTCATCGCAGAACTTAATGCTTATCGACGACAGAAGTTATATTTTCTTAATTTATCTACAAGAATCTGTAAATTCTTTAAATCCAGAACTGTACACTGTCCGTATTCCATATAGAGGACTCGTTGTGGGTTTGTTAGCTCATCAAATTTTAGTTCAAATTATTGCTACGGTACTCATCCAAGCTTCTTCCGACGTATTTCATGGCATAAATAGTATACTATTTGAAAGCCTAAAGACTGGTTCTAACGTGTGCAACTACAAATTTTTCTTAAATAGTGATAACATTGATTTAATGCTGAAAAGTTTGGAGCTTTCTTATATGAGAGCGATGCAGTTTGACTCTCGACCGGGGCTGAAATTTCTAGTTCAGAAAGTATCTAATTTAGACAGTGCTGCCAATCTTTACAAACAGACGACATCATCGTGGCTTATAAAAATTATAGCATTAACTGAGTGTTTCTTTAGTGGAGTTCATAGATTCAAATTAAAACCAACTGACATATCTATCATTCTACATAATTATACAACAACATTGAACTTAACACTGGAATACGATCGGTTTGTTACCAAAATATTTGACTTAAGAGACACGTGGGAATTGATATGCAATAATTATGTAAAGCAGCTAATTGATGTATCTGATTTTGACGAGCCAGAGCACATTAAAGAACGGATGTCTATCAGTTCAGAAGACTCAGATGCCTCTTCAAATCATTATGAGCAATATTACGCACAAATAGAAACCACCAAAGAAACTGTTCAATTGGTTAAAGAAGAAGTCGAAATCCATACGAATGTTTCTGAAGAAAAGTCTCCTGATAAACCGAAACCATTTACTTTTGCTGATTTCAAAGCAAATAGTCAAAACTCCATGAATTCCGATAATAACAGAAATGAATCACCTATATGTATAGATAATGACAATACTGAAGTTCCTAATAACGATATTCTTAAGTTGGATCCTGATGTAAAACGAGATCAATCACCAAATGAAGTAAACTACGCTACAATCAATGAATCACACATTATTCTTATTAAGGATAAAGAAATCCGTGTGACAAATGAGGTTCTTGATCATCAAAATCATATTCCCACGCGGAAGGTTATTACTTTATGTGATGGTCCCACATATGAAAAACCTAAGCACATTGAGCCGTTGATCCCACCACAGCCTGTACCTCCAGAGATAGAGCAACAAAGAGCATTGAGCATAAGCAAGGTTAGAAAATTTAACTTTAACATAGTATTAGTGAAATATATTCAATAAATTGATAATAAACATGCCCTACAATCATATCCTCACTACGACGAGGGGATATATCACAACTACTCATTCTAATTTTGATTCTTAAGAAAGTCTATATTCCACTAAAATAGCTTTGAATAGTCTGCGACTACAATAAATTACATAAAAATACAATGATTCGTAACAAGCGTGGTAACAAGTACCTAATTCAAGATTGCCTGAACAAACTGTAATAATGTAACTTGTATATTATGTTAAATAAAACAAGTTTTACAATGGGTTTAAAATGCGTTTTTAATATTTTTTACAGATTCACGACGAATATGGATTACTTTTTTACAAAACTTGACGTTTCGCATCCTTTTCAGGATTCGTTGTCAGAATTAATATTATTATTGTTATTTAATTTTGACGAGCTACCTTCGAAAAAATAATCGTAATTCTGACGACGCATCCCGAATAGGATGCGAAACGTCAAGTTCTGTAAAAAGTATTAAAAATACATTTTTAACCCGTTGAACAATTTGTTCCATTTTGAGTGTGTGCATAAATACTTAAGAAACAAATATGTGTGTATTTTGTTGTTTAAGGATACGGACGTCCAGCGGCACTGCTTCCAGAACATACTCCTTGCATACTTGGAACTCATACTTACGTTCCCATTAGAAAGGTTCCAGCTGATCGCACCCGCGTTGCACGGTGGATTCGCCCAACTTTCCAACACTGTCACAGATTCGCAACTTCTCGACCGGATAAACGTATTCTTCGACAAGAAAGATTTATACGAATTTAATCATAAGTGATCAATTAATTGTGATAATATAAAAATTCACATAATAATTATTGTAGCCTATTCCTCTACTATATCAATGTTATGTGCAAAATAAAAATCAATTATATTCGATTGTTACGTTTTTATTTATTTCTCGCTCAGCTTCAAGCTCGTGAACAAAAATATATTTGCACGTCAATAAATCTAAAAAAAATCTCCTCAACTTAATTAACAATAATATATACTTATTTATGTAACAAACCTCATATTTGGTATAGATACAGACTATTCAATGTTTTGTCTTTTACAAAAATGCACAATCAGTCATTATAAAAATTGCAATCATTAACATGGCACATTGAACTCACTACATTTTGATAAATCTTACTCACGCATTTGGACATTAAAGCAAACCAAAGCATAAAAATCTGTTCCTGGTAGCTACAATGGCACTAAAATATTTGGTGTGATCGCTTCACATTATAATATTTACAGATATATTTACAATTTAATATTTACAGATCATTGGTACATCATCTTAACACATAAATGCTGAAATTTGCTAACATCACTGTTAAAATAGATGCCGTAACACAACTAACTGCTTTAGTTGCGTACGTATGGACAGTCAGTGCATAGGAAAGCGCACTTAAGCCCAAATCTACAGAGATCAAGGCGCTTTCTCTGTTGATCATATCGGCTATTTTCTCTGCTTCCAAAACGCACACTTCAAGTTGCAAATCCGTCGGATCATCAAGAAGCGTTTCAACTGAAACAAAGATTTCAGATTCGATAGTCAAGTAGCCTCTAAGGGCACATTCTGCTATTTTGACATGTCTTTCAAGGGCTTTGAGCAAATTATGGAGATTGATAACGGTGGCGGAAATATTAGTGCCGTAAAGAGCTCTGTCGATTTGCTTCTTCGAGTAGAGTATTCGTAAACCTCCTCCACATCTAGGGCAGCAAGCGCCGGGGGGAGTAAAGCCTTGACAACCGTTCTTCTTGAGAGAAGGACATTCTATCCTATCGAATTGGCACATGGGTTCCATAAGGTCGGTTATGAGTCCCACGGCAACACACGGTCCCAGGTAGTCAACGCTTACGAAATCCGACCAAGCGGCGCATTCGGAAATGTATGTCACACCATTCACTCCACAGACGGTGCCTCTCTAAAAACAAATCAAACGGAAAAATTTGATTATTTTATACTTTTGCTAAAGAATGATATTTCAATAACCACGTCGATATTGTCCAACATATTTCCACTCATTAACTCAGCTTGTCATGATAGAGCATACATTCACACTAAAGTAGTCTCTTAGGGCTGCGCAATAAAGATGCCGAAGCCAAATTGACACTTATGTGGTATTTTGGAAGGATGTCAATGGCACAGTGGTAGCTTGTTCGATGTGCTTTACTTGACGTTAAGCATTATTCGTGAATGCCGGTCAAAGAATCAGATGATGATGAGATGCGTGAAAAAATTTACTATCTCTAGCTCCTTTGAACTTCTATTTTTTTTTTCCAATAGACACGTTATGCAATTGGTCCCAGCTGATTTTAGAGTCGTTAGCACAAATCAATCTGCACTGGACTCACATGGTGGGTCATATCATGGCCCATTTTAGTAGGACACGGGGAAAGAAAGTCTCTGCCCACACGGTGGGTACATTGAGATTGATAAAGATTATGATAATTCTGTAAGAATTCGGGTTGGTCCTTCGAGCCGGATTACTTTCAAATGAAAATTTATATATTTTTTGTTCATAAACTTACTTGAGAACAATATTTGAGACAGGGACCCCAGTAGGCGAGTCGCTTGCCACCCAATGCTAAGTGGCACGGTGTGGGATGTGTCACTCCATCCGTGTCGCACACTGTTTTCTGCGGTTGTGAATTGCAATGGCTTGTGTTCACTGAAATTTATAAAAAAAAACTATTAAACTTAATTCTATAAAAATTTTTTGAATGCGAATGCACTGACCATTATGCTACCGCGGCCCTGATGGCCGCAAGGCAGGCTGCAAGTCAGCGCCATCTCTTCGCATTACGAGTATACTAGTGCCTCTATGTTTTGCTTTTTTGTAAATGCTTATTGAATCTCCACACTAGACGTCATTAGTAGTGATAAAAAATAGTTTTTTTATAGCATTTTTGAGGGCTTCTAGTTTTTTTGAAACACAATTTATCGAAAAAAGGAAGGCAGGAGCATAGAATAAATAGATAGTGATACAGAATACAAGAAATTGTATTTAACTAGCTGTACCCTGCCACGCTTCGCAGTGGCACATTGTGATTGAATGGTTGAGAAATGAGAAACAAAACAAAGAATACATTTCATATAAGTTTAATTTTGCAATACTTGTGTATATACAATTTTTTTTGTTTTTCCACTGTCTGCGGAGATATAAAGACTATCTGGTTTGCCGACTCGGGAACACGCAACATAAGTTGTCCATCTGAAAAGCAATCCGCATCTAAATCTAAACCACACTTTTTAAGATTGACCTTGAGCTTTATTGATTGTGATTGCAAATGCCAATCGAATTGGGAATTGCAATCATTTAAATTGAAATGGTGTATCGGTCGGGATCATGGGTATTCGAGGTATGAGGACATCTTCACCTTTGAAAGGCCCGTTTAAAATGGTTGCTTTCACTACGTTATTCATTAATTTCTTAACTGCAAGTCGCGTGCCGTTTACAGAGTTTATAAGAAAATAATTAAAAATAAATAATTAAAAAAAATGCACGTCTTTATGTTTTCATTTTCTAACTGTGAACTGTTTTACATTTAATTGTTATTTTATTTGATTTTATTATTGAAATTATTTGATGTTTACTACTTATATTGACATTCGTATTAATTAATAATTGCTAATTTTAATGTAATTATATTTATATACATTAACTGATATCTATAAACAAAAGGTGAGGTTTATCCAAAATAAATACTATAATTACGTCCACGTGTTAGATGTAATAAAAAAGATATAACCATCACTTCTGTTAGAAATCCACTTGAACTATAATAAGTCCTTTTATTTTGCCTGTCAGTTTATTATTAAAATATTATTATCTTTTACGTCACTATTGAATTATAGAAACAAACATTGCTATAAAATTTCTCTCATAAGTCGATAGAAAAGATTCACTTCAATAATAAATATGTTTTGTTATTGATTAATTATTTAACTAATATTTTACTTATTTATTTAATTAATTAATATTAAATAAATAATAATTGAAAAAAATAATATTTTTACTGTCCATCTTTGATATAAAATATAACCTCTACTTACGATATGGTGAAAGGCGCAGTTCGATCACAACACTATCACACCAAAAATTCTTGATTTAAGTGAATATTTAATTCAGATTGTATCAGAATCAGATGCAATTTTTTTTGTAAATAAACAATGTAATTGGGAACGAAATTGTTTCTCATGTGACTGCGTCATTACTATTGCGGTTGTCAGCGAGTGTTTTCCTCGCTTCTGGCAGATGGCGCGGTCACTGGTACACAGCTGATCGTTAAAAAAACTGTTTTCTCGCGGTCGCAGATATGTGACTGATGCAAATAATAGATAAAAACAATCCTTGATGCGGATTTTATATCATGTTAAAGGACATTGCTCGTTCCCCATACATTGAATGCCCTAGAACGCCCAGCAATGAGAAAATGCTAGTTGTGTTCGGAATCATTCATAAACTCTAATTATGCATTTGTTGAGATACGGATTTCCAATATATATAAGTACTCTTTGGATACGGACAACTTGAGGAACCGTGGCATACTACAGAATGTATTAGATTTTGAGGTTATCATTATTATACTTAATCGTAAAAGATGTACACTTTATATATTCTAAATAGATTTAGTGTTTACCTCTATGTAAGCACTTAAATAATATGCATTAAATGAATATAAAATGCAATTAATAATAAAAATAATAAATGCTTATATTCATATTGATTTATGAGTGTTGGCACCTGCAGCAACAATAGATTTCTTTTCAAATAAAATGTTCAAAATCTTTCCATTTACCTGTTTCTATATTTTATTATCGGTAATTAGGTATGTACCTGGTTATCATTATGATTTTCATAAAAATAAACAGATATTACATGGGACGGGAGTATAAACTATCTTTACATAATTTCAGAAATAATCTTTTTATAAATATAATATAAATACTAGTAATAAGTATTATTAACTAAGGTACCTTGTTCTATTTTTATGTTGATAAATACTTATGGTCGCCCATATTGCATTTATTAAGGTAAACAATCTTGGCACAACTTTTTAACAGAATCACCCATTTAATAATAAAATATTAACGAAGCCAATAAACTATTAAAATAAATCGTTATTATAGACTGAAACCTATTGAATCCAGTTATCAGTTGATTTTTAATGTTGTATTTTCAATTAAAAGGAATGCCAAGATTTTTTACCAAATAGGACAAGTTGGATAAACAGACTGTAGTATCTAGTAACAGAACTTTTATTTTTTATTTTTTTAAACAGATTGTCCGTTTACTATGATTAATTGCTAATAAGTTAAAAAAATAATAGTGAAGGACATTCTTTTTGGGCATGCTAGGGCCGATTTCGTCGATGTCCTTTCAACTCAATCGGTGCAGAACTTTTTGAGTTTTTGAAGCGTACACAAACCAACATAACATTTTTATATATATAGATGTATTATAATCATTTCCCAATCGTCGAGAACGATTGTATGAAAAAAACATTGCATGCCTCCCCTCTTAAGCCTTTAAGGCCTGAAGTCGTTAGCACCAACCAATCTGCACTGGGCTCACGTCGTGGGTTCCGGTCAAATGTCCCTGTTCCATCCATAGAGAAGGCCAGTGCCCCTGCAGTGAGGACTTTAATAGGCGGTTGATGATACGACTATCTGTTGGCTGTAGTTCGTGTAACGGTTAAAGCCATTTTTTTAAAATCCATGAAAAGTTTGACGTATTCCTCGAGGAGCTAAAGTAAGGATTCCGTTGGTGGCGGAACACAGGTATAGTTACCGCAAGCGTGCTGCAGGCACTCAGCCTGCAGGCGGGATAGGCACACGTTAGTCGCACGCAAGTAAACACGAAAATTGCCCGTACGCTCTGTCCGTGACTCCGAATTCCATATCCGCGTCCGTCGCGCGTGGACGATTATGCCCTCTACACAAACATGCGTGTCTATAATCGCCCATCATGGGCCATTGTAAAGAGGGGCCCTCACACTTACTACACGTGTACTACGGGCACTCAGCCTGCAGCCGGGACAAGCACACGTTGGTCGCACGCACATACGCCAATTGACCGAACGCTCTGTCCGTGACCCCGAACTCCATGTCCGCGTCCGTCGCGCTTGGACGATTATGCCCTCTACACAAACCATGCGTGTCTATAATCGCCCATCATAGGCCATTGCAAAGAGGAGCCATCACATTTACCACACGCGTACTGCGGGCACTCAGCCTGCAGCCGGGACAGGCACACGTTGGTCGCACGCGCGCACGCTAGACGCCCGCACGCACCGTTAGCGCCGCACACGCGACTCACGCCGAACTCGATGTCCGCGTCCGTCGCGCCCGCGCATCTGTACAACAACACGATAATAAGCGACCCATCGTTTTAATCCATACTAATAATGTACGAAAGTGTAAGTATATCAATTTAAATGAAATGTAGTATAGGGATAGTTAGGGTCCCAAGAAATAAGATTGTATACAGGCTATGTCCATACTAATCAATAAATGCGAAAGTTTACCTGTCTGTCTGTTGAAATTTAGTATAGGAATAGATTGAGTCCCGGGAAAGAAGATAACATAGTTTTTCATAGAGAGGCAGTGTCCACAACACTAAAAACTATCTTACTCTACATATTATGTGTGTATGTGTGTGTGTGGATTCTCACTTGGCGAGGCACGTGTTGGGGTACATGCGGGACGCAGCGGCGGCGGGTAGATAGTGGGGCGGGCAGGCGCAGGGCAGGCGCGCCCTCCCCTATATGTATATATGTGTGTGTGTGTGTGTGTGTGTGTGCGTATGTGTGTGTGTGTGTGTGTGTGTGGACACTCACTTGGCGAGGCACGCGTTGGGGTACAGGCGGGACGCAGCAGAAGCGGGTAGATGGTGGGGCGGGCATGCGCAGGGCAGGCGCGCCCTCCCCGCTCCGCAGGCCCGCGCGCTGCATATTCGTTCGCCGCCCGCGCAAACGCACTCGTTGCACTCCACCCAGTACCGGGACCCTGAGGCACACAAGGAAACTTTCGAGACAGATTCATGAAAAGCACCACCAAATGCGTTATTAGACCTGCCCAAAACTGTATTCACATCCTACCCAGTTGGCCTGTTGGTTAATTGACGTTGGAAAAATATGTATGGAATTTTTCATACTAAGCATCAAGAGATGAGAAATCAATCAGCGAAAGTAACGGTTGAGCATCTTAATTACCATGAATGTGCATTTGCCGTTTCTTACCCGTGGTCCACCAAACAAGTTCACCTGGGTGAAGGTAGTCCACCCAAGTGAACCAAGGATCAGGGCAAGTCTCCGGAGTCCACCCAGGTGAAGTTGTTAGGTGGACCATAGGTAAAAATAAATAAATATAAATATTTCCAACACTCACATCAATTAGCCTAGCCCCAAAGTAAGCACTGTAAGGCTTGTGTTATGGGATGCTAGGGTAACGGATAGAATACATATATAAGTATATTTATATAGAAATAGATATTAAACATCCATGACTGGAGTACAAATGCTCGTATTCATCACACAAACACCCGCCCCCACCGGGATTCGAACCCTGGACCTCTCGAGTCGGCGACACCATGAAACCCGGCGTACAAACCACTCGGCCACGGAGGTCGTCATGTAGTAAGAATCGGCACCAGCAGCTAATCGTGAACTTTAAAAGTCTTGCTAGGTATAGGTGCAATTAAAACTTTGTGGCGATTGTGACAACGAAAGCAACAGCGAAAGCAACTATGCACAGGTTTCAGTTCAGTTTAAGCCTCACGCACCCATATATATATTTTGGCGCTTCGCGGGCAGTGTATGATTTGCACCCTCTTCCCTCCCCCTCCCCTTAAATTAGTTTTAAAATCAAATAATAGCTAAGTAACGAATGCTTTTAAATGGCTTTGACGCCCTCGCAGCCTGCCGCTCCGGACCATGGTCTTTCTGGCCCTAGTAAATAAACTGTATACTTAACCGTGACTTGTACTAACTTCACTGCCGTATGTAAGTTTGAATGGCACTATAAGTAAACGTCGAGATTTTCATCCAAAGACTCACCATGCGGCACAATCCTGTCGTGCAATCGGCAGTTCTCTAGTTCGACGCAAGGCAGCGGTTGACAGTTGGCAAGACCGCGTGGGCCGCATCGGCACACCTTAAAGCACGCCTTACGAGACCCGCTTGCCATCGGGACTCGAACCCATGACCCCATGCTCACTACGTATGCGCTGCCTTCACCTGGCAAATACCAAAACGAGAGTCAAACATTTGCTTCCACAAAATATTATTATAGAACTGTAAGGAATTTTTAGCTGGTTTAATAAAATAATGGTGGTTAGGGGGGTTAAGTTCTCTTATTCAACGCAAGACCGCGTGGACTGCATCGGCACACCTTGAAGAACGCTTTACGAGAACGCTCCCTATTAAGATTCGAACCAATGGCCTACAATGCTTACTACTATCACCTTAAAGACCACTACCTTCACCTAGAAAAGAAACAAGATATAAATACTTGCTTCCTCGGATATGCAATTGTAATGGATATTAAGCTGGAGTTTGGTAGGTTAAGCTGTTTTTCTTTAGTGCGACGTTAGGTAGCGGTTGGTAATGGGCGACAGCGGCACACTTTGAAGCATGCCTTACAGACCCGCTCGCTATTGGGACTCAAAGCCACAAACTTAGGGATACACTGCCTTCACCTGGCTATCATGAAATAAGGAGTAAGGTGAATATAATAAGAGACTAACTTTTAAAAGAAAATTTCAAATCATTCAAAAATTTATTGTCACTTCAGAGAACGGGAAACCACAACCTTACAGATAACGGGCTAATGCAGGCAGTTCCTATTGGGCCCGCATATCTGATCAAGGCACATGGTGACGTCACCGCCTCGTGTCTTGAGTGTGAGTGACCCACTTATCCGGCAGCCCTCAAGTCAGGTGTACCGCTTGCAGGTGGAGTGCAGGCAGCTCCAGTGCAGGCATCACTTCTCTATCTTTGTTTAATTATCCTTTGAATTTAAGGTTGTCTGTAAGAGATCGCTATTAGCAATAAGACCGCCTTTACCCACCATAGTTTACTATTTGTTTTTGTAAGCCCTTTAATTGTGTTTATGTGAGTGATATAGAGTATATCTATTTATCTATCTCCTATTGGGCACGCATAACTGGTCACGGCACAGGGTGACGTCACTGCCTCGTGTCCTGTGTGTGAGTGACCTACCTATCCGGCAGCCGTCGAGGCAGGTGTACCGCTTGCAGTTGGAATGCAGGCAGCTCCTATTGGGCACGCATATTTGAGTTGCGTTGCATGGTGATCCCGCACACGGTGATGTTACTGCCTCGCGGGCTGACAGCAGAGGTGGCTCGGGGCCTACACAAGGAATCAGTTATCATTGGTGTTAGTATAATGTAGCGGGTAGGGATCCAATAATTTACTAGGGGAACCCAGTAGCACTAAGAAGTTGAGCCTAGGTAAATCTAGAAAAACTATTTTTTTATTTCTTGGGAAAAGTTACTGCTATTATTTGAACATTACCATCTTAGTTAACTACTAGCCAATGAAAAGTTTTCACATTCAAAATGCTAAATTGTTAAGGAGCTGGATGACGCAGTGATTAACTCGTTCGGTCTGCGATCATGGATGTTAAAAGACTTTTACCAATGGAAAGTCATCTAATACATTTTCGGTTATCGAATATAGGCGTATACAAGAGACTGTTCAAACCCAACCGACCAAAAAGGGCTGACCGCAGCCGCAATAAACGAGCGCAGCACTCACTGGGCGCGGTGTATTGGGACAGTTGCACGCATGGCGCGGTGGGGTCGCGCGGCGTGAGGCGGGCGCACAGAGCGGCGGCGGACAGCTCTATATACTCCGCCACGAGCCTGCTACGAGCCGAGTACAATGAACAAGGAGCACTCACTGGGCGCGGTGTATTGGGACAGTTGCACGCAAGGCGCGGTGGGGTCGCGCGGCGTGAGGCGGGCGCACAGAGCGGCGGCGGACAGCTCTATACACTCCGCCACGAGCCTGCTACGAGCCGAGTACAATGAACGAGCGTAGCACTCACTGGGCGCGGTGTATTGGGACAGTTGCACGCAAGGCGCGGTGGGGTCGCGCGGCGTGAGGCGGGCGCACAGAGCGGCGGCGGACAGCTCTATACACTCCGCCACGAGCCTGCTACGAGCCGAGTACAATGAACGAGCGTAGCACTCACTGGGCGCGGTGTATTGGGACAGTTGCACGCAAGGCGCGGTGGGGTCGCGCGGCGTGAGGCGGGCGCATAGAGCGGCGGCGGACAGCTGCGGCGCCGCGCGGGACCATTCTATACACTCCGACACTAAACGCGTGCACTCCTCCGCGCAAAGGAGGCTGCTGTGACCCTACAGTATAAACATTTTATCATTAAAATGAAAACTTTAGCAATTGACACTAAAGTATAACATAAACAAATAAAAAACCCGACAAAAACTAGAAAGACAAAAATCATTTTAATAATTGCAGTTAGTGGTCCGTTCCATAAGTTGTACTTTTTAATATAAATACAGTAGTATTAACAGTTGTAAGTATGGAACAATGGGGCAGCATCAGACACAGCCACAGCTGATGAGATGGGATAGTGTGAAACCGAAACAGAACGAATTTACTTGACAATCCTCCTAAAGATACTAACCTTGGCAGTGCATGGCTTCACATGTAAAGGGCACGCGACACTCTTCCAAATATCGGTGGGGCATTGCGATAAATTTTTCAAAGGCACAACCAGACCAGACACTGTTATTGACCTAAAACAAATTGCGCAGGTCAAGCATCTTCTAAAATAGACCAATATCGAAAAGCTAACTGAAAATTAAATTATAGTCAGAAACTTTTCCTTCGGGAAAAGCACATTAATACTACTGAAAGATATTTCAGATTAAAATAAGTTGTGCCCTTGTACATATATATGTACCTTTAAGAGACGGAGAGAACTATACGCTGTACCTCTCACTCCCTGCAGGAGCCTGCGGCTCTGACCTGGGGGAGTCATGCTTACATTGCACAGGCTCCCCAGAGGTAAAAAATAACTCTTAAACTGGGCGCCCATGTATGGTTTCCTGATTTGATTATCTGATCAGGAATTCAAATTCGGAATCCCGTGAGCCTAGCGCAGACATTTAGATTTTTTATTAGTAAGATTCCGAACCGAATGTTAGGTGTTTCGCCTCGTTGAACATTTTGTATGTAAGGACGAGCATTCAGGTTTCCAAATCGGTATTCCTGATCAGGAAACCGTGCATCCGTTCGCGAACAATCACCGGCGGGTATGTGGCGGGGCTTAATGAGGTACCACAACAACGCCCGCACTCTCGACATACATTCTGGTGACCTAGTTCCCAAAATGTGTATAGGGTAACCGGTACAAGAGTATTGTCTAGTTTTTAGCGGGTAGGGCTCTTCCGCCGAGCCATAGATCTGGACGAAATGAACGAAGAGAAGTCTCGCATATCCCCGAACTTCTACTTCCGGTAGGCGGGGAAGGCTTAAATCCTTTTTTAGACTTAAAAAAAGGGTTTTTAGGTCTTCAACATGACAACTTAGTACACCAGATATAGAGCTGACTGCAGTATGTCGCACCGGCATAAGCCAGAGTACAAGGAAATATGGCATTGATTTATCTGTGTATGTCTTGTCTTAGTTTAACTTTTGCCTGCAAGTTCGCCTGCTCGGTGCAGGCGATGAGCTGACTGCAGTACTGCAGACCAATGAACAAGGAATTGATGGCATTATAATGTATTATTTTGCAGGTCTCACCTACTGCCCTTCTGCTCTGCGACGGCCAGATGCGCTTCTAGATCCGCCTGGGCAGTACACGATCGAAATAACGTCGTAGGCCGATTGTTGAGCTGACTGCAGTACGTCAAACCGGCGCAACCCAACGAACAAGGAGCTTCCACTGGCAATAAAAGTTCGATAGTTCAGCATACAATGTTCCCAGATTCCGCTATCACCAAAAACCTTGCAAAACCTTAATGAAATGAAAAATACAGTTCAGCATATTATTATTATACTGGCTCCCAGCTTTCGCTATCTTTCAAAATTCAAAACCATAATAAGAAGGTTTTTTTTATTTACGACTAAAGATCCACCCTGGCTTTAGCCAATACAATATTATATGTCAGCCTCCCAATAATACTAATACTCACCTTCCTCGATGCATTCGGTCAAGTCGTTTTCCTGTGGATCTCCCAAACAGTCGCTGTAAAATTTCTGCCAGTTATTTTGCCATCCGGTATTGAATGTTTCGAAACACAGTTTACGACAATTTGTAGTCTTGGCCTGTAAGGAAATTTTTTCATCAGCACTTTGACTCTGGCTAAACCGATTTCCTTTTTAAAGTCCTAATGAATCATAGATACTTCAACTTATCTAGAATCTAGTTTCAAAGATACTTGAATATACATATAAATAAATACGCGTATCTCTAGCTTAAATTACAAAAACATTTTTTTCTAATATGGTCCTAATGAATTATACTTTAACCCATCTTAAATACGTTTGCAAGAACACTTGAACCCAGAATTTAAAACAAATTCTGTGCATGTGAAGTAAAAGACACCTTCAACTTTTCGATCTTAAACTTTTTCTCATTTACCTTCTGACAACAGTGCAGCTTGGCCACATCATGTGGTATGATATCCTTGTTGTCAGTAGGCTCATCTTTTCTCAGGAAGCATTGCCATAGGCCATCAGATAGGGAAGGCGCCCCGCACGCGGCTGTCAGGGTGTCAGATATTTCATTAGGTTCCCCAGTACGGCGGAGTACGGCCTCGCACGCGCTCCGGCATGAAGTTCGAGAGGATTCATGACAGCAAGGTAGATCTACGAGAGAAATATTATGAAATGTACCTTAATATAAAAGGTTTTAAATATTTGCAGGGTATTGAGCACCGTTGTCGTTCTAACTGATACATTTGTTGCATACAGTGTTTTCAAACACCGAAATATGTTTAAGTATCAAAACGGTGGACTTGGGGTAGCTCAACTAAATACTTTGATTTCGAATTCTAATTAGATTACGTTGATTATATTTTTTGAGTCTGGTTGGTGATACCTTTTTTGCTTTACATTATCACATCTCGAGCGCTTTAGCTAGACATGCAGACCAATTTATTCATTGCCGACATATTTCGTAAGCAGTACTGCTTTTAAGGCGATGACGGTGACTGCTTACACAAATCCTCCACAGAGCCTTCTGATAATCCTCGTGACAGTTCAAATAGTCTGTTAGGCTGCTATCTTTCGTAATACATTCTTCCCTAATTCAAGCAAATAATCTTCAGTACTGTACAAGACTTATATTTAGAAGTGGCCGTGTGAACTGAGGACGCCACCATATTTCATAAGCAGCGCAGTAGAGGCATTGACTGATCGAAATCATTGAGAGCACCTTCTACAGCTAATTAATATTATATTATTAATGCGAGCATTGACAATCCGCCATATCATCTTGTGATAAACTTCGTCGCAGTTTTAGTACTTCGTTAGGCTGTAATCTTGTTTAGCAGTCAACCCAGACACCGCATGAGTAAAATGACTGGCAGTATAATTTAAATAAAGTCAATTTGACTTCTAAAGTACTTCGCGCAAATCTCCGAGCCAACATGTTACATCGGACTGCTAGTGATCTCCTTTTCCTCTCTAATACTTCCCTTAATCCGAGCGATGACAAGACTTACATTTAGAAGTGTCCGTGTGAACCGAGGACGCTGTCATATTTCGTAAGCAGCGCAGAAGAGGCGGTGACTGCTCGCAAACGTCGAGCGCACGTTCTAGAGCTGCAGTATCAATACGAGCGTTGCCAATCTTCCACAGCGCTTTGTGACAAGCTTCGTGGCAGTTCAAGTACTGCGTCTGCGCTGAAAGGAGAACTGCTGTTGGTTCTACATTTTTCTAGCCTTAATCCTATTATCGGTAATGGAAAAGTTGGCACATAATTAGATTAATAGATAGGTAGGTATACACCTCGGCAAACTTTTTGAGCATCGACCATAGACAAGGATGCCTGCGTAGTAGCAATTTTAAATATAAAAACGTCTCCTGCGCAAGTTTATTTGTTGGCTGTTTTGTTCAAGAAGTTTGCCGCTACCTATACAATAGGCAGCATAATTTTTATCCGGGTAATTTTTTTCCCAACTACTAAAATCAAGACAGAACACATTATTTCATGTCCTTGCATTGCAAATATGAGCATTAGGTAAGTAATGTACAGTAGATTAGCTGCTGATGTTAAAACATACTCGTGCGCATGTTTAATTCAAAAAACGTCTCTAGAATCCCATTTTGTCTTCCGTTAAGTTAAAATGTATATTTAAATGTTACTTGTTTGTATTTACTTAAATGCCTTTGGCATGGCTATGAATAAACAAGTTACTAGTGCCTCTGTGACAAGCATAACTACATAGGTATATTGCGATTAAAGATTAGGTTTATATTATCTGGCACTTAACATGGCTAATTCAAACCGTGTCTAGAGGAAGTGGAAAAGAAATAAAGAGACACAATAATTAAAAGCTCTATATATTTTTTTAAAAGGGTGGTACACAAGCATTTGGCCCGTCTCATTATGCTGCCGATATAGCTAATCGACGGCGCAAGTGGTTAGCGCGTTAGGTGCGTTCGTTAAAATTAAGCAACTTTGAAAAAAAAAGCAATTAAACTTTTGGAAGGGTGACCAAAACTTTACAATTCCGAGTTCTTCTGTGCTTCGGAAGGCACGTTAAGCCATTGGTTCCGGCTGCATCTGCAGTCGTTTTAACACCCACCAATCCGCACCGGGCCCGCGTGGTGGATCATGGCCCAATCTCCCTATTCCATCCACAGGGAAGGCCTGTGGCCCAGCAGTGGGGGCATTAATAAGTTTATAATGATAATAATAATAGCCAATGGACGTTTGCGACTGTAATACCGGAGATCATGCCGATCCCTACCCTGACCCGATCCCGTAGAGCCCTAAGTCTTTTCCATCGACAGAAACCTACTTTCGCAGACGGGCGCCCCAATTCTAACGCAAAAATCCGCTATAATCGATCTTAAATCTACCTCAATTTTTATTTTACGTACAACAACACCATTGCGCAACCCACTGACTGCACTCAGTTAAAGAAGGCATTTTCATCGGAGTGGCGGCACGCAGCGTTCACGACCAGCGCCCAATCATTCTGTGCCACGGTGTACGATCCGCAGAAAAATCTGCTTTAAATCTTTATAAATTTTGTTTTTACGTATAATAACACCATTGCGCAGGCGGCAGGCAGCGCTCGTGACTAGTGCCTGCTCGTTCTGTACCACGGTACACGCTTCGCGGCATCATCAGAAGAGTGGCACTGGTCGCAAAAAGCAAACAACATCTTCTTATTATATAGTGTTATTTCACTTCAATAACGTTGAAGTTATCTTCTCAGACAGGCGTTCCAAACCGCTGTACTATACTGTACTGTACCCCAATTTTGTTTTTACGTACAACAACACCACTGTGTAGCCCGCTGGCTGTGCACGTAGTCGAAGAAATCGATTTCATCGGAATAGCGGCAGGCGACACTCACGACGCCTACTCGTTACGCGCCACAGTGACTGAGCACGCCTCGCTAAACATCTGCTATAAATTTACTTCAATTTTTATTCTACGTACAACAACACCATTGCGCAGCCCGCTGGCTGTGCACACAGTCAAAGAAGGCAATCTCATCGGAGTGGCGGCACGCAGCACTCGTGACTAGTGCTTGTTCGTTCTGTGCTCCGGAGCACGCTTCGCGGCAACCCGGCGAGTTGCCCAGCTCGCAGCAAGCTCGGCCCCACCAACCTACCTCCTCGACCACTTCTGGAAATAATATGGTAAATTAATTTGTTTTCCAAAACCATTAAAATGTTTATTTATTTATTTATTTACCCTTTATTGTTTTTCAACAAATGGCGGACTTAATGCCACATGGTATTCTCTACCAGTCAACCATCGGGCTAAGCAGAGACGTTATGCGGTAAAGTAAATATAATAAAAGCATAAAAGTAAAATGAGAAATAAAAATTAAAAATAAAAAAAAAATTATAAAATTACATATTTCTTAATATAATAATTATATACACAGTCAGGTCATAAGTATTGTCACACAGTAAAAACTTTTAAGAATTTTACACTTTTTTAAATATGGAGTGGACGCATAAAGAAGACCGTGTTGCAGTTATTGCGTTGCATTGTTGCGGTTACGCGCCAATTAAAGTTTTTGACATACTGAAAATTTTGAATATAACCAAAAGATTCGTTTATCGTACCATCAAACGATACAATGAAGACTCTAGTGTAGATGACAGGTCAAGAAGTGGTCGCCCTCGGTCTGTTACGACTCCAGCAGTGATAAAAGCTGTGAAGGCGCGAATTCAAAGAAATCACAAACGTAAGCAGAAACTTTTGGCCCTTCAGATGGGGTTAAGCAGAACCAAGGTGAAAAGGGTATTAAATGAAGACTTAGGGCTTCGGGCATATCGAAGAAAAACAGGACATCGTTTGAATGCTCGTCTAATGGACCTGATACTGAAGAGATGCCACGCTTTGTTGAATCGGTACGCGGGAAAAAAATATTGTGCCTTCTTTTTTCGGATGAAAAAATTTTTACAGTGGAAGAGAGCTACAACAAACAAAATGATAAAGTGTATGTGTGTGTACACAGTAGTGAAGAAGCGAGCAACCGTATTCCGCGTGTCTAACGAGGTCATTTTCCATCCTCGCTCATGGTATAGTTGGCAGTTTCTTATTGGGGCTTAACAGAGGTATATTTTTGTGAGAAAGGTGTAAAAACGAATGCAGTTGTGTATCAATATACAATCCTGACGAACCTTGTGGAACCTGTTTCTGATATTATGTTCAAAAACAGGCACTGGGTATTCCAACAAGATTCGGCGCCAGCTCATAGAGCGAAGAGCACACAAGACTGAAACGGCGCGTGAAATCGACTTCATCTGGCACGAAGACTGGCCCTCCTCCAGTCCAGATTTGAGTCCGTTAGATTACAAGATATGGCAACACTTGGAGGAAAAGGCGTGCTCAAAGCCTCATCCCAATTTGGAGTCACTCAAGACATCCTTGATTAAGGCAGCCGCCGATATTGACATGGACCTCGTTCGTGCTGCGATAGACGACTGGCCGCGCAGATTGAAGGCCTGTATTCAAAATCACGGAGGTCATTTTGAATAAACTTTATTGTCATAAGAATCTATGTTTTGTGAAGTTCATTTTGGTATATAAATGGTTACATAATGAATAAACTTGTTTCAATTATTTTATATTAAACATATGGCAGAATGTATGACCTGACTAGGTATATACCTACATATAGACATACATACATATTTTTATAAACGATAAAAACCTTCACATATTCAATAATAAACACCACTATACTTACTTAAGAATACTATAATAAAACAAAATACTATTACAAATAATTGTGGCAAATCAAACATACTTGTTGTAATTTTTATAACTACGATTTTATCTATGTTTTTTTCTGTCTCTCAAATTATTAAAAATTCTCGTCGTACTTAATGTGCTACAATATATATTATTAACGTTATTCCTGTTTTTATCCATTATCCTCCTCCTATCCTCAACAATATTAATATTAGGCGGATTGGCCGGAAGTTTGTTCATAATATAGAAATTGTTATGACTTCTTAGCGAAATGCTTCTGCAAAAGAAAATTTTCAGATGAACGAAGAGGACGCGATTGAGTGGAACTTAAAAAGTAAAATTTGGACTTCAGGTAAGACGGAGCATTAGTGCCAAATAGAATTGAGAAAAGAGATGTGAGAATTCTTAAATCACGACGGTTTGAAAGAGGCGACCAAATGAGTTGACGGCGAAAGAAGTAATATGATCATATTTCCGTAGACTGAATAAGAATTAAATACAGCTGTTAAAAGACCGCTCCAATTTACCAAGAATATCTTTATTTAGGTCAGGATAACAAACATCAGCATAATTTATGGATGGTAGGACAAGAGCCTGGATTAGAAAGATTTTTGTGTGAACAGGGAGAAAATTTTATACCTATAGAGGGCACGAAACATATTTGTAAGCCGCCGACATATCTCGTTAATGTGAGTGGACCAGCCAAAGGTACTGTCAATGTGCAAACCAAGATTCTTAACACTTGAAGAAAAAGGAATTTGCATGCCATTATAAACAATTGGGCTTACAGCGCCAAATCAAATCATCGGCATACAAATGAATCGAACAGTGAAGAAAGGTGGTAATGAAATTGATAAAGACGGAGAAAAGAAGTGGCGATAGAATACCGCCCTGAGGGACGCCAGCCGCTAAGCTGCACCAATCAGACTGCGATTCGTCAACACGAACCGCTTGGTGGCGGTCTTTTAGGTATGAGGAAAACCATTTTAAAGTAGAGAAGTAGAAGAGATACACTAAGGTGTGTCAGAAAGGCAAGGAGAATATCGTGGTCGACAGTGTTGAAAGCATTGTTCTGCTTATTTTTCGGACAGGCACTAATGACAGGTTATCAACGAACACTGATTAGTTTCAAAAACTGCTATGTAGGGCAAGAGAATTGTTTATGTTTTCCGAAATATTAAAATGCGACTTCGTTGAGGTGAAGTACAGGTATGTGAGTGATATTATGAGATGCCTCGACCCCAGGACCATGCAATCCAGGTGTTTTGTATATAATTCAACTATGAACCTCCTGCGATTTACATTCGCTTTATGAGGAAAATTATTTGCGGGGTAAAAACAGGTGATTTTCAGTAAAAATATTATAATGATAATATAAAAAGTCCCTTCGACTAAAAATTATCTGAAACATTTCATAGAATAGCTAACGGATGATCTGATAGCGATTTACTGAAGCTTTTATGTATAGTGATTCTTTTATGTATTGCCAAATGTGTGTGTATTCCCAAAATGATCCCTTTTAAAGAATGTGTAATTACTACAATGTTTTATTTAATTACACCTGTTTTCAGAAAATGTATATTAATAATTTACGGAGATCGCAACGAATTAATCATTGTTAATTCTTTATATTTAAGTAAATACGTTACTGTATGCTGTGTGTTGTTATTTTTAATATCTTACCAGAAGCCATTTGAAAATCTATAAAAGTTTAAAGTTAAATCTATCCAGCCATAACATTTACGTGTTTGTTAGCGAAACGTTTTTAAAACTATGTAATCCGCACATGACACTGGTATAATTTTACTTGCCTTCAATCGTGTTGTTCATGCATATCCAAAAGTCCACCTGCGAAAGGAATATTATCGATAAAAGGTCGGTTTTCGATTTCAAAACCTAAAAACGCCATTGTTCGTAGAACTCTTCGTAATAAGATACGGGGCGGAAAAGGTCTTACGGTATAGTATAGAGTAACTCGAGACCTGCCCAATTACAATACAATGCGATAGGCGGTTTATTGACGACTTGAATACCTACCTACTCATCTCACACGCAGGCTCTCTTTAGTGTTCGAATTTATGATTGTTTGTAGAGGAGATAGACAATACAGCTGTACATTTAACTTAAATAGGCTAATGTGCGTTTTACTTAGTTAAAGTTAATCCCCCTTACTACAAAACGCGGACTTAAGTTAGTCTTGGTTTAAACCTAATGTTGTTTTTGTCTTCTAATAAGAAGACAAAAACAACAAAATTGCTAATAAGCAAACAAAAGTAACAGCAACAGTTTTGTTAAACCTGGACCTGCAAGGCCTAAATATGTTGATGTTAATTTTGTTTGCTAAAAAGAATCAAGACAAAGAATTTTATGAGCTTTTCAAATACTGCGAGTGAGATGAGTAGGTAGGTATTCAAGTCAAACGTAGACTAAAGTTAAACCTGGAGTTTTATCTACGTTTTGTAGTAAGGCTGTAAAAGTTTAATCATATCATTATATCTTAAATCTGAAATTATTTTATATCTAAAGAAATCGCTCGGATAGCTGACGACGCTGTTTCACATTATAGGCTCTTACTGCCTAAAATGTGATGAATTTATTATAAAATATATTAAAAGCTCTTTAGCTAACATATATAATTATATAGGCTAATATTAAATACTTAGAAATATTAAATACCTATGTAAAAGGAAATGGTGAAATTTTAAATAAGTGACGAGGTCCTACCAGTTGCGGCGATGGCGTGCAGAATTTGTAGATGTTTTTTATCCTCTCCTCGTGCATATCATTATCTGTGTTCGCTACTAGAGACATCTGAAACAACACAAATGAAGTTTATGTAACATAAAGGGTATAACATAATAATAATAATTTATTTGTATAAATTGTTATAATTGTTAGTTATTCTTATAAAAATTCTAGCTCTCATCGCTAACTTCAGTTGAATCAAATAAAGTATAGTTTCCGCTGATAATGCTAGTTAGCTTAGTCTAATACTGTCAAGCATTCTCGAATGCTGCTTAGCCTTTTTGCCGGCTAAACGAACCCAAATACTGTCGAAAGATCATAAATGTCACATAATAGGTGTTCCGAGGTAAATCGAAGAGTCTGGAGAGGCTTTTAATAAAATTTTAACAGTAAGATACCACGAACCTGATCTTTTTTTCAGGTCCGTGTATGGTCGACATAAACAGATATATATACCTACATGCGTTATTGCTAAATAATTTAATTGTAGAGCAATACGTAGGTATGTATGTGTATTGTAGATACGGACTCCACTCTAGATTACTTTATATATTTTATATCTCTCTTTTTCTATAAGTTCCGTTTTAAAAATCGACACATTTACTTTCACGAATACAGAAATACAGCTGTCCAAAAACCTCTTTTTAAGGCTAGTCTGCAAGTTCAAGCCTTAAGCTTAATGAGGAAAAACTAAGCTTTAAACTCGTAAACATAATACAAAACAAAGACAAAATCAGTAATTAATAAAAGCGTCGGCGCGTATGCGGGCCGCGTTAGGGTAGCTACACACATAACCGTGCCGGCCGGCATATTCGGCTTGGCAGTATTTGTCGAACAACAAAGCTAATCCGAAGTAATAACTGCACTTCTTGTAGAATAATATCTACATATATTCGACTTTACCGCCCGGCAGTGTCGATTAATGCCGGCCCGCTTATGTGTGAAGCTACCCTTGTTTCAACACATGTACACATGTTCTTATTGGGCCGCATTAGCTTGTCTAATGAATTTAATTGATGTACGTTACATGCAACCGTTACATCACGTCTCTCTTTTAAAATATCTGGTTACTTAGCGGTTTCATTATGTGCGTGTTTATTTATAAAGATTTACCTACGGATACATTAGAGTAGCGACAGATGACGAAATAAAAGTTTTATTTATAACAGTACATAAAAATATCATATCATCAGAGATTTATGGAGTAAAACTATAAATTTATATTGGTTACAAAACAACGCATTCGCCATCGTAACACAATCACAGCTTTCTTCTTAAGTGTTAAAAAAAGCACCTAACATTTGACGAGGATGATTTTATATTTTTGTTGTGATCTCAATAAAGATATGCAAAAACAACAGCTTCGTAAGAAAAGCATATTACCTAAGTTTCTGTTGAGAGGCAATATTTACAAAGTTATAACTTAATCAACAACCTCCGTAACTCGTAATATAATGTGTTAACATGCGCATTCAACGACAATCTATATTATGGCATGTTATGGCCCTCTGCAGGGTTATCGTAACGAAAGTGCTAAGTTTATCATCGGTGCCAAGTTAACGATAACTTATCAGTTACTGTAGAAGTGACCGAGTCTTTTGGGATTTTAATTAATTCAAACTGCTTTAAAATAAGTTGAGCTTTTAAAAGCTTTCCAAAAATTATAGATTTTTTGTAAACACGTTTAAGAATTCAAAAGATGATTCTTTAACAAAAAAAGGAGATAAAAAATTAAAAAATATTGAACTTCATTATAATACAGTATGAATGAGATGAGAATATTAATTTGTTTACTAAAAATAGTGAAATACATACATATAATACTAGAAATAAAAATAACTTAACTTTACCTGCTACTAGGTTCCATAAAATCAATAATTCGTTTAGAGGTCTTAGTGTTCGCTTTTACAATAAAGTTCCAAGCACTATTCAAGAGTTAAGCATGACTAAATTTAAATCGACCATTAAAAAATCACTAGTTAAGAAAGCATATTATAAAGATTATATTACAGACAAAAATGCTTGGGTATGAACTGTTCCAACCATTCCAACGGGTATTTCTATATGATTTAAATTATAAATTATGTGTTGACAATCTATAATTAAATTTGAAAGCTGTATATAAAGTTGATAACTTAAGGAAGATTCGTTACGTCATGCTCGTGAACGGGTGCTACCAGCGGAGATGAGTCTGCCCTAACTTCCTGAATATTGAAGTTAATGTTAATGTTTAGTCACACTTAATATAAATAACACTATTTGTATTTATACTGTATGAGACAGCAATCAAAATGCAGGTAAACAATATATGTATTTAATAATTATGTAATGAAAGGTGACTTCATGAATCATCTCTGAAGTCATTTTTCAATTTGACGACTCTGTAAATAATAAAACAGGGAGAAAAAAACAGCCCTTGCTGAGTTTCTTGCCGGTTCTTCTCAGTACTAGGTATCCCGCCGTAGATTTACGAACCAATGGCGTAGCTTCTAGACATTCATGAGTGCTTGTAACAACCTAAACTGAATAAATGATTTTGATTATGATGTGTAATTACTTCAAAATATGATACAAAATTTTCTCAAGAACAGCGAAAACAAATCGAAATTCATATACATAATTTACGCTTTTCTTAAACTTTCATGAACTTTAAACAAAGCTACAAGCCGTGAAAGCACAAAGAGAATCTTGAATCAAGTGGGATATCTCGAAACCGAGTAAAAAAAGGAAGATGAAAAGAATCGATGCGTCAGCAAATTAGACTAAGACTGCTTTATAAACTCTCGTGCTAAACTGGGAACGAAAAATAAAAAAGAAAGCGCCACTTGTTTTTTGACGCAGTAAAACGACAACATCAGGCGATTAGTTATCCACTTGTCATTATTGTTTCTGAACAAAACCTTAGAAAGTAATGCCAAATGAGGAGCTGGCGAACAAAATGGTATAAATACATAAAATTTAAATTTACAGGAGCTGTATAAAACTGAATAACATACCTTCATACACAGTGAGCTTTTGGTATGGTTTTAAATTATACATTTAGTAATTTTAGTACTGTTTTAGGGGGTTATGATTGAAAATTATTTGAGATTCAAATTCAACGGGCCCGAAACCTCCGGACCGTAAAAAAAATAGTTTCGCTATTAATAGGTGCATAATTATACCGTTTTGTTCGCCAGCTCCTCAGATATAACGTTGTTGAGTTGAGACTATGAGAGTAATGTTCATAAAAGAGAAAAAAAAAAAAAAAAATGTTCATAAACTTTTTACTCTCAAAGCACCACTCTAAATTAAGGCAACTGAAACGAAAGTATGTACTTTTCGGATGGTTTCTTACAATAAAAACATACCAAATTGTTTCATACTCATTTACAGTAAAATATGAATGGAAATTTCCTATCTATTTAACTCCAAATTTATAATTCACTCATATTTAAACAAATAAAATAAAATCAATCAACTGGATTTTAAGAAAACAAATAGTCTTGGAAACCCGTGAAAATATAATAAGGAGTACCCAAACCAATAATTTATAAACTATAAATGCAATTACACAGATAAGAATGAATAATAAGCATCGTCGCCTGATTGCACTAAACGAGAACGTTATGTTCATAGTAATGAGCAGTCACGCCATTGTATTCAGAGAATAAGATCAAAATGTCAATATTAAGTTCAATTGGAGCATTTTTCGCCGATTAAACTCGACAACGCGATGTCGTGTGGGGCACAATGATCATTGTATACAAATCAGAGGTTGACAGAGAACCAACCCACAGTATTGGACATAACCATTGTTCTAGATGTTGTTTTGTTAAACTCTACATACGATGGCGCAAATGTTACGTTCAATCTACTACCCACATCAAATTTCTTTGATGCTTATATTTTACTGTTTCTTAACTATAGCCATTTTGCTGGATAAAGTCACATTTATAACATACGTCATATTTAGAATAAGGGAAAAAACCGGAAGACTTACCCAGGTAGAACAGTTAAACTAGCTTTTAAAATCAAAATTCTTCCACCTAGGCAAGGCTTACAGAAAAAAAGCTTTCCATACAAGTTATCACGTATACAAAATCATAACGTACGAAATCATTATACCATATTGAGCATAAAATTAATATAAACGATACGCAAATTAATAAAATAAAATGCACCATATAGATTACACAAATCGATATTAGAAACTCATCTCCACTACATTTTAGAAGATATATTTACAGTGCATTTCAATTGAGTTTGGTAAGAATGTAAAATAATGATCTGTCTGGTAATTATTCATTTCCAGTCATAACATCAGCATAACACGATTAACACATTCTGATACGGCAACCTCAATATTAAAACATTAAATAGGTAACTGTCGTTATATTCCATAATTTAAACATAGTTTGTGTAATAAAATAACAAAATTTAATGTGTCATCACGTCGTTTTTCATTTATCAATAAAGCAATTCGATAGTTACTTATACTAATGTTTGTACACTTCATAAAAAGCAAAGAATGGTTGACTATATCAAACAAAGAGCAAAAGTCAAAGATATAAATTAAACAATTTATAAAACATTCAAGTATCAAAAACATTAATATGTAAGTACTTAATAACAATGAGTCAATCTGTTGATGTACAATATGGGTATCTTCCTTCCTTAAATCAAGTGTAGCTAGGTATACTGCATAAATAAATATATGTAGAATTTAAAATGGATTAGCAGCCGTTCTTTATCCTTTACTTTGGTTTTTTGAGAAAAATCAAATAATTTCTATCTATCAAACTGTGAATGTCGTTGAAAATTTACTGATCTATTCGCTAGCCACATTAGATGTGTGTGTTTGATAAACTCTGCTTTAAAGTTAAGCAGATCTTAATTATTCAGTAAGTATATATAATAAAATTAAATGAATGTATGTACTTCTATTTATTACATCAAAGATGAAATACTACAATAGATAAATTAATCTTCGTACACAACAAACAAAATACGTGCACCAAATTTTTTATTGTTATCAATCAAACTTAGGACACCGCGATATTTGACATGCACGCTGTGACAATTCT